AATACTCCCAGGTAATCATGAAGCCAGTCTGGTACCATTTCTTCTACCGACTGCTTCTTCTTAGTAGCTTCTTCTGCTACTTTCTGCTCCGTGGCAACCGAGGCTTTATAACGAATCCATAGTCTCTCTGGACTCTCTTCGTCTTCTATTTCCTCAACCGTCGCCCTCTTCATCGACATATCTTCTTCATCCTCGTCTTCATCATCCGTAGGAATCAGATCAGGTACATCATCTATCTTTTTTTGTTCTTTTCTTTTTCTTTCTTTTTTTGTCTTTTTTCTTTTTTAGTTTCACATTTTACAGGGCATCGAGACAGTGCAAATCGTCCTGCATTCCAGTCAATCTCTGGATTGTGATATCTCAGCCAATCTATGCCGATAATAACATCATCGCTTCCTAAGTCTGTAACCATGAAGGCTGCTTTTTCTTCTTCATGATCACCAATCTTTAGACCTAGTTCTGCAAAATGAGTCATTGATCCAGCGGCATTTAGCGATCCATCAATGTTCCTGACTGAAATAGGCCTTAATAATTTACGGCATTTCACACTGTTCTTCTCGACAAACTTCTCACTGATAAATAATGTTGATGCACCGCAATCCACAAGTGCTTTTACGTCTGCTTGTCGGTTCTTTCCTTTCAACGTTATCGGAATATAAAAATGCTCAGATTTGGATCTAATATGTACTTCTGATACATCTTGAACGTAGATAGGATAGAGAAACGATTGTTCGGGTCTAGGTCTGCAGACTTTGACTTCAACCCCTTTAAAAATCCTTGCCTTTGTTAGAAGCGATCCAATCTGTGAACCACTTCGGCGCGGAGTTTTCTTCGACAACTGCAGCCGCTTTGACTTGCGCTTTTGGCGCACCTTTACAGTTTCTTGCTATGTGGCCTTGTTCTCCACAGCGGTAGCAGGTGAAAGCGCCAGGCTTTCCTTGGGGTTTGGGAGATCCCCTCTGCTTGCCAGAGTCCACATCCATAGCTGTCACTGTCTTTGCTAGGACCAGCCTGCCTTGGGTTATTGAAGGTTCTTGGGGTTTCCTTGTTAGGGGTCCACCAATTACTCTTCTTCTTCTCAGCGTCTAGCTCCTCGTAGTTACGTCCAATCTGTATGGAGTAATCGATGAGCTTCTTAGAGGTGTCTTTCTCAGACGCTGGAATATGAGCGAGTTGCTCTTTGATCCGGGTTTGTAGGCCAGATCGGAATTTGAGGCGGAGGTCGTAGTCGGAGTATTTGGTAAGTGCAGCCTTCTGCTTGAAAGCTGCTGCGTATTCAGGCACTGATGAAGATCCTTGCTTCAGGGTTTCCAACTCCCTGATAGCTTTTCCTTCTCTGTCGTCTTGGCCCCACATGGTCTCGAATTCTTTCGTCCAATCCTCAAAGGATATTGGCTTGGAATCAAGCTCAATGACATATTTCTGCGCCCATTTAGCAGCAGATCCTTTAAGGAAAGACAGGGCAGTTGTGATTTTCTGCCTGTCTGTGATCAACGGCCACTGTGACATATATAATGCCAACTGAGTGGTGTAGACTTCTATGGAGATCGAATCTTTGTCTCCTGTGAATTCTGTGGGCTTCGACAATTTGACTTGCGAAGTATTTGGGGATTGTGCGAATCTCTCCAAGCTTCTTCTTCAGCTCTTCTATTTGTGCGTTTTGAGCTCTGAGTTGAAGCTGTTGAGTTGCGTTCTGTGCGCTGAGGGTATTGTTGTGGTTGAGGAGTTCTTGTGTCCTCACGTACAGGTCGTGTGTTGCCATGGTGATGGCATTCTGTACATAGTTGGTAAATTCCACTGGCATAGCTATGCCTTGTGGTTGTGGTCCCTGAGGTCCTTGTTCTTGGGGTTCTTGTGGGTTCTCAGGTCCCATTTCTGTTTCGTTGACTTCAGCCATAGTGCCAGGTGCGTTCTGGAATCCGATTCACTAATGACTGTTGAAGAGCGGGTCGTAACGGCTCTTCCGGATAGGAAAGATGATGAAAGGGGAGAGAGGAAAAAGGATACGTAAAATGGAAAGCTAAAGGGGTCCCCAGTACTAACTGGATCAACCTCGTCCTTTAGGGTCAAAGGGTTCTTTAGTCAACCCAACTGACACTTCCCTAATTACTAACTAGAAAGAAGTACGTAAAGCTATGCTTTGTTAAGTGGGAAAAACACTGTGTGCTTCGTGTGTGCTACTTCTCAGTCACCGAAAGGGTACAGGTCTAGGACAAGTTATCACTCTTCCAGCCGAAGCTTACAAGTGCGAGTCTCACTAGAATCCCGTATCTAAATCCTCGTGGTAACGATGGTAGGACTATCCGCAGATGCGACAGTTCCACTAGACTTAACGAAAGGTTCTACGTATGTATGAAGAAAGGTGTAGGTATGAAAGCAATTATAGTAACGTTGAGCAGGCAGGGTCTTGGGCCAGCACTCAAAGTTGTAGCGAGACGCCTAATGTCGTCAACACCTCCGTATACTGGCGGCTGCAATGTAAGGCAGGGCCTGGTATAGGACTACTAACTACTAAAGGCTATTCGTGAAAAGCTCAAGCGAGCAAAAGGATGGGTTTCAGAAAAAGTGATCGCGACTGTTTAGGTCGGGCAATGGAAAACGTGTAATGATGATGAGATGTGTGCGAGCGGTGTGCAAAGAGTCGGAGTCTCCTATAGTTCAAACCTAATGTCACAACCCAATAACGAATTAACGCTGGGTCGAAGACTAGGACTCAAACAAGGATATCGGACAAAGAGTAAGAGGAGCAAGTACGTCTTGGATTGCTACAATGTAGATACAAGAGGTTTGAACTAAGGAACTATCGACCAAGACATGCTACCTATATACAACTATTGAGACGGAGATTGAAACTGAGTTACAACTACTAGCCAATCATAAAAAGAGAAAAGGAATCGTACCATAGAACATTGTAGAATATTAAAGAAGCATTACGTGACCATATCTTATCTTATCTAATCTATTCACAATCAAAGAACTCGTCTTCTTCATCAGTCACATCGAAGACACGTGTTGTAGGCGCTAAAGGTATTTCGGGGATGATAGACGCTTTCAAGGTAGGGTTAGGGTTTGACTTAGGCGCTGTGTATTGGCGCTTAGGAAGATTCAGGAAAGAATAATGATTTGTTAAAGGTACTCGTGACAACATTGAAGCAGGTGTGCATTAATATCAGAGTCCCATGTGCAAGTGGGGGTATCAGTGAAGTGACGTGGTCCAAGAGCAATCCAATCCATGTCCAAACTAAATCCTGTTAGGTGTGCTAAGTATTAGATGCTAAGGGTTTAAATGGTATGAGTCAAACTATATGCGAAAGTGTGAAAAAGAAATGATAACTTTGTGTGGATGTCCTATCTGACTTGTCTTCCTTGTGCGGCTGTCATCCTCTATGCACTCCTATGCACATGTGTGAGGCGTGTGGATGCAGGAATATTGTGCACATGCTAAGGTAAAAAAGGTGTATGGTGCTGTGTCATGCGTGCAAAGAGAAAATGATATCCTATTGAGCTAGGCGGGCATGAGTCTAAGATTGTTTTGATGTTTTTGTTGTTTTTCTTTCTAAGTGAATCTCTATAGCATATATATCAGTGTGTTATTAGTCCTTTGGATGACTTTATAATGAGAGAGAATGAAAATAAAGAGCACTGGACAAAACCCAGGGTAAAACAGAGTATACTCTATGTTGATGGTATATGACAGCAAAGATGCGAAAATTGCGGGTGATGTTGGTGAAGCGATTAGTGCATGAGGTGATAAGGGTGATGGTGCAAATAATATGGTAGATGTGCGTGAAGCTTGCATGCTTGGGGCACTTTGTTTTTGTTCAAAATGCGAACATGGGCAGACTCATAACTGGAAGAATGTATTCCTGCACTTTGTGATGCAGGGTGAGTGCATGCAAAGGCAAGGCAATGCGAGGCATATAAGAGTACCCTATAGCATAATAGGGTGCATGCAAGGCTAGCGCGTTAGCACATTTTTGCAAATTCATGATTATATCCCCTGGGTGTGCGAGGATAGGCTGGTATACTGTTAGTCTATAAAAATGCAAATGATATGTGTTGGAGATTCTATACTGGCATTGTAATGCTCCTGCATTTTAATGTGGCTTGAAATAAATTTAATCACCATTACGACTGGATTACATTGTGGTTGTTATATCTAAACTGAGTTTCAATGTTGTTATGATAGACATATGTGCAGTGCTGAGCGCTCTAAATCCACCACCTAGTGCAATACACACCAATGCCCAAGACTCTGCCCACAAAACGGCAGTGATCATCAAAGACCACTGAGTGTGAGCTTTGTGGTACAACAATTCTGTCTCGTGGGCTGGCATCACACTCAAAGAAATGTAAAAAATGGGAACAGGAACAATGTGAGGATGAAGAGCTTGCTGAGATAGTTCAGACCACTGAGCTAAAGGGTGAGACATCAAATGTTCTGATGTGCTAACAGTTATTGATTTGAATTGTACAGAGCATAGAAAAGAACATTGAAGGCTTCACAAGCATCAGAAAGGTCTCAAGCATGCACAGTTTGGATCTGCTTGTGAGTGCACACCTATAATACTGATCTTTTTCATGTTCTGACCATTCTGGTATGACTATATAGTGAATCCTATCACAATCTAGGCCACACAAGACAAGGGAGGTGCAGCAAGAAACAATGACATAGAGAATGATATTGGTATCACTACATCTCCATTTGAACTTGTACAACTGACTAACTTTTATCTACATCAGACATGCAAGTGTCGTCACCTCATAGGCATCCATCGGTTGACTCTGATGCTGCTGTGTTACCTGACTTTGATACTCCTGGGCATGGTCTCAACTATCACGATGAGCTCCCTTACAAGCTTAACAATATTAAAACCAAGTACCATCCACATAGCAAGTGAGCTTCCACTGTACATCACTTTACTGACTTTTCCTGCAGCTGCTTTTTGGAGGATGAGGCACCTCGTAACAACTCGCCTTGGGAACCCTTCTGGACATGACTGGACTTCAAAGTTGCAGAGATCGCACTCGAAGCTGCAATGACCAAGGATCAGACAAACTGGCTGCTTGATCTTGTACATCAATCCACCAGTGGCAAGGATACATTTACATTGAAAAGTCACAATGAGGTTCGCTCACTGTGGGAAATGGCTTCGCAGCAGTATACACCAGTAATTGTGTTCCTGTTCTACTTTTATCGAAGCTCATTATGTAGTGTACACTAGTTTCGAAAGGATGTAGTATCTGTTAAGCACCAGGATGAAACACACAAATTTGACATGCATTACCGCCCTTTGTGGGACTGGGCACTTGATTTGTTGCAAGATAGTCGCCTTGCACCACACTTTGTATTTGACACGCAACATCTTACTAAATTCAATGGAGAACAGTGTGTTTGCTTCATAGACGAACCATGGACTGCTGATGCCTTCTGGGATGCACAAGTATGTCTTGCAGCCTCTGATTTATCTATCTGAATGTAACACCAATATTGCTGATATAGTCTCAACTAGGGATCAGCAGGGGTATGGGTAACCCTCGGGGGTCATGGGTATGGGTACCCAGGGGTAAGGTTATGGGTCGGAGTCTCAGAACCTGTGGACCTGTGGACCAATCACAGTACCCTAGGGTCACTGTTAGGTCCCTGGCTGGTCTACAACTATACAGTACCACATCAATTAAACAAGTTCTAGATTCACAAGTTTATTTTTTGATTATATTCACACATTCACAGAAGCATGTTATCAAAAAGAACAACAAAGCCCACAGAGAAGGTACTCGCCATGGCAGCAGAAGGCAGCCAAGCCAAACGGAAAGCCACTGATAAGCCTTCTATCCCTGCAGTGACATCAAAGTGTATGAAATTCACAGCATCAGTCGATCTTGAACAGACTACGAGTAGTAGTACTACATCACCACCCAACTATTGTGCTACAGTTTGGAGCGAGGAAGAAGAGGAAGCCCTTCACACAGACACCATAGTCATTGACTCTGATGCATCTGAGAAGAGCAACATCAAAGACCCTGGTGAAGCTTTGGATGATGAGCTAAGTATGTCTGAGTTGAAAATCAATGAGAAACTTACTTAACAAGACTGCAGAAAGGTTAATGAAGGATTGGACATCACCTATATATGCATTCTTCGAACCTACCCCAGGCATCAAATATCACAATGGCCATCGTTGCCACATGTTCAAGTGTACAGCGCGAGGCTGCAAACATTGTGTTCGGCAATATCTGGATAAGAAGGATGCGAAATCAACAGGCAACATGCACAAGCATGTAAAATTGTGCTGGGGTAAAGCAGCCTTGCAGGCAGCAATGGAGTGCTGAAATACTACTGCTGCACGAGATGGAGTTGTCAAGAGCCTGCTTGACACTGGATCAATCCAAACATCTTTCAATCGTAAATGGAAAGGGAAGGTTGTGTACTCACATTGTCAGCACACTTGGACAGAGACAAGGTTTGTTTGTCTTCCCTCGATGTTGCAGTCACTGATATGACTTAGGGCAGAGATTGTCCGCTGGGTGGCAGAGAGCTTAAGACCATTTGAAACTGTAAATGATCGAGGATTTCAGGCATTAATGAAAACCGGACGGCCCAAATACCACATACCTTCACCCTTAACAGTTCCTTGTAATGTAAAGCAAGTCTTCATAAAGACTCGCAAACGGATAGCACAGATGCTACATGTAAGATAAATTAGTTCACATGATCCCATAAACTAAAACGAGAGCAGAATTACGACGGAGAGCTCAATTTTGCGACGGACGCCTGGACCTCACCAAATCACAGGGCTTACATGGCTGTATCTGTTCATTTGGAACACGAGGGTCAGCCATTTTCCATGATACTGGATATTGTCAAGTTGCCAAAGGTAGTGGTACTCACCCGAATGAAGCCATGCACACACTGACATATTGCAGTCCCATAGCGGAGCAAATCTCGCGGATGCATTTGCAAATATCCTAAATGAGTTTGGAATATCAGACAAGGTATCTAACAATAGTCATACTAGCATGAAAAAAAAACTCACCAGACTGCACAGATATCGAGCGTCACAGTGGATAATGCTTCGTCAAATGATACACTTGTCACAGAGCTTGCAGACCAAAATGTGCACTTCGCTGGGGACATGAGCCGAACACAATGCTTTCTGCACATTGTGAACCTCGTGGCCAAGTCATTAATTCGCGAGTTTGATGCACCTAAATCAAAAGCCAGCATGGCAGATGACCCTGAACTAGCTAAACTTACTGCAGATATAGAAATTGAGAACACTTGAACTGCTGACAAGGACCCCAACAAAGACGCAGAGAGTGAGGATGACGAAGAGGGATGGGTGGATTAATTGAATCTGTTGGAAGAGGAGGAGCGCGAGCAACTGATGGACAGTATCTGTCCACTAAAACGTGTTTTAGCAAAGGTGATAGTGTTAAATGTAAATTGCAACTCACTTGCACTAACAGACTTACCTCACAGCTCCAGAAACTCGCATACAAAGTCATCCATTCAATGACAATAATTCTGCCAGCCTGGAAGACAGTCCTTGAGGACCTAGATCTTCCTGTCAGAATAATCCCACATGACGTATCCACACAGTGGAATTCAACTTACAATATGCTTGATTTTGCACTGACCTATCAAGAGGGAATTAATGTGATAACAGATATGCAAAAATTGGGATTGGGAGAGTATGAGCTGAGCGAAGATGAGTGGCCACTGGTAAAACAGCTGTGCAACATGTTGAAAGTTGGAATACAAATGTGACACATCACAGTCACAATGCTAACAATGTGTCACACAGATTCTCAAAGATGCGACTTTGTACTTTTCACGCTCAACACCAAACTTAGCTATGGTTATACCCGCTATGGACCATATTGACCAAGTCTTCACCAACTGCATCCTCAAGAAGGAGCTACTGGAGCCTGCTATATGTGTCGTGCTTGGTCTCGCCAAACGCACCCTCAATTGGTATTATTCACTCACAGACAAATCTGAGGTATACCAGATTGCAATGGGTGTGTCATTTTTTCCCTTACTTTGTCCATTGTTCTGACCCTTGCTTAGTTCTTCATCCATGGCACAAACTCTCCTACTTCAGGTCTGCGGGCTGGGAGCCACAGTGGATAGAAACTGCTGAACGACTCGTTCACTCAGAATTCAAACGCTCATATGCCTCCCACTCAGTCACACTCGCAGATGATGTAGGTACTGCAGGAGCCCAGGAGGATGATAAGGTGCATGATTATATTGTCTCGCTGGTTTTAATTATTGACAACGGCTTTTCAAACATGCAGGATGACGACTCTACCAACATCTTTGACCATCTTCCTGCTCTCGCACCAAATCCTGCAACTTCAATCAATGAACTTGACGCTTACCTTACTGCCGACATCAAAAATGTTACTGATGCGATCACATGGTGGCATGGGCACCACAAAACGTATCTGCGGCTATCGCGAATAGTGTTAGATTATCTTACCATCCCAGGTAAGCCCCCTTGCATGTTTTATATGACTGATTTAAATGTTTTACTGCAGCAACGTCAGTTGACGTGGAACACATATTTAGCTGTGGACACTTACTACTGTCCCATGTTCGAAACAGACTCACTGCGCAGACGACACGCGCGCTTCTTTGCATTAGCCTGTGGAGCCACTTAGGTCTTGTCAAGGACAAGGACATTTAGTCTATCACAAGCCTTCCTGATGTCGATGGTGAGGACAAAGAGCTTGCTGATGGGACAGCGTTGTATTAAATTAGGTAGTCACACTAGTACATTTTTTGTTCAATACTTGCACAATTTGGATCACGGGTACAGGTGTACCCTTGATACCCTCCACCCATGTGAGACCCTCATTGAGACCCTTTGGTACCCTTGGGTGCACGGGTACGGGTAGTCGAGGGGTATGGGTATGGGTCGCACATTGGACACCCATGGGTTTACCCCTGCGGATCCCTAGTCTCAACTTCCACCTGATGCGAAGCCACTGGTGTTCATCCTGTATGCTGACAAGAATAAATTATCTCTTTGAGGTTCATGTTTCGTGTTGTTCGAGCGGGAGGGAGTACAAGACAAACTTGAGTGGAATTTCAATCACTATGTTAAGTTTGTACAAGGGTGAGATTATGGTAGGATGTAGGGAAGGTTTCGGGCGAAGGCGCGTAGCGCCTCCCGGCCGCAAAGAGATTCTGCCTAAGGAAAGAAAGTGAGCTGCTATCCCAAATTCTAGGAGTTCGGCGACGCATGCAGCGAACATCGTGAAGATCCCGTTTTTTAGGAGGAGAGAGTGATACTCACTGATGATGGGTGAACGGATGATTCAACGGATGGGAGGCAGGGTATATTGTAGGAATTCCTCGTGCAGTGCAGGAGTGGCTTGCATGTATGGCTCTAGGATCTGTGCGTGTTGACAGAGGTAAGCGAGGAAGGCGTCGCTTGCCCACCTTCCTTTGACCTTGACGATGTCAAAAGGGACGTTACGGAGTAGATACTCGAGTGTTCCACCAATGCGGATCCCGTGGCCTTGCAATGACTTGTGACCTGCTGCTTTGGTTGCAGTAGCGAGTCTTTTGAGGAAGTTTGATTTTGTCAAAGGCCGGTGTGAGTTCTTGTGACGGTCCGCAAATAGTGTGCTGTCAGGTGGGGGATCAAGTGGTTCTGCAGTGCTTCTTCTGGATCTGAAGGGCTGTCTTGTCTGGCCCATGAGACATCTTTGCCGTTGATTGATGTCTTGGTGCGGGGAAGGTGGAAATTAGTCATTTTCGGACCCTGGCGATCTCGGGCCTCTTGGATGTCAGAAGGTTTGACATGGATTGCGGGATCGAAAGTGTCGAGACGACAAATGGTGAATTCTCCGACGCGGGCGCAAGTGAAGAAAATGGTGGTTAGACAGGCAAAAACAGCAGCGTCGAGGGGATCATTGAGGCTGAGTTGTTCTTTGATGGTGGTTATTAGGGTGATGGTGTACGGGTCGCGTTTGGCCTTCTTCAAGGTGGGCGGAGTGAGGGAGATGGCAGCTTTGAATAAGGAATCAATCTCTACATCACCACCAAGTGTCCATGGGATGCTGTGTACAATATGCCATGCGCGTACACCCTGAACATAGTTTGACACCGTTTTCCCAGAATAATGGCCTGCCATCTCGGTGATGAACAATGAAATGAGGACACGACTTGCTGTCACAGAAGACGTGGAAGACAAGGAGTCCTGAACCATAGGATTCGCGAGTGCTTTCAGCAAAGGCATGCAATATGACTTTGTGAATCCGTTCGATTTCGACTTGAGTTACTGGGAGATGCCTTCCATGCGAGTCTTTTGGTGTGCGCGGGGATGTGGGAATCCACAAGTAGAGTCTGTCTTTAGCTGGGCACTGGGGTCTGAGTGCCGAAGGTAGAGGTGCGAGGTCAGGATTATAGGCTGTATTGGATTGAATGTTGAACTCTGGTGAGGAGGATTCGTGTACATACTAGTCTTTCACCACTTTGAAACATTCTTCTCCACACCTTTCGAGCTCTCGATTGAGGTGGGCGCGATGCTGGGTTTCTGCTGGGAGTCATTCTTTGCCCATTGGGAGAACCTGTTTGTGCAATGCCCTTGGATGGCGTGTTTTTGAGTGAACGAGGTTTTCGGAGACATTTGTGATGAAGGGGTGGAGCTCATGGGGGATAGCGATTGGAGGGAGCATTTGATGTGCAGGGGGATATACACCGTGTGAGGGGTCATCTGCAGGATTGTCTTTGCTTGGGACATATCTCATGAGTACCGTGCAGCCAGCGTCACTGGTGGCACGATGCACGTGTTTGAAGCCTTCATTGCATGCCTTGTTCCTACTGCGGCCTGTCCACCAACCTTCCACGACTCCCCGATTGTCTCCGTAAACCTTGAAATAAATGCCGGGGTTACAGAACTGGATGATTGTGAGGATGAGGAGTTCGAAACCAACACTCTCTGCCCAGCCAATGTCTCGTCCGTCCTTTTTCCAACCTGGGATGAGCTCCCAAGCGCGCCATCTCCCGTTGATGAAAATGCCGATCCCGTAGCCAGAGCTAGCATCCGAGTAGGCGCGAAATTCATGGACAAGGCAGAAGCCGGGTACAGGACGAGACAGCTGTGGAGAATTGAGGGTCTTCTTCCACCAGCTGAGGTCTGCTTGGGTGTCACAGGGAGGGGTGCGAGGAAGAAAAGGGTGGTCTTTAAATATTCCCAGCATGCTCTTGAGGTTGGTGAGGTAGGCCCGGCCTGACGGAACAATAAGGGCTGCATGCAAAAGTTTGCCATACAATTTCTGGACTTCAGGAAGCGTGTGTGTACGTCATGTTTGCCATGTTTCGATGGTTGCCAGGTACTTTGCGATCTTTTCCGGGGAAAGGGTGACACGCAGCTCCGGGATGTCCCATAAGAGACCCGTGAAGGTGGGTGTTGGACTAAATGGTTTGTCCTTTGAGGTCTCCCATATGATGCCCAGAGGAGTGGACTCGTGGTCAATGTCTGCCATGCAGCATGTGAATTGCATGTCTTCAGCTGAGCGAGGCGAGGAGGCCGAGAAATCTCTGATCGGGAAGGTGCAATCTTTGTCGAATTCTTCTGTTGAGTCATCGGGTAGTGATTGGCCCTTGTACCATTTTCGTCTGCCTTCGATGATAGCTCCGCCATTGGACGCAATTTGGCTGGCCCAGAGGGCTCGTTTCTGGTTGTATTCTTCCAGGAATTCTCATCTGATTCGGAAAAAGATGTGGTCATCCACCCATTTGGACAGAGGACCAAGGCCTGTAGCTCGCAGGATGTCGGCACCTGCATCAGCGACATTTCCGTAAGTGCCAGCTGATGGTCTGAATCCAAAGCAAAAGGCAGGTCCACTGCGAAGGAGTCTTCGCCTGGAAGGCAGATCGTGAGGCCTGACCACTGTGAGTGGTGTGTGGGGACAGTCCTATAAGCTTCAGCGACATCACAAATGGCTGCCTGGGAGCCTGGAGGTAGAGCTCGGATGTAACAGCAAATGGTTGCAAAGGTGCCATATGTGCAGGGGAATAAATCAGAGTCGACTCTTGAGTTGATTGATCTGACTGTGGGGGTGGGGGATGCTGGGTGTGATAGATTCTGAATGATCCGGAACTTTCCCGGCTTACCCAGCTTGGGGATGATGGATAAGGGAGTGGTTTGGAACGGCCCAATGATCCCTTCAAGAGTTTCTGCTGAGAATGGTCCAATGAAGCGGCCCTTGGAGAATTCGTTATTAATGATGCTTTTAAAAGCTTCGGCATGTACCATGACGGATTGATTATTGGCGGGTGTGTATGTACGTGTGATAGCGGGGATGCCCCCAGAAAAACTAGGCACAGTGGGATATGCGGGTATTTACATGTGAGGTTGAATTCTTCCAGCGCCAGGTGCCAGGCTTTAGGGTGGTATGGGGTAAGGGCTCTAAGTTTTCTCTCCTCGAGGGCAAGACTGGGCTCCATGGTCTTTGTCACCGCATCCAGAGCAAATGTGTGTGGAGTCGTGGTTGTCTGCGAGGCAACTTCTGGGTCTCTGCCATCTGTAACAGAGTGGGAGACCATTTCCACTGATGATCCGTCCGTCTTGGGCTCAGCGTGAATGGGCAGGGGTGGTTTTGTCCCACAAGTTGCGCGAGTCGCAGTGTTGGATGTCGTGCGAGAAACAGCCAAGGCAAATGGCACAGGCGGAACAGCCACGGGAACCTGCGCCACGGGAAAAACCCTTGTTGCGTTGTTTGCCTTTGTCAGGCAATGGGGATCTGTCGGCTCTCTTTGGGTTTCTTCCACACATTGGGGAGCGGGAAACGAGATTGACAGCAACGAGGTTCAAATGAATCTCTATAACTGGCCCTTTGGTGATGACCGAGGCGTTGGGATGACGGAGGTTCAGAGCTGGGTAACTGGTGGGTGTGATGCCAGAGTAGGTGAAAATGTCCGTGTGAGAATGAAGGCGGGCATCCACATGAGAGTACATGCATGCATCCGCGTGAGAGTAAGTGCAGGCATCCGCGTGAGAAGGGATGCGGGCATCCACAAGAAATGTAAGTGGGCATCCGCACATCAAGGTGCGGGGATAGAAAGGTTCGGATTTTGGTGGTGGTGGCGAGAGGGAGAGGGGAATATATGTGCAAGGCTGGTTAGTTATTGTTGCAGTGTAGTAGCAAGGGAAAAATTACGCACAGTGTTCAAAGATCTGGAGCGCACTCGGTCCCAAATCTCTTCATTAATGGTGCGGAGGAGGGTTTCATTGATGATTCCGATGTTGAAAGCTTCATCACGTTTGAGTCGGTCATGCCACTCCTGGCGAACACATGATGCATAGTGCAGGATTACTATGTCGCCTATTTTGCTGTTGTTTCGGATGGCATGGTTCTCAAGGTGCCAGAAAAATATGGCGAGGGCGTCAAGGTTTGCTTGAGGCCATTTAGCAGTGCTTGCTTGCGTAAGAAACAAGTTCTTCACTCGAAGGAAAGTGGAGAAGGATAGCTCGTGGTCTGGGAGCACTGCTTTGGAGGCCTTGGAGGCAGAGGTCGGGCGGATGGTTAGATGATCGTCGAGTTTGGTTAGGCTGAAGGTATCATCTGCAATGGAACACGACGTCTTCATGGCTTCTTTGCAGCCATCGGGGGAGAAGTACCATAGTTCTATATATTCAAAATTGTTTAGTTTTTGGATGGCATATTGGGAGGGACGCAGCGCTATGGCATCGCCAATGGTGGACGCTACATTGAAACCATTCATCTTGGGCTTCTTCTTCTCTGATTTGAGGTGCTCGTTCTCTTCCTCGACTTGCCTTGCTAGGTGTTCTTCCTCTTCTCTAGCTGCACGCACTAATTGCATCTCTTCTTCTTCTTGTGCTTCTTCATCCCGGCATCTATTCCATTCTGCGACTCTCGCGTCGTGGCCTGCCATCCAGGTCTCAACCAGTCTGTCAATGATTTGTTGGGGTTCGGCATTGGTTGCCGCAGTGAGATCTGTGTGGATTGCATTGTAGAATTCGCCGGCGAAATCAGGGCATACTTCCGATGATGGGTCGGCCATGGAGTGAGTAAGTTGAAAGGAACTGAGTGTATTTTGTAGGGTATGACTTTGTGTAGATATTGACTCTTTAAAGAAAGAGAAGAAAAGAAAATGCTGTATCGACGAATTGCCAAGGGCGTTGGACGTCATCGCAGCAGAGAAGGAAGAGGTGTGAACGTCATGTTTACCATTTGCTCATAGACTTAGCTCTATTTCCTCCGCTTGTACCTCACTACGTAATAGAGAAACAATACTTTTTGGACCGCAAAAGGCTATCCGATCATCACCCGCATTGCAAACCTGCCTGTTCACATTCACAATGGTAATACAGCCCTAGGAGGAGGTCACATTGTCAGTTGGTTGCCGATTGTTAGAATCTTATAATGTGTGTTGCTACTAGCAATATTACTGACTATGTTGTCAGGTTGCTGAGGATCAAAAACATGCAAAAAAGAAGAGCTTCATAGACTTCAAAAATGCAGTGTGGCACAATTTGTTCTATTAACTTCTCCAGTCAATCGAACTGCATTCAAAAACTGGTTAGGTTTGAATGTGGAGATCAGATTCAATGCCATCTCTGGCCCTTAATATTGATCTTAAGTGGAGATTACGAAGAACAGTGAGTGCTATCATTGATTTACTCTACTACCAGGCTTACCTACTGGAGATATGTCATGGCATTGATTCATGGTGTGAAAGTCAAATTTCCATATCCAATCTGTCTAGTCCCTCAAGATGAGCAGTCGGTCAATCATGTCTTTGTATTGTGCACAAGTCGCAATTCCCAACAGGTTCTTTGCACCGTGAGAGGAAAACATACAGAAAAGGAAAAGGAGGAAGATCTAAAGGCCTATTTACTCCAAAATGTTGAGGTATGTGTTGCTGTGCCCTGCTGACAGACTCACTAACTTCATTGAATTAACAAAATGTATTTTGGAATATTTTTCTTGCAGATGTTCATTGTGCACTTTCTGTCAACCACCTGCATATGAATCACGAAGGATTATGGGAGGATCACCTGTGGAAGGACTTTCTATTCTGGATTTCTGATCTTGGATGGGAAGCTGCTACCAAACTCAACACAAAGTATGTAATATTGCATAAATTAAACATTATGTGAGTTCATTGTGGTGCTGACTTGCTACCTTAGCTTTGATGCTCTTCCACAATGGCCGAACTTGGCTCACTTTAAGGTTGTCATGTCAGTTGATTTCAATGATGGCTCACATCATGAGGACATATCAAAGGTATGCTGTGCACCAACTTCAAATTCAAACATTATTTTCCAGTACTGACAAACTTTAAATTAAAGCTGGTTCTCTTTACAGCGCAAAATATCCTCCTTGAATCGCAGTCTAAGCTTGGATACTTGCTTCTACATTGCATACACTACTATATTGAGCTTGATATGCACACTTTGTTTGAAGTTCACACTGAGGAGACTATTACAGCTGGAAGGGCAACCCTGAATAAGTTCTCAGAATTGATGGAGGTAAGTTGTTCAGATGCCATTAGTCTTTGAGCATCTGACTCATCTGGTGGGCTTTCTTTAGGAATATATCACCAAGTCACAGCCTGAAACGAACAAAAATTGGAGCTTTCCCAAGAAACATATGATCACGCACATTTTCAATGATATCTTAGCTAAAGGTGCAGCATGTAACTACAACACCAAGCCAAATGAGAAGATGCACGGCAGTTTACGGAAAATTTACCTCTAACAGACAAACTTCAAGGACGTTGCTCCTCAAATTCGTCATAATGCAGTGCACAAGTCTAACATCTCACTGACAAGTTACAGATCCTGCGCTATGACTATTGGCTTCTGATGTCAGCATCTATGCACACTGAGCTTGATGAGCTTGACAACTACAGTCGAAAGGCTTCCAATGACCCAGAGACAAATGAACCTCTAGATATTGAACCAGTAGTGCATCCTGTCGTCCACATGCACTTAGGTTTGAAACAAGGCAAACATTCTTTTCCAAACATCATGTGCACACACGGAACCAACAGAGCCTTTACCGACTTTCAGACCAAGTTAAATGGCTTCCTGAACGTGTTCCTACCACAGAATGGCATTCCCTTGCCAGATGGTCCAGGAAGGGCTCTTCATCTACGAGCTGAGGATGAGGTATACTATCTTCCTCAGTGTTGCAATTGATTATCCTCAATGATATTTCTGGCAGATTATAGAGTTCCAATTCCTGCAGATGAATTATGAATCTATGGTTGATTGGCACCTGCACCAAGATTTACTTTGGTGCAGCCCAAAATTCTATGGATCACTGAGGTTCGATTGTGTCATTGTGAAAACTACAGACAAACCATTTTTCGCTCACCTCATGTACTTGTTCAGCTGCTCAATTGGTGATACTGATTTTTCTCTGGCCCTTATCCATCCTTACAATGTCGGTATTGGTGTTCATCAAAGGAGGGATGTTGATTTGGGATTGTGGTGTGTATGCGCCAAACCTTGCTTATCGTCTGAAATCATTTCTGTCCAGTCGATTATTCGAGGGGCTGCACTTGCCAGAAATCCAGAAATGGATGGAGATCATTTGGTTATACATACTATAGATACAGACATGTTCCTTCGAGTCAAGTCTCTTCAATTATGATTATAGACATACTTTATGCCAAGATTTGCGCAATACTGATCATTAGCCTTCTTGATCTTGTTCTCTTGCTAGACGCAGATGGTAGCAGCACACATGTTTTGGGATACCTGGTGAAGATGGTGCCAGTACAATATGGGCAGCACAATCCTTCATACCTGGGGGCATTGGGGGAGATGTCGTCAGTAATTGTGAGGGGGGAGGTATCCATTATTTGGAAAGTGATCTCATGGGTGGTCAGAGATATGGTGATGATTGATGGTGGTGATACCGGCGCAGGTTCGTGTTTTGGGATACCTTGTGATGGTGGTGGTGGTACAATACCAGCAGTACAATCTTCCATACCTGGAGGTATTGTGGGTGATGTTGTCAGTAATAGTTGCAAGGGGTGAGGTGTTCATTACCTGGAAAGTGAGCTTGTGAGTGTGGCAGAGGATGGTGATGGACCAGCGGACAGAGATCATTGTTCATTGAGACTGGGTGAGAATGAATGTATAAGTGGTGACAGAAAAAAAATGGAACAATGACCAGGATGCACCTAATGAGTTGTGTGAACATGAACATATTATACTTTGATGATGGTGGTATTGATTCAGACACAGGCTTAGGGGGAGGAGGTCTGAATCCAAATTTAGCAAACTATCAATGATGTCACACACCACCATTCTCTTGCTCACATCATTACTATTCATTTGAACAGTTACGCACTTCTGCGCTGATATGACCCATGAGGAAGACCAGTTGATTCCAAACTTATACAAATACCTCCAGCCACGGGAGGCAGAGTTCCTCTTGAAGGGTCACCACATATGACCACCATCAAAGCCAACAACTCAGGTATTTTGAAACCACGTGTGCCTCACCCATCAGTAGATGTCAGCTTTTTTTTTTCTTTTTGATCCAATTTATGTCCATTGAGAGTTGTACTCTATGTAGGACAATACTATCTAGTCACAAAGCCCCGTGCTCCATACCTTGTCTCCAAATTCCAAAATGCATTGGTGTAGGGTATACCCCCACTAATCCACCATTCCCACTGGCTGTTTTAGATGGGCAATTTGTCGAAGAGAAGGTGACTGTATGTATACGTAGTGTTTGTGAGAGCCTGAGTGGATAAGTAGATAATGCATGCTCGGCCGCTTGCACAGACCAAACAGGGATCAGATAAAGTGTGCAATAAGTGGGGTGATAGGTAGGACTGGGAAGCGGGAACGAGCTTCTGAACCTTGTAGCAGGGTTGACGAGTACATGGCGAGTCCTTGGGAGGTCATCCCGATCTTCTATTGATTGAAACCTCAGGGTTATGCCGGAGATCCTGTGTGAATGAACGGGTGTTTATGGTATTAAGAATATGGTGGTAGTAGGGTGGTAGTAGGGAGATTAATATGGTAGTAGAGACTGGCGTGGATGCGGGTGATGAGGTTGTCTGGAACAGGGCTGTCAATCTAATCGTGGGGAGGGCATCGAGATTTCACCTAGCATAGACTTCATCCAGCAGGTGGCATTGACATAGTGTGCTAGATGAGGAGTGGCTTCTGGATCTGCCAGGAGGTAAGACAGAGAGGTGGATTTGTGGCCAAGCGTGCATGCTAAGATATGTCATTCTCTCTGGTATTGCAGGCATTCAAATAGGAAGTAGTGAATGGACTCCTCAATTCTTGGACAGTGTAGGCAGTGGGGGGATTCAACTTTGGTAAGATGGTGCAGGTGCTTGTTCAGAGGGATATGATGGGTGTATAAGCCAATGAGGAGGCCAGTGAGGCGCTTGGAGAAGGTGGAGGTCAGTTTGAGAAATGAGCAGTTGAGGATAGCGGGGTTGATGGGCTGGAGTCGTTGATAACATGGGGAAGAGGGCCACATTCTACCCCACCTGGCATGTGTTTGTGCACAATGAGCTTGATTCAGTGCAGAGATGCTGAGAGGCAGGGTACCATTATGAAGGTACTGGGGTAGGTGTGCGCGGGGCTGGTATGATGTGGGCCTTCAGCTGCCAGTTTTGCTGCTTTGCCCACCTCCTCATTTCCATGAACTCCCTGATGTCCTGGGACCCATCTGACCGTGATGTCGAAGTCTGGATGGGTGTATTTGATCTTTCTGATCATTCCCTAAAATTTGGTTGCTAGGTATGAGCCCAGGTTCAAGTGGGAGCTCTCACCAGATAACATTGCAGCTTGGTTGTTGATTGATATGGAGAGCGGAAAGGTGATGTCGCGCTCGGTGAGAATGAGCCTCGCTGCTAGAGTGAGTCCTACCATTTCTGCTTCAAATATGGTATGCTCCTTGTCGGTTCCTAGGTCATAGTGAATGGTTTGTGGTGCCCTTGCTGCATGGAAGAGAATCGCCACTGCCCCAATTTGGCCATTGTGACCTGAGCCATCACTGTATACCTGGATGTGATCCTGCAATTCTTGATGTTCCTTAACAGTGTCTTCCTTCAATGTCGCAATGTTGAGCTTGTATGGGTGTTGGGAGGTGGAGGCTCGGTTGGCTGGGGTGAGTGCTTCAATCTCATCTGGCTTGATGCTGAAGAATTTGGTGAGACAGTATAGGGATGAGCAATGGGATGCAACATAGCATTTTGTGGCACAACAGATTGGTATGTAGAGGGTGTGGGTATCTGGGTGAGCTGCCAGATGGACTATGGCATGGTGACAAGTGTTCTGTAGTAGCAGGGCTATGGGGAGGAGATTAGCATGTGCCTCAAGGATGTCAGTAACAGTGCTCTTTATGGCACCAGTCATGGCAATGGCAGCAAGGCATTGAATGGAGGTGAGTTTCTTGGTGACTCCTAGGGAGCCCCATTGGAGCTTATCTGTACCTTCATGAAAGGCTAGGGATCTTGGGGACTGCTGTGGCCTGATACAGCTGTTGCATGAGCTGGAGTGGGATACCTTTGGACATGGTGGATAGGCAGCGGAGTTGCATGACATACGCAAGCCCCTTGGTGAGGGCATGGTCCACTTGGGCTTTCTAGTGGAGCTCTTGGTCCAGGATGACCCCTAAGAAATGGTGAGTAAAGACAGGGTGAATAATAGAGCCTTGGATGTTCATTGCGGGGCGAGGGCATTGTCTGTTCATGGAGAAATCAATTAGCACAAATTTGTTAGTTTCAAAGCGGGAGTTGTGGGCCTGTGACTAGTCAAAACCTCCACCTGGGGGGAAAGCACCCTCTATGTCCAGGAACAGGACAGAGGCTACCTTATGTGCACACCAGGCATTCTTGGTGGTATCCTCCAGGAGGTGCAGTGAGTTGGTCGTGGATCGTCCAGGATGGCCCCCAAAATGGGTGTTGGGGAGGAGATGATGATGCTCTAGGAGAAAGGTTAATTGATCAGCTATAACGGCAGTGAGGAGTTTGCATGTGGTATTGAGTAGGGCTATGGGACAATAGGCTTTCGGAATACTGTAGTTAGGTTTGCCTGGTTTCCACAACACAACCGTCATGAATCTCTTCCATGGTTCATAGTAAGTACAATAGGTGAAGACCGCATTGAATATGTGGACCAGGTACAAGGTCAGTATGTTGGCGCATTCCTTAAATACAATATTTTGGATGCCATCTGGTCCTGGTGCTTTGTAACCGCTTAGCTTGGAGATTGCACAGTGTAACGATGGTAGTGGCGCTGGGCTCGGAACCACAGTTTTTCATACTCACATCAACACCCAAAACATACGCGCACATGTCCAATGCATCTTCGCACATGTCTGATGCACCTTCACACATGTCCAAGCCACTCCACATTGGATCCGGCACATCGGACTTTCGGACATTGCATCAGCTGATCGCACTTCGTGCACACTTGTCCATCCCGTGTCCTGTCCATCTGAACTAGTCTCACTAGGTGTGTAGCTATTCCCATGCATGTTTTCTGACATTCAGACCGTGTTATTACATGTCTGCAGCACCTCGTGTCTTATTACATAGGACATCAGACCCGAAATATATTGCTACTATCTTTGCCTGTATTATTCCGGATTTCTATGTACTTACTTAAATACTCTGTAGTGACCTGTAGCAATTAGGATCCAGTAGTTAGGAGCCATTTACCGACTCTGCAGATCACCCAGAATATTCTTGTAGTTCTTAGTTGCATTGCAAAATATTACCATTCGTTCACCATCATACTCTGTCCCTCATTATAGTCGCGCATACCGCTCGCAATCCGACACTCGTTATAAAGTTTCCAACCTATTATCGTGAAGTCCAAAAGTCCAAAATCTTGGACATCGCACTTTGGCTTTGGACATCGGATAAGTACCTTCGGACATTGTTTTGCAGCATCGGACATTTTGTTATTTGCATTACTGACACATTTTACTACTAATACCAATTAGCAATCCCTTTAGGATTGAATGCACTTGCTTGCAAGTATAGCAGCATAGGTCATGCTAAGATCTACCTAAATATTGTTGACTAGGTAGTACAATTTCTGCTGAGCCCAGCGGAGATTTACTCTTTACAATGTGGTCTACTAATTTCAATGCAGTGTGTTCCTTGATGAGTTCAGATTGGGCTAAGGTGACCTGAGGGGCAATTGCAGCTGATAGCTCATTGACGAGTTTCAGATTGGTGTCCTCAGAGAGCGCTTTCACAACCTGTTCTGCAATATCACATGCGACATGTTCCTTGAGGATGTATGCAACCGCGCAGATGGCTGAGACTGCTGAGGCTGGTGTGGAGCTGTAGATCTGCATAATATGAAATAGAATGGAGATTAGGTGGTTAATAGTAACGGGTTGATCAGATTGGCAGAGCAGTTTAGAGGTTAAATATACTTTTCCGGTATCCGCATTCTTGACAGTGTTCTCCATGGCTTTGATGGATTCCTGTGTGACGTTAGATCTGTTTGTCCTGTGGGTGTTGAGTCGATAGGTCAGTGAGGAAGTGCATTGGGTGGATGTAGGCGGGGTTCCCACTCCTACACTGACACTTCTTCCTCCTCCAGGCATTGATATGTTTGTTTGAGGTTTGGGGTTGTTGTTTTGCGGGAGGCCGCTGTGGGGCAGCATTGGCGCTGATGAGCGCAGTGTTGACGTGGACTTTTCTGGGGTCCTTGCCGGGGTGCCACTTGGTGTAGGTCCAAGAAGTGTTGGGTAAACTAGTTAAGCAGCATAAGGGAGTATGTTACATCATTTTCATTTCAGTTCATGGCTAAACTACCTTAATGCAGCAACTGCGCTCTTACTGTTATCGAGCAGCCTCTTCCGCCGGCAGGGCACGCCACACTCAGTTCACCAAGACCATCACAAAGTTGATGGCAACTTCGACTGCTTGGCCACATGGACCCACTGCCATGGAACATTTCTTACAGACGCACTACAAGGAGGACTCCTCAGTCAAGGAAGAAGTGGCTGCTCAATCAAATAATTGTGAGTACATGCAAAAAAACTGCATGTCCGGCCTTTGTGCAGAAGCCAGCAAAGCAATGACAGCCCATGGCAAAGCCTACATGATGCGGATGGAAGAGGAAGCCAAAGCCAAATGTCAATATTGCGCAGACAAGGTAAAACATGAACTAGAGGAGTTACGCAACCCCTCAGACACTCTCAAACTGCAGTAAGTTTCTTTTTCATTCACTCAAGTTTCTCAGTTTGTCTAACATACAAATAGATATATTGAAGGTTTAGGCAGAGTAGCCGGGCAACTACTAGAGATAATATTTGAGACAACTGGTTGGCATGGGAGCATATACCTAGGTGGCCTGTATCCATGTGCAAATGGGGACATTCATGTTTTCAGGAAAGTATATGTTGCTACTTCATTTGCAAAATGATTCTAATACGCAGACAGTTTTCACCATGGGAAGGGGAGCACTGGGTTCACCTTCCGCAACTCACTTCCTGACCACACCAGATGGATTGTCAAACCATTCACAATGTTTCTGAAGGGTGCATTTGGTAAGTGCACGTCCTTTTTCATTATGGGTAATTATCTAGGTTTTCACAGCTTCTAGCGCTACATCTCAACCACCCGAAGGATTACATGGTGAGGAGCAGATTGACTTTTTCAGTGGAGTCGACATGCTCAATCCCACCCCTTCTTTTACTGAAGCCTGTGCTAACACCCCTTCAATTCCGGTTCAAGAACTGTCGGCTTTGGAGTCTCTGCCTATGGAAGGCAGAGGTGTATTCATACACCCCGCTGACAAAGAACTTTGTGACGTGATTCACCCATATTCACATGACCCAAACAGCTATTCCTTGCCCAATGGTTCCTTTGACTCCGGGTTCTACAGGCCTCTCAACCATTACATGATAGAAATCAGTTTACCTGAGCCTGAACCTGACATGGACTACAACCTTCCAATACTCCCTCCCTTCCCTTCTCAGGATGGCCCAGACACACCCATAACTGCATGGAACAAGGACTTCAATGCTGGTAGGATTTCCGTCTTTTATCTGCCCCATCTTCATGATGCCTTTGCATGTGTGGCTTCACTGAGTCCTTCTGTCCAAGGCAAGAAAATACCCCATGCATGTCCTGTTATTTGGGGTCAAGCTACGGCCCCTTCTATCTATGATCAGCTCTGTGACTCAGCACCACCGTCTCCTAATGCACCCCCTGCAGGCCCCTTGTTGACAGTTCCTGATGTTGCTGCTGTGCCTGGGCCTCTCACAAGTGACACATCAACATCTTCCAATGCACCAGCCCTACCTTCTACCCCACCTGCACCAACATTGATGTCTCCCAATGCACCAGTTCTACCTTCTACCCCACCTGCATTAACACCAATGTCTCCCAATGCACCAGCCCTCATGTTGGCAGTTCCACCTTCCTCCACACCTATATCTACATTGTTGTCTTGTCATGCACCTCCTGCAGCCCTTGTCTTGGCAGTTTTACCTCCTGCCTTGCCTGCATTAACATCAACATCTATACATACACCTCCTGCAGCTCTTGTCTCAGCAGTTCCACCTCCTGCCCCTCCTACAGCCCTTGTCTCAGCAGTCACCGCTGTTCCTGCTGTTTCTGTGCCTCTCATGACTCCTATGGAAGGTAGTCAGCCTCAATCTAGCACTGTGGACCAACCAATGGAGGAGATGCAACCATTTGATGAGATAGTCAATCAGTCATTCTATTGCAGCAGCCAAAATTGTCTTCCATCAACCCGTCTGATGGACGCTAACAAGATTGGCAACACTTCAAAGAGATAAGTTAAATGTTCTTAGTGTGTATTAGAAGGGCCATGACATCTTTTTCAGATCTCGCAAGTCTAACGCACGAAGAAAGCCATGTAAGCTCATTGGGGGCATTCACTTTAAGTTCTTGTTACCTTGTTGCTTGTATATGTACACTGTCTACATCTTGCACTATGTGTTACGGACTTGGATAGTGTCTGTTGGCAACACTCAAACAGTGTGTGTGTCATCAACGGTCAAGGACGTCCTTGGGCTAGCCCAAGGTTAGGAGTCTTTCTTGGCAAAGCTTCAGCAAGCAAGGTTTAATGCCTATGTCCAAATTGGGTAGCTTATGTCAAGCGGGGCTCAACGATAAGCATATCTGCCAAGGCTTATGACACCCAAAGGTTAATTGTAAGATCTGCATTAATAGAAGAACAGAAGTCCAACTAATAACAGGGACTTTGCTCAACGACGATGTCAATGAGTAAAGATCGAGAATAGAGACTTATCTGTGGTGAGCAGATAAGAAAGTAGAATATAGACAGCTGGCTAGGCTGAAGGAATCACTCTGGTGAGAGTAGGAGGTCAAGAACCAAGTAGATTCAAGTTAGAGAACTAGTTACATGGTAGCGAGTTTATATAGAGGATGGGGAGTGTATTAGAACTCATACTACCAGAAGAAGATATGGTCAAAGGGTGATACTAAAAGAGGAAGGCACATTCAAGGTGAGTCATAGGCGAACTGGAATGTGCAGATAAGAAATGAGTCAAAGAACAGAAATAGGAAGTGAAACAGGCAGGGGCACAATTGTGTCACTGTGGATCTAAGTATAAGTACAATGTGCAACTGCGCACTGAGTCATAGAATAAGAAAGGGAAACGGGGCAAATGGATGCAGCGTGCATCATGTCATTGGTGACGATCTGGACGGTAAGGGTAGAGAGGACCGTCCACAGGATCAGTCATCAGGTGGAATGGAGCATGGGTATGCTTCATCAGAGAAAGGGTCCAGCCAAATGTACTGGTTCTGCTGAAGTGATAGATAGAGTGCGAAGGGGAATGCGAGGATGACAAGGATAACGAGAGCAAGGTCGGGGTAAGGGTGTGATGCAAGGGCTGAGACAAGGAGGATAAGGAGAAAAATGGTAGGGGCCCAAGTGTCTAGATGTTCTTGTAACACTATGTATTAATTGACACAAATATATTCATCCTTGATGATACAAATGTTGAAATATCTTTGTAGCAACTTGAAATGAGAGACTCGAAAAAAAATCAGTGTGAATGCAGGTGCAGGACTTGGCAAAATTTTGGTTGAAAGAGCACATGACACTGTACTGGCGGGACTTCATGAAATTTTGGTTGACAACAGATTCTAGAATGTGGCACGTGCTACTGTATTGATACAGGTGATCCCTGTGCAGGACTTGTCAAAATTTTGGTTGAAAGAGCACGTGACACTGTACTGGCGGGACTTCGTGAAATTTTGGTTGACAATAGATTCTAGAATGTGGCACGTGCTACTGTATCGATACAAGTAAATTTGTTGCACTAATAGTAATAGGAACGGAAAACAAAGTATGTGATATATTTAGACAGGAGATGATGGAACATGGCACATGCTACTGTATTGATACAAGTAAATGTGTCGAATAGTAATAGGAACGGAAAACAAAGTATGTGATATATTTAGACAGGAGAAGAAGGTATGTCCCAAATAGGAACGGAAATGCGATATATTTGGACTGCTGTCCCATTAAGGTACACTCGGCATGCTGTTTCCCAGAGAATTGATACAGAGAGAAGCATGGAAGCACAGGAATTAAGGTACATCCTGAATGGGATGGCTGGAAATGCCCGAGAACAGCACTGGCATGAGTATTGATACAGAGAAGCCTGTATCCATACTATTGTGGAGGCTGGGGATCCTCACTGAGTATCAAAAACTATCCTGTTACTATCCCTGAGTTTGTATTGATAATTATGACAGTATACCCTCCTGATTTGTCATCGGAGCTCTAATTATCGGCAAGTTGCAAAATTCTTACCTTGCAGAATTTCTACGAAGTCAACTTTGAGAACGACTATAGGCCAGCCACATTTTAATTTCAGCTGTAGCCGGGCTCGAAGCCCAAGCTACAGCAACACTAGAGCCTAACATCCTCTGTGTCATCCAATGAGATTCCAAGGTACTTGTTCATTCCAAATGGACGAAGCATGTTGATGACAGGATCAGAAAAGAGCATCGTAAATGAATAACTGATCAGATCAATCTGTGACCGAGTAAGAATAGACAAAGCCATATCCCGACCTGTCTGTCATGCTGAAGGAAGATCACATCACCCAGATACAATGTCTCCCCTCCACATCTCACGGTTGATGTGGTCGACGTTTTCATGTCGTGTACCTATCTTGAGATGATGGTGACCAGGATCAAGCTCCGGGTGCCGCTCGAACACACTATCGATGTCCTTAGCAGCACCCAAGCGATCAAGCACCTGTGAATATGAACACCCTTGCTGCAGTAGATTTTGTCTCGTGAGTACTATGAGCAGGTTGCTGTACAACCAGGATTGAACCACATAACTCACTAGAGTCAAGGTTTGATATGCCTCTATTCGTCAGTTGAGAATTAAGCCAGAAGGCTGGAGCAACGTCGAGACTCTTAATCGAGCGAGTGTTGGATGAAATGCAAGGTTGGGTGACGGCCTGTCAGTGAACCTGTGAACTTGAACAGATGAGATTAGTATTTGAAGCAACATATACTATCCCCTACGGTGTATTCGTGACAGCCTGCCATTTGGATTTTCGTGAATCACACAAATGCCACGGATAGTCACACTTGCCGAAATTACCGTCCGCTCGCCAGGTGTCCGATTCAAAGACTTCAGAGGAACTGTGACACGTAAGTACCTACGAGAATGAGTATTAACTTCTCAAATTTGTTGCTACGCTGGTGAGTTCAATTGGTATGCAGTAAGATCGGGAGTTCCAGCGAGCGTTCTGTTGTGACGAATAAGAGAATTGACGATGCCTGCCAGCAAGTCATGGTACGACCGTAGTAAATCAGATAAATACTCTCCTGCAGGTTCTGCCAAATTTCGTGTGATCTGACAGCAAAGTGCCCATAAGTATATACAAGATATAAAAGCTGGTCGTTGTCCCTGGCACGGGCCACAGTGTTCCTACATCCTCAGAGATATCATTCGATATTCCCCTCAGAAGATTCCATATCTCCTCGCACAGAAAATGTGTTTCTCCCTTCTCGCCATTATCATTGCTTTGACAGCATCTGAGTTTGTTGCATCATGTTATCCCAACGGTGCTCCTTGCGATTCACATTCGGAATGCTGCAGTAACTTTTGTCTCGTGAGTATGCTATGCAGCCAGGATTGAACCATATGACTCACTTGCGCGCCTTAGAGTCAATATTTGGAATGCAGCTAGTCGTCGGTTGAGAATTAAGCCAGAAGCCCGAGGGGCACGTCGCGGCAGTGAGTCATGTTTCTGCTTTCGCTTTAGTATCATGGTTGATGATATTGAATACCTAGTTCGAAGCCAATCACCACTGTTGCTTTTGAGATTAATTTTCGCACGAGATTGTTGGAATTTATCTGGAAATGTCAACCGTGCCCAGTGTTGCTTGTGGTCCACTACCATGATTCTTTGAGCGTGATACAAGGGGGGCACGTAATGGTAAGTAAGAGACCCGAGTCTGGCCTCAGTGATAAGTTATGAAGGAGTGTAACACGTGATTTGTGATGTTGTAAGCGGCATGCCATGTAAGCGTCCAGCCACATATCCAACATATAGACCCCTCTGCCATCAAACACTCATTTCTCAAGCTCACCTCGTCATTCTCTAAACGTCTCACCGGTCTCATCATTGGCCTACGCACCCGTCACCTACCACTCAACCAACACCTGTTCCGACTCACGAAAACCGACTCTCCCGATTGTCCTCATTGCCCATATATTGATGAAACTGTCCCTCACTATCTATTTGAATTCCCGCATTATCTCGCAGCTCGTCAAGTCATGTCCCAGGCCCTGGGACGGAAATCCACCTCGTTATCGCACATCCTAACTGACCCAGAAGCCATTGTCATCCTTGTCCGATATGTTAACCAAACTCGTTGATTAAAATCCACGCTAGGTGAAATCTCGCTACCTAAAACCTGACCTTTCTGACGCACCCTAATATCCAGCTACTACTCTACTGTCACTTGACTCCCTCCATAATATCATATCCTCCCCTAATCTCAACCCTAACAGCTCGCCTACACGAGATCTTCGGTCTCACCTTGGGGATTCAGCCAGCAAGACGCGGATATAGGACTCCCCGACACCTTGGACCACCTGTCTCTCAGTCCATCTAGGAAGCGCACCCCAGCTTCTATGTCTCCTCGATTCTTATATCCACCTTACTCTTACTGCACACTCCAACTGATCTCTGTTTGGCTCGCGAAAGCGACCGAGCATGCGTTATACGTTTACCGATAGCCTCTACACAAGCAATCTTACTTATAGTCATCCCATAGTGTACCACATCGCCCATCTAAAACGGCCGGCGGGAACGGCGGACTGGTGGGGTACGCCTTACACCAGGGCATTTGGGGATGTAACGAAGGGACGGAGCATGGGGCTCCCTGACTAGACAGTACTGTCCTACATAGAGTATATCTCTCAATGGACAAAAAATTGGATCAAAAAAAAAAAAAAAAAAAAAGCGTCCAGCCTTACAGGTTGCCTGGCTTTCCATAAAGTTCGCTATGCATATGCCTCTGAAGTTGAACTTCAGTATCATTTTCATTCCATTCCAATCGGCGTATACTTTATGTAAAGTCTCGCCTTTCTCGCAGAGCCTCCTGTTTTTCATGGGCGCTCCTCATGAGTCATGTACCCAAATGTGCGTTTACCAGTTGGGTTAAATCATTCCCAGGCATTAACAGATCCTGAGTTCCTCGCGGAAGTTGGAAGAAGATAGCACGCCAGTGATGAACGGCAAGGTCTCGTACAACATCATGATCATCCAGGTACGTCCCTTTCCACATGCAAGAGCTCTTAACACAGCAATCAGAACAATGACAGGACGGCGTCGACCATGTTCTTTTCGACGTTGTAAAGAAGCCACTGGGCAAAGCTAACCAAGGACTCGTTCTTAGCCTTCGTACCCTACGACCCATGAAAAATATGCTCAGGCCACAAATCGGTAAGGATCATGGATTCCCGGGCGTTTTGACCTAGAGTTTGTGAGGTTCGGAGCATGGTGGGCTGTGCAATTTCGCCAATTGTATCGCTGGATTTTGGGATGAAGATTTGCAAAGATAGAGGTTGTTGGTGTATAACAATGATCTGGTGTGATCTTTCCTGAGCTGTCTGCTGATATCCGTCGTAGTGGACAATAAGCTCAGGCAGCTAGCACCCATATATTCTTATTTTTCATCCTGAATCAGTCAATTTCTTTCTCATAATATGCGATACTTCGATGTGGAGATGACATGAACTACATTGTCAATTTGTGAAGTGCGGTTTGCCTTCTTCTATGATCACTATATAGGTATAGATAACAAATCAAATAGGCCAAATTGATCTGAGTACACTTTACAGTAATACAGTAGGTACACGAAAAAACCTAGGACCCAAGTGAAATGCGAACAGTCAAGGACTCAAACTTCCGTCGCTCTCACATACATCCCCATACCATCAATATGATACTGCTCGCCGACCAGCTCTTTAAGAGCAACCATCAAACGATCAAGTCGAGTGATAATCCCAAAGGTGGTAGAAACGCCAACACAAAATGTCCTGAAACAAAGCATGATCAACCTCTCGAATGGAAAGAAAACGAGAGGACTCACATGTACTGCAGATTCTCCAACGTTTCCACGGTAAGCGTCCGTGGCAACCCATAATCGTCTTCCGACTCTTCATGCACTACGTTCAAACCGTGATGCCTGAGCATGAACCTGTCAAGTAATGGACATGGCGTAATTTGAGGCAAAGGAGAGCCTGTGTGCAGTGCATTGGAGATCAGACCTGGGAAGGGAGCATAAGTTTACCGCGGGTAAAAGAGTATGATCAGAGAGCATACTGATAACAGCGAGGACATCGCCTTGGAAATCCGAATCAAGCATCCGCGTCCGGCGAAGGAAGGCATGAGCCCAAGCAGGTTCCAGATCATGCACTATCGACATGAGATGGCATAACTGGTACGCGATTTGCCTGTTTTTGATTAAAAACACAAGATGGTCAGAAGATATAGATACTCACATTTGAATCTCCAATATCTTGAGATACCTCTCAGCGGGCCATTTTCCGCGCAACGAAAACTAGTAAATGAACACGTGTGAGGGTCTTTATCCAGAACGTTAGTATTCACCTCGTATATGACATTCTCCTTCAGCATGAGTGATCGCTTGAGTTTGCTGCGGATGGCTAACAAGCTTCGAACTATGATGGCGTTGTCTCTATTTACGTGTGAGTTCGCATAGGACACGACCGAACAGTAGATCGCTCCAAGTTCAGCCGATGTTGTAGCCAGCGTTCGCCGCTGATACGAACGAATAGTCGTTGACGGAGGGAAGTGGGAGAAAATACTGTCAACGAGATCAATGACTGTTAAATGTGCAATCAGGGAAATCCTTTACCCCGCAGCCAAGACACCGACGGTGACTAGTACGAAACGGCGCTTTATTGCGTGTTAGCCAATATGTCGAGAAAGGCACACAAAGACTTACCCAAGTCACATCAATACCCCACCCTGGTGACGAAGAGACAGTCAAATGAGTATCTTCATATGAATACCCCATGACCTGTGCCAAACCATCAGTTTCATTCATTCAAAAATTCCAACTTTTAAATCATACCAATGCCGCTGTGACCCATATAATCAAATTCGTCATGGGCGGGATAGGCCAATACAATCGAGCAAAGAAAAATGACGGGTAGCAGACCGCACACACAGCTGCCAGTCCATAAGGGTTGCCTCGGCCGTTCCCTGCGGAAATATACCTGTGGGCCAATGAAAAATCTGCAAAGATCGTTCAAGTCTGTGACGCACCATATGGCTGTACCAATCAAGCCGCCAACGAAAGTACTTATTATCCTAGCTATTAAACCGAACGTCGTATCTCCGCGAAAGCGCGCGAGAGTAAGCTGAGCCATGAAACTTCGAGAGTGTCAATCATTCTAGCATTACGGAGTCCGCAAAGATCTAACTTACACCGCCCAAACAAATTTGTTTGCTTCACGCATCGTCAGTTGGGGACCAAAAGCATATACACTCTGCACACTCACCGTATGCAAACTCTGCCGACGTCTTGAGGAAAGACGGGATAGAAAGGATCACTGAACATACCGACGGTCAGAAAATTAAACTTAAAAAGGAAGGACGACCGACCTGTTAACGCTGCCGCTTTCAGGGCGAAGAGCGTGTTTCCACCTCCGATGCTGATGGCGGCGCGGTAAATCCAGTTCAATCGCCGTTTCAAGTGCATTTCTTGGGGGAAGGGCATCGGGATCGCGTTTGACTGCCTTTCCGAGGTCCGTCATCCAAGCAGGGTCCATGCCTGGGATAATTTCTGTACCGTAATGTTAGCAACATTGACCACAAGAATGCCTATAGAAATATACCAGGATCCTCATCATCCTCTTGTTCGTTAATATCATACGGTTCCCATGTTTTCCAGATGAACAACTTCGGCAAGGAAGGAAGCCATAATTTGGGCTTCTTTCTTTCCTTTTCGAGTCGAATGATTTCTTTGAGCTGCGTGTGGTTTAATATTCATCACCAACTTGGGGTCGAAGAATTGACGCACCATGTCTTGTAATAGTGCAGAAAACTGCAAGAGATGGTACTGGTACACATAACAGTGGAATAGAAACCGGTGGGGAGGAACTTCATAGTCACTAGACGCATCGTCGTTACTGTCGAACATTGGACGATATGGGTCCAAAACAGTCAACCTGTCGCGACTGCTCAGTAACAAAACGGCACAAGAGCACGTAAACTGTGCACCTCTTTTTGGTTTTGAATTCGTCCAGTTCCCTTGTTAGTTTTTGAAGCAAATCCTCATACATCTGGACTTCTTTCTTATATATTGCGCCTTATCTTCATGGTGGCCCCTTGAAAAATCAAATCTAAACTTCCTAGCATTGCCTATCCAGGCCCCAGATATTCCAAGTACTTCCTCGCACACGCTCAGGAGATCCTGGCAGCTGTTGCTGAGTAGCTCGTTTGCTCGAGCGGTAAAGAAAGTTGAATCTGGATGCGACAAATGTATCGCCTCCAAGTTCAAATATTTCTGCGATTCAAATACACCCACCGCTGTTTCCCCTGAGTGCTTGGGCACCCGAGAAAGCGCCAAGTGCAGCAAGGAACTGTGCAAGAGTGTGTTATGGGCGTGGTGTGAGTGCGAGTGCTTATACTGACGGTGCGGACCATGGAGGGGCGAGGTAGAGTCCACGGGATATGACCGTACGCGGGAAGATAGCGGCCGGTGGTGATGGAATTGTTTGCGGTTTCTGAGTTCCTGGTCAGCCGAGGGTGCGCGCTTTTCTTCTTTAGACCGCCTGTCGGGCAGAGGAGAGGGCGGTCCGGAACGCACAGGTGTTGCAGGGCGGGAGACAGCGGGAGTGACAGGGAAGCGCTCTCGCGTCGGATCGATGAGTGTATAGTATACACCCATACCATGCACTCGCACCATAAGCTTGCGCACGATCACTTGCAATTCGTCGTAATCGGTAGGCGCGAAGCGTGCGTAGACGATATCGGCTTTCAGTAATCGGGCAGCAGCTGCGACCATAGGCAATGTATTCTCAGCTTTGCTTGTTGCATCTGTAATCTGTTTGTGGGAGAACGCAGATGAGGTGACGTCTTCGAGGAGATGAGACCTGTGTAATGAGATGGCTGTTGCAAGAGGCGCGACGGCCCCCTGCATGCACGTCGTGAAGTGAGCGGACACAGATTGCGGAAACACGAGAATCGACAAGATAAGGGCGATCGCAGAATGAAATGCCATTGGAAGAATGATTATTTGACCGATCTAAAGACTGGTGAGTGTACATTTTCCGAAACAGAAAACCTGTCACCTTGTAGTACGGATAAGGAAAAAGAACAGCGGTAGTCAAGGAATGTCTGTAATAGATAAGCTCAAAGAAGCAAAGTGTATATGAGCGATACGCACCAACACATATGCATCCAAACACCGAAGCGGGGAGGAAAGGTCCGGGACCTAGTCTAGCCTTAATGTATAGGAAGAAAACACTTCCGATGAAAAGGAAAACGCCCAAGATAACGGAGGGCTTTGTCACACGCGTCAACATATGTACTCGATTTCAAAACAAAGCTTACCCCTGCTTCAATGTACTCTCCTGTGATAATAGTGCGTAGACTAGCGTCGGGTACGGTTTGTGTGCGAGCTAAGCTAGCAAACAAAAGGCCCAAGCAGACCCAGCTGAAAGGGATCATTGTATCAGCTAAGAACGAAGAGAAAGGAGTTGTACATACGCCCAACCCAATGCTACAAATGCGAGTACGATGATTTCGCGTTCCAGAACTGCTATGAAAGGATCGCTGGGAGGTGATAAAAACGAAGCTAGAAAGAGTCAATGCTATGGCATAATGAACTCATATGTGGGTTACTCACCTATTATGATAAGGAAGGCTGCCTTTAAACGACGCGATCATTGAACGAACAATATAAAAGTGACAACACAACATACCTGCCCGAGTATATTTTCTGTTCGGGGAATAACAAAGACCACCACAGCGATCCAGGCGGCAAGGGCGCTTCGAATGACGGGTTTCCATTTGGACCAAGTAGAGTTAGCTGGTATCCATCGCAAGCTTTGTGGCAACTTGATCTTCTGCTTTACTGGCTGTTTCTCTGTGGGACCAGAAGACTCGGATGTTACATCAGTATTTTTCTCTATGTCGCTCGCTGCTCGTTCATTCTGATCCTCGTTTGACGGCCCCTGTGAGGACCGGCGCTGGTTTCTTTCTACTTCAACGATAGAATTCGATTTATTGATGATTTTAGGTGGATCTGTCTGTATGCGAACTTGAGGGCGAGATGGTGCCATGCTTGTCCTGAGCAAGATTTAACTTGTCCATGTGAAAGATTTTGACTCGAGCCAAGACTTACCTTGTTTAACGTTAGGCCCAATTTCAAATTTCATATAGTACCGGAAGATGTCACTACCAACTCACCTTTACCTGCGCGCTCGCCAGTCTACTATTTCCTACCCGCTTGCCACAGTGCCAACACCACGTCGTCGTCTGTAACATAGCTGCCATGTCCTTCCTCCAAGGGACTAGAACTGTGACGGCAAGCTGACAAAGTTAACGAGATTACTATGACAGTTGAAACGTTGACAGATAGAGCATATGGTGTCAACGGCTGACATGGTTGCGATGATACATGCCCGGAACTTTCCGATCATACACAGACTTCTGTTGCGGAATCTGTGCATCATATGCATAGACTGGCCATTTCCTACATGTCTACGCCACTCGAGTCACTCGTTCGTGGTTATATAAGTCAGGCTGAGCATACTCGACAGCTTACTGTGTGGTATCACGATATTAAGCGCAGCAAATACATTACAAGCAGACTTGTTACGGTCCGGTACAAGAGGGTGGCATCATAGAGCCAGAGCAGTATTGTCCAATTTTGTGAATGTTCCTTTTGATCTCCATCAACACAACAGCTCCGAGTCCATCAACAGAAGATCCAAAGCGCTATCGCCAGAGACCTCAAAGGCATTTGTCAGTAGGTTTATGTGCGAGTTCCCCCATCGTCTATGAAGCCGAGGAACCGGAAGGCGTGGGTATGAAGGCCAGATCAGGTGTGCAGAACAGGTACGGGATAGCAGAGAGTTCCATCCGGGTATCGGGGGTGGGATCAAGACGGGCGTAAGCGGGGAGCATGGTCACAGAGGTATCGAACGAGAAGATCGACTGCTTGACAAGTTCATCTAGAGCTATTTTCGGATAATCTAGCCCGCGTAAGTCAGTACAGAGATATCGGATGAGTATATGTACAGCTCTAAAATGTATAACCAAAGAGGTATCACCTTCCATGGGTTTGCAAAGAGTGCAAATAAAGTCGGATATGTCTGATTCTCCTTGGTTACAGACTCTCTGTAACAAATCTTCACTGCAGGGTATGTTATCGGTGCTTCTATCGTCGTAGAGGCTAAAGCTCGGCGCTAGGCTGTTGCAATGAGGGTATATGCGTCGTTCATACACCACACACGCTTCAGGAGAGCATACCTGTAGAGATCTTTGTCGTAACCTGCATCCTTTTCGACATCTGTCCCCGGAGTGAGGGTGCGTGATACCGGCGAGGAATTTTGAACATCGTGGAGTAGATATAAATTTCCTTGCGTAGGTTCCGGAGCCATAGATAGAGTAGATACGGAAGATCTCATAGACAGAGCAGACACGGACGATCTCAGAGACACACAAGATGAGTCGGAACCATAGGCCCCAAACGTAACCAGTGTGTCAGATGGCGAGTCAACATCGGTTCTGTCAGAGCAGGCAGGTGAAGGAGACAAAAGCTCTCTCTTCACTTCAAGTGTCACCGGAACAGCTCGTGGCTTCAACGAAAGCTCGTACGAGTCGCTTGATATCGGCCGTCCCTGTTTCTTCGCCTGCGATTTGCGATTGGAGAACCATTGGTCGACGCGCAAGGGACTTATATTCCGCGAGACGGCCCATGCATGTCGCGAAGCAACTGTTGGAACACGAGGATCAGATTTCCAGATGACCCAAAGCTCTTCTCGGGCGGCTCGAGGTATGTGTGGAATAGGGACTTTCGGAGGTGGAGATTCGTCACGGTCTTCCTGGAATTTGGATTTGATGGCATAATATGCCTTGCTTTTGGGGTTGGAAATAGAGCGTTCGTTGATGGCTGGGTCGGCAGAAGAGTTCTGACTCGGGATCGTGACCTCTTGAATTTCGAGCTTAATGGCGCGATGAGACAGGAATTTTGGTCTGTAGGTCGAACCGAGAGGGCTGGTTGAAGTAGCTTTTGTAAATTTCAGTTCTTTCATGTTTGTTGGAGACCAAAAGAATGAAGTGCACAATGGGACTCAGCATGGGAGGATCCTGAATTCCATATCCCAGCCGGCCCTAAACCAAACCGTATATCTTCATGGTGGCGCACTTCATTTTGCTGTAACTCATTAATGGACTCGCACTATTGTCCCCCTGCGATTCAACCGTTTTGCTTGCAGGAGTCTACCGCTAGTCCCAGAATATATCGAGCTGTTCAGCTGGAGTGCGCCCTCGTACGTGGTACGGTCTCAAGACATTAGGGAAGCTTTCCTTACCAGAGCTGCTACAAGACATACATTGTATTCGAATTTTTATTTATATAATATATGGTGCCGCATGACTATGAATTTTGTTGAACCAGATTCCTCAGTCGCTCGCTCTGCGGCCAAGCAAGTACTAATTATCTTACATTAACACTCCGAGTCACAGATTCACCGGAGAGGCTACTGCGCCGAAGCCAAATTCGGAGTACGCTTTGGACGAAGACTTTACTGATCACAATCTATGAACGATACACAAGTTCCTTCAGTACATACTGTAACGCCGCAACCAAGTTTTGTGCCGTATGAGTTCGTGACAAACCTAATACTAGAAAATTACCTTCGAACAGTGAGGACCAATTGAAGAATCTTCTGCAGACGGGCAATGTCGACGATTTTTATTTGCAAAATCTCAGCGAGTCTCGAACACAGGTGTCTGTGGTTATAGTAAATGCAGCCTGAGGGACGTCACACATTCGATGTCTTTTTATATTATGTAATATTCCTCTCCAAGATCGACGTCCAAGCTCACAAATTAGGCTCGTGACCACCATCTCAAATTGACGCATAGTCAGACTGGTTACGAGTCTACTCACAAATACCAACCAGGCATGCGGCCCTTAACCCCATTTCAATTCAGCACCCACAATTCTTCCTTTTCCGACCCTCACTGTCTTACTACGGATACAACAGTTGCTTCGCCCGGTTTATTATATGACGCAGGCCACCACCGTGACAAGGACTTTGATCTCACCCATATCATGAACCCAGCATTCAACGCTATGCCCCCCAATTCTGTCAACGTTTTTCGAAATGGTGTCAAACGAGGGCCCAGTTAAACGGTGGCGCACAGAACAGGATGCCACTGCGACTCTTGAGGTTACAAGGAGCTTGTCTGTTCTGCTCACGAGTCAATATCCAAATGTTCTTGGGGCAGATTCTGTTGTAATCTAGTAAAACGCACGTCAGTCCCCCGAATATACGTGTATGTTGGCCGGTACGTCTTCTTTGATACTTCAGAATATATGCGCCAATTACTCATCCGCGGATTTGTACTAAACTTGCCTTAAGCTATACAAGCTCGCAGCCGGCCTTTCCTTCAGTGCTAACCAGCGTGGTCGACGCTCGAGTTCAGCCAACACACACGGTACCTACTGCTCCGTCGTCGTTCATTCCCAGAACCACCATCTTCCGGGGAACTCCAAATGTACCGACCCTGTCGAGCATCACGGGATGCCGCCCACGACATGCCCTTGTTTGCTCTCAGATATATCCGAGTCAAGGCTCAATCGTCTGGAAGACCTCGGAAGATCGAGCTCACCTCTATCTACAGAGATTTCCGACATCGTTGTTTTTCAGCTAGACCGGGTAGGGAAGAGCGAATTTATGTCATTTCCGTCGTATTCTGATTGTTCCTTATAGTTCATATCTCCATCAACGTCCACATTTGTTGCGTAAGCCTTGTGTTTTATCGTACGAACGATTGAACAGTTGCTTCGTGTCTGTGCGAGGGCATAATCAGTCGTTTGATGCAGATAGATAAGAGATAGACGCCGTGTGTAGCTGTTGTGTCGAAGCCATATATAAATGCCCTTGCTTAGTGTTCAATCGCTATCATAACTCGCCACGATCTCGTTCTGTACCACGGTACAGCTTTCACGATAAACTAAATCACCTCTACTTCAGGACGCACACCAAGATCTCCACAATGGCAACCTTCGATGCCCAGGAAATCAAAGAAATGATCGAGCGCTTTCGAGTTCTGATCGTAGGGAGAGCAAATGCAGGCAAAACGACCATCCTTCAGAATGTCTGTAACACTACGGATGAACCAGAAATTTACGATGTCGAAGGAAATAAGGTGCGGGTGATGATCTATGCCATGCAGGCGTCTATCGCTGATCAATCGTGGGTAGATCGATGCCGACGTTGTGAAATCCTCGATCAAGGTGTGTGCACTAATTGTCTATGTGCATATACGCGCTGACAGATGCTCAGCGCGGAGATCATGACATCGCAAACGAGATGGTATTCAAAAGCAATCCCGGTTTTGTCTTTCACGACTCGTGTGGTTTTGAAGCGGGTTCTAAAGAAGAGTTCGAGAACATGAAGACATTTATCTCAGAACGAGTACACACGACGAAATTGAAGGAGCGAATCCATACCATCTGGCAAGTAACTATCTTCTGACGTTCCGCAATTGTTGATTGCCATCAGGTATTGTATACCAATGGATGAGCCGTGTCGAACATTCCAGCTGTCAGAGGAGAAGTTCTTTATGGAATGCGACACTGGGCATGGTGAGCTTGCAACTTCATCGTCACTGGCTAGTATGCTCGGACTAAACCTTCAACCTTCAGTTCCCGTGATTGCGGTGTTCACCAAGTTTGAGTCTCTGCGTCCAGTCGCGTTTGGTGAAATCAAGAAGCAACTAAACGGTTTATCGGCAGAAGAACGCTCGAAGAGGATTACACAACGCGTCGAAGTGCTGTTCACTCAGACAGGTGTCTGTGATAGATTATGCGACTCTCAAAACCGTACCCGTCCCAAGTTCTATGTGCGCTTGGAGAGTAAGTGGTTCAAATTGACTTGTCCCATGTCAAAATTGATCTTAGCAACCGTCCTAGATATGAACAAGCCCAACGCAAACTGTAACACTCTACTAGAACGCACCGCTTTCGCACTGGATAATGAAGAATTACGGTTTTGCTTGGTATCGACACAACAATCGAACCTGGAACTTTGTATGAAGTGTGCCGTTGCGTGAGTCGCAAATTTTAAAGTCACATATTTTTGTTCCAACATCATCTAGAACACTTGTTAATTGTGCAAATAAACCATTTGGGCTACATCGAATCAGTGATGGTGTCTATCAGTGTGACATTGCTAAGTGGTTTTCTCATCTCAAAGTAAGACGAATATGTCATTCAATCTGACGATGCCCTGGTAATGGTGCTCACGAATGGTAAACATTGAAGTACCGAAACTGTAAACTTTCTGATATATTTTCCCTCACTGTAGTTGCACCTTGATAAACAGCTGGTGAGATTGTGGTTTACAAAGCTTACAAAGCTTGAACAGCATGAACAACGCTGATGGTTTGTCCCTGCTCGCCTGCTGACAGTGGGTGGGTGCCTTGGTTGTTTGTAGTCCTCGACCCGTGCTCATGATGCCCATCCCTCGCTGCTCGCCTGTTGACAGTATGTAAGTGCCTTGATTGTTTGTAGTCCTCGACCCGTGCTCATGATGTCCGTCCCTTGCTGCTGCTCGCCTGTTAACAGCCGGTAAGTGCCTTGATTGTTTGTAGTCGTCGACCCGTGCTCATGATGCCCATCCCTCGCTGCTCGCCTGTTGACAGTATGTAAGTGCCTTGATTGTTTGTAGTCCTCGACCCCTGCTCATGATGTCCATCCCTCGCTGCTGCTCGCCTGTTGACAGGAAGTAAGTGCCGCGATTAATTGTAGTCCTCGACCCGTGCTCATGATGCCCATCCCTCGCTGCTGCTCGCCTGTTGACAGGAAGTAAGTGCCTTGATTTTTTGTAGTCCTTGACCCGTGTTCATGATGCCCATCCCTCGCTGCTGCTCGCCTGTTGATAGGAAGTAAGTGCCTCAATGATTTTTAGTCCTCAACCCATACTCATGATCTCCATCCCTCGCTGCTGCTCGCCTGTTGACAGACTGTAAGGGCCTCTATTTTTTCTACTCCTCGAGCCGTGCTCACGATGCTACTCGCCTGTTAACAGTATGTAAGTGTCTTGATTGTCTCTAGTCCTCGACCCGTGCTCATGATCCAAATCCCTTGCCACTGCTCGCATGTTAACAGAATGTAAGTGCCTTGATTGTTTGTAGTCCTCGATCCGTGCTCATGATGCCCATCCCTCGCTGCTCGCCTGTTGACAGTATGTAAGTGCCTTGGTTGTTTGTAGTCCTCGACCCGTGCTCATGATGCCCATCCCTCGCTGCTCGCCTGTTGACAGTATGTAAGTGCCTTGATTGTTTGTAGTCCTCGACCCGTGCTCATGATGTCCGTCCCTTGCTGCTGCTCGCCTGTTAACAGCCGGTAAGTGCCTTGATTGTTTGTAGTCCTCGACCCGTGCTCATGATGCCCATCACTCGCTGCTCGCCTGTTGACAGTATGTAAGTGCCTTGATTGTTTGTAGTCCTCGACCCCTGCTCATGATGTCCATTTCTCGCTGCTGCTCGCCTGTTGACAGTATGTAAGTGCCTTGATTGTTTGTACTCCTCGACCCGTGCTCATGATGCCCATCCCTCGCTGCTGCTCGCCTGTTGACAGAGAGTAAGTGCCTTGATTGTTTGTAGTCCTCGACCCGCGTTCATGATGCCCATCCCTCGCTGCTGCTCGCCTGTTGACAGATGGTAAGTGCCTTGATTGTTTGTAGTCCTCGACCTGTGCTCATGATGTCCATCCCTCGCTGCTGCTCGCCTGTTGACAGAGAGTAAGTGCCTCGATTGTTTGTAGTCCTCGACCCGTGCTCATGATGTCCGTCCCTTGCTGCTGCTCGCCTGTTAACAGCCGGTAAGTGCCTTGATTGTTTGTAGTCCTCGACCCGTGCTCATGATGCCCATCACTCGCTGCTCGCCTGTTGACAGTATGTAAGTGCCTTGATTGTTTGTAGTCCTCGACCCCTGCTCATGATGTCCATTTCTCGCTGCTGCTCGCCTGTTGACAGTATGTAAGTGCCTTGATTGTTTGTACTCCTCGACCCGTGCTCATGATGCCCATCCCTCGCTGCTGCTCGCCTGTTGACAGATCGTAAGTGCCGCGATTAATTGTAGTCCTCGACCTGTGTTCATGATGTTCATCCCTCGCTGCTGCTCGCCTGTCGACAGTCGGTAAGTGCCTTGATTGTTTGTAGTCCTCGACCCATGCTCATGATGTCCATTCCTCGCTGCTGCTTGCCTGTTGACAGAACGTATATACCTTTCACTGTTTCTCATACTCAACCCATACTGACAATTGTTGCTGCTAATCCGTTGATAGAACGTAAGTACCTTCATGGTCTTTTGTCCGCAACCCACGTAGACAGGTCTCACATCTTGCTGTTTTTTTTTGGCAGGTGGTAGGTGTCTTGGTTATATCTTGTATTGAAATGATACTGGATGGTATAATGATGGCAACTCATTTTCATAGCCTGATGTAAGTATTTTCTATTCTCTCGCATGAGTCAGACCACCATTAATCATATAATGTGTAGTTCGTTGAGTCTTCCTCCTTGATAACTTATTTTCCACGTTCATTCATCTTGCATATTTTTTTACACTGTGTAGGATGTGAGTCATTCGACCCTCATAATGTGAAGGATTGAATGTATCAATCAATTAAACTGGCTCTTTCACTCTGCAGGATGTGCGTATGTTTCGATCGCTAAATATTCTAGCCACTTAATCCCTTGCATTCACCATGTTTTCGCAGAATGTGTGTTAATCATATCCTGTTTGATATGTGATGCTCCGCTGACATACAATCTTATTTAGCTCGTACGTCCATGGATGGCAAATATTTAGTGATACTCATCTGGTTCCAATCCCCGACAGTTTGTAAGTTACCTGAGCACCACAGTCATTGTCTACAATCTGGTGGTTAATTATTCGCAACTGTCACATCAACCAAATAGAAGGTGCATCTCCGTTATTAATCAAATGTCAATTTGCCACCTCTTGACATTCCTCTCCTGTAGGAGGCAAGTACTTTACTCTGTGGAGCTGATTCTGATACCCACACTTTCAACCTATGGCTAGGCCTCGATCCAACGAAGTACCATTATGCGCGTCCTTCAGCCTTTGGTAGGTTGGTTTTCCTTCCGACATCAATCCTCAGCACTGTAAGAGTGAGCAACAGGCTGCGAAAGGTTCACTGTTCACTTCTGCTACGAACAGGATTGTTCAAACTGGCATCGGTTAGTTTCTCACTGCATGACCAGTCGTAGTCTTAATGACAGAATGCAGCTACTATTATCGTCCTCGAGTACTCCGCCTTCCTTGCGAACAGCTCGGAGGAATTGGACCACATCGAGTCTGCCGTAGACTACTACCTGAAATCTCCGACAGCTGTCGCAGTGGAGAAAGGAGCGGAAGAGATTTCTCGTCAAGGCCTCGACAAAGAGGGACTGGAGAAGAAGGTTCTCGAGTTCATCCTTGAAAATCGCTTGTGTACGTCCCTTCGCCTTGTTGTGAATCTGAAAGTCGAAGCTTACTAACAGCCTGCAGCAAAGGACTTGATAGCAAAGAAGTAGATGATGCTCCATGCTATGCCCTCGTGTTGTACGATACCGAGCACGCCTCAACTCCTGACTCCTGAGCAGTGCAGACTGATATTTCCTTGTTTTTGATGCTCTTCCCTATGCTATGTACTATGCTCGGTACTACAGCTTCAACTGCTGAGCGCTGCGGATGGTATCAGGTTTCAACACCCACTTTTCGGACCTTACTATATCGTGTTTTGTTTTGTGTTATGTAGTTGCACCCGTCAATGATCGCTGTTCATTCTAATTTTCAATCATGAGAATTCGAGAACTGGCTCGATATGCTTCAAAATTAAAGCGGGCGAGCATGACGACTATAACATTGTCGATGCCAGCCTGGGGGAGTAAGTCATGTACATGGGAGACCGCAGTAGATTTAGGACAGACGAATCAGAGGGCAATCAAAGCATTGTATTATTGTCTGGTAATTGAATATAACTTTATTGTCGACGAAGGGGAAGATTTCGAACAGAAAACCATGATAACAGGAAATGACGCGGGCGCATCGAGGCATTGGCAGTATCGTGAAGCGTAGGTATACTGTGAAAACGACAAGGTAGCTCTTCAATACGTTGAAATCGAATGAAAAAAGAGGCTAAATACGAGCAGTCATGAACACGAGAAACATTTTCATGAACAGGGACGCACCATCGAGTGTCCTACGACTGATCTGCGCGGTTCTTATCGAGTCCATCATTCTTCCGTACGTCATACTGGAGGGTAAGTGAGAGCGTTCCATATTTTTGTCTGCGACCCTAAAAAGACGTGTTCAGGTGTGGGCCATCGGGTCAGGACAGACGGCGGTGTCGCTGAAGAATCAAGATCATATACGCATAGATTTTCCATTCCTAATAGGCGATATTGACAGGAGTGGTAGGTGTCTCAGCGCTTGGGATTGCATGACAGGTGTGGTCACTGGTTCGCCTTTGGTATGTGGATTAGCGACACCTGCTAGAGCGCAAACGGGTACTGGTGCAGTCACTGCTTGTAGGTGACCAAGGACCAGATGACTTTATGAACATGTCACTGAGCAAATTTTGTGGACTTACATATCTGATCAGCATGGTGGGGATGCGAGAGCGATGACAAGGCTTACGCAGGCTGGACTCGCTGAAGTCGACCTCAGTGAACCGGTGAACAGATGAGAAAGTTATGTAAAGCAACGCAACAATCTTTGTGTCCTTTGTTTCAATGCTCTACAAGACATTTGGGGATACCCATGAAATAGTTCGAAAATTCACGGTCAGCCAGGTTTTCCTTGAAGCAGACTGAATCGACGGGGATGAGGATGTCGTGCAAAGAGCGGACAAGGGCTGCACGTCACGTGCTTACAACAATGATAAAAACGTAAATTCAGCGCTGCAGCGCTCAGCGAAGAAAACCAAGTTAGTAACTTACACATGCAAGTGACGTCAAAGAACCCAAGAACAATTCTATCAAATTACTAAACATACATCTCATAACGATCAAATTATCGTACTGCAATGTAAGCTAAAATGGCGAACCCAAAAAGATTCTATCCTACGGAAGTCCACTGGGCTGGCTTCTAAACAACCGCCGCAGGCCCGTGCATCTTATGAAATATGAAAATGGCCATGCAAGACGCCACCAAAACCCAGATCCTGGCTGGTGGAACGGAGAGTGAGACTGGAATGTAACCACGAGCCATGCAGTAATCACAGTAAACGCAATAGAAACAACCGCGTAATGGAACAAGGTTTCCGTGGCATCGTCGGTAATCTCCTTGACATTCATACCAAATACTGCCTGAAAGAAGGTCGTTGAATCGATCATCGAGAGAATGAAATTAGGCGTACCGCAACGAAGCTCGCAGGGAGAAAAATCATTGTCAGGTAGGAAATCTATCGAGGTATTTAGCATTTGTCAAGCTAATTGATATCCTGACCTGCCTGTTTCATAGCGGACGAATCACGGACTGTTGCTATTGTCAAATCTTGCATCCGTCGACTGTCGACAAAGTTCACGGTCGCTTTAGCCTGGATATCGAAGTCAGCAGTGCTCGAATCTAGCGGAGCAAATATACGAACGAGGTCTGTAATATTTGTCAATTGGAAACCCAGCCTGTCAATCTCCGACAGAAGGTTATCGCATTCCTTGCGTATTAACTTATTCGTGTCCCTTCTTGCATGATCAGTAAATTCGGAGGACTCTAGAACGGGATTCGGCGTGTTCCTGAGGAAGGTCACAGATTTACGGAAATCCTCGAGAAGCGAAGCATAATGGAGCAGTCGAGCCTGGATAGTGTGCAACTCAGTTGTGAGGTTGTTATCATTTGTTGATAGTCCGTTTATTTCCTGCATAATGACATAACTGAATGACCGAACGACACAAGCGACAAAGAAACATACCAGCCAGTTCATGTGAGTATACAGATGGTCCAAGGATTCGTCCCAGGCGTAAAGCGCATACCAAAGGATAGCCAAGAAGACTAATGATGGATCCTTTGACTGTTTGAATATCTTCTGCCAATACACGCTCTCTCCCACTTTGTGGACCAAGTTGCTCAATCGTTCCGCGGTTGTCCTATTCCATTGAGAACTTGGGTGGTAAGATATGATAGTACTACCACTAGGGTCGGATGACCTTATCATGTGTAGAGCGAGCAGGTCTTCAAGAAGATATTTCTCCGCTGGCGAGCGAACTGAAACAAACATGAAGATACAACAGCAAAAATAGGGGGAGACTCTACCGGAGTGTAGACGAAGCGACTCCTGTGATTCTATAGCTTTTTCACCACCTGGACAATCAGTAAGTTATGTTTTGCACGAGATCTTAGCGGACGCACAGGAGGTGTGTTTATTCTGCGATGGCACGACAGGCTTGTCCGATGCAGCTGTGCGTACAAAGAGCAGCGTTACCGTAATGTCTGCGGCATTTCAAAAACGCCATCGATTAGATCATGGAGAACGCTTACGATCTCCTTTTTTCTTGACAAATTCTTCTTGGTATCGAGAAGGGATCCAGTTTAATGAGGATGTGAAAAAGCACGGTCCGATGTTGTACCTAATTCACGTTCAACTGGGAACACATATAAAGAAATAAACTTTCAGTACCTTGTTCCTAGCATCTGAAGCACGGGGTGTTTCATATTGTCGATGAGCAAAACTCGGAGACGAAGACCTGTTGGCTGTAGGAAAGACAGTTCAACTTGGCCTTCAACAAACTACGATTATTCCTCACCTCTATCTGCAACTGATCCCAAAGCTGACTTAACGCGCTCTCATCAACCTCAATAGGTGGATCGGTGTCCTTGACTGACTTGAAGGCTCCGGATTCAAGTATATCGACATGATAGATCTTGCATTTTTCTCGAGGCTCCCTGGAACAATTTTCGACCATCTTAGACCGTGCAACTCGATTGGCGACCCAGTTCCCGAACAAGTTTTCAGGATATCCTCTCCACTTCCATTGTTCTGCTGGATGTTTTGTTGGAACAAGCTCCGTTTCTAGAACAATGTCAGACTCGAGGTCCATCCATGGCCAAGGTCCAGACGGGGCAGCATATCGATATCTGAAAAGACACCATCAACTCTGAAATCTAGGCTTGCGGATACGGAGTGCATCATGCTTACATTGGTGCAGGTATTGTGGGAGGCTTACTGTTGTGCGTTCCATGACCAACGTTGCCCCAATGAAGGGTGCTCAGTGGGAAACGACCGCAAGGAGACTGTCGGCGGCTAGTCATTGGTGTAAAGGTGAGGAAAAGAAGAGTTTCAGTCCATTCGGATGTGAGCGGGTACTTACTATATAATAGTTTTTGCAAAGATGCTGATGCCGTTGATCAGCTGAGATCAAGTTAAGAAGGCTTCGTGTGTTCGCTTGCGAGTCGCGAAGTAGACTCACAGTACGTCACGACCATCTTGGCATCTTCATTGAATAGTAAGGAGAAGTTCTTTTCTTGATTATTAAGCTTGTGTTCACTTCACCGACACCTATCAGCTGTTACGCGGCGATGTGAGTATGTACTAGTGCTGCTGATAAAGAAGACAATCACTTATCATCTTTCCGTCCAGTAGGAGAGTTGAATCAGCACATGACAGTGCTCCCAGCTCCGGAGAATCATCATGATATCTCCCAAAAGACTAGTGTACATGTCAATCACGATTCTATCACAACTCTCGGACCGCAATGAAGACTGCGCATTATGATACGGGCGTATCATCGTGATAGCGTCCAGATCATCATTGGAATGACTTGGAACTTCTTGGAACCCAACAATTTTTTCCCCAGTGAGCAGACCCGAATTGATGGCGCAACTTTCTGATGGTTCCGAGTCGATGTTCGTCATTCCTTTCCTTGATTTCCTCATTATGCGCGAGATCACAAACGTTGGAGATATAAGTCTCGAAAATAGCTGTTTTGTCAAGGGCCCAGTGACTCTAATGCAACCTGCAAAGCTCTGCCAAGGTTCAACGTCAGTGGACCTCGCACTATAGCCGCTTAAACGCCATGATGGTGAGATTTGTTTCAATACGCGCTTGACCCCCCACCTTGGGAATATCAAGGGAAGATGGACAGTTGGGCTTGGCGCCGGCCGGCACAGTCGATTATATTCTTAGTTGCAAATCGTTGCTTGAGGCTGCGTGCACTCCCGCTCTACTGCCGACATTACCCGTGTATGTATTTGAAATAACTGAACTAGAGTCGAGTTCTGGATAATGCTAACATTAATTTTATTTGTACAACTATCTAACCACGTTCTTGTCGTGACCCTCAAATATATTTTCTATTGATACTTGCACATGCTCTTACTACACACGGAAATATTAATTAGACCTCTACTAACAGTACTTCGAGTTCACCGCATGTACACTACATACACAATGGGAGATTTGGCCGAAATCATTAATGTGGCGTCACACCTAGGTCACGGCACGTGATGTCTACAGTAAACGCATCGTCGAATCGACAGCCTCATTCACGCCGATCCAGCCTGCCTCAAGGAAAATCTGGCTCCGTGTAGATTTTCGAACCATTCCATGGGTATCCTCAAATGTATTTTAGAGCATTGCAACAAATAACACGAAGATTGCTGCGATGCTTTACATAACTTTCCCATCTGTTGACTGATTCACTGAGGCCGACTCCAGTGAAACATGCTCATATTGGAACATCCAGCGAGTCCAGCCCGCGTCATTCTTGACATCGCTCTTGCATCCCTGTCGTGCTAATTGGGTATGTAAATCCACAAATTTTGCTCAGTGACATGTTCATAAAGCTATCTGGTCCTTGGTCACCTACAAGCAGTGACTGCGCCAGTACCCGTTTTCGTTCTAGCGGGTGTCGCTAATCCACATACCAAAGGCGGACCAGTGACCACACCGACCATGCAACTTCAAGCGCTGAGACACCTACCACTACTATCAACATCGCCTATTAAAAATGGAAAATCTATCCGTATACGATCTTCAGCGACACCGCCGTCTGTCCTGACCCGATGGCCCACACCTGAACACGTTTTTTTTTGGGTTGCAGACAAATATGGAAGACTTTCACTCAGCCTCTAGTATGACGTACGGAAGAATGATGGACTCGATAAGAACCGCGCAGATCAGTCGTAGGACATTTGATGGTGCGTCCCCTGTCACGAGAATGTTTCTCATATTCACAATGGCTCGCATCTAGCCTCTTTTCCCATCCGACTTCAAATTATCGAGGCGCTACCTTGTTGTTTCCACAGTATACTTACGCTTCACGATGCTGTCAGTGCCTCGATACGGCCGCGTCTTTTCCTCTCGCCTTGGTTTTCTGTCCGAAATCTTACCCTTTGTGGTGACAGTAAAGTTATGTTCAACTACCAGACAATAATACAATGCTTTGATTACCTCCTGATTTGTCTGTTCTAAATTTACTGCAGTCTCCCATGTACATGACTTACTCCCCCAGGCTGCCGACTAGCATCGACAATGTTGTAGTCGTCATGCCCGTCCGCTTCAGTAGTAAGCATGCCGAGCCAGTTCCCAAATTCTCATGACTGAAAACAAGAATGAACAGCGATCGTTTGACGGGCGCAACTACATAACACAAAATAGCACACGATATAATAAGGTCCGAAAAGTGGGTGTTGAAACCCGACACAATCTGCAGTGCTCAGCAGTTGTAGCTGTCGTGCCGAGTATGGTGTATAGCATAGGTAAGAGCATCGAAAATGAAATAAGGAAACATCAGTATGCATCGCTCAGGAGTTGAGGCATGCTCGGTATCGTACAACACGAGTGTATAGCATGAAAAAACGCATCGAAAACAGGAAACTTGGCTCCGGCGTCATCTACTTCTTTTCTGTCAAGTCCTTTGCTGCAGGCTGTCAGTAAGCTTCGACTTTCAGATCCACAACAAGGCGAGGGGACGTACACAAGCGATTTTCAAGGATGAACTCGAAAACCTTCTTCTCCAGTTCCTCTTTGTCGTAGCCTTGACGAGAAATCTCTTCCGCTCCTTTCTCCACTGCGACAGCTGTCGGAGATTTCAGGTAGTAGTCTACGGCAGACTCGATATGCTTTGTTCTCCCTATGCTGTTCGCAAGGAAGGCGGAGTACTCGAGGACGATAATAGTAGCTGCATTCTGTCATTAAGACTGCAACTAGTCATGCAGTGGGAAACTTACCGATGCCAACCTGAACAATTCTGCTCGCAGCAAAAGCGGACGGCGATCCCTTTACCTGTTGCACACCCTTGCAGTGCTGAGAATCAATGCGAAGGAAAATCGACCTACCAAAGGCCGAAGGATCCGGATAACGTCACTCCGATCTAACTTGGTCTAGCCACAGATTGAAAGTGTGGGTATCAGAATCAAATCCATAGAGCATAGCACTTGCCTCCTACAGGAAAGGGATGACAGAATCATGAGGTGGCGAATTGATATTCGATTAACCACATACACATACCTCCTGTGTGGTTGATATCATAGTTGCGAAGAATTAGCCACCAGATTGTAGACAATGACTGCTGCTCCCAGGTAACTTACAAACTGTCAGGGTTGGAGCCAGACGAGTATCAGTATGTAATGGTGAATATTTGCCATCCATAGACGTACGAGCTAAATAAGATTGTTTGTTAGCAGAGTACTATCATATCTGACACGATATGATTAACGCACATTCTGTGAACGCATGATGAACACAAGGCATCATGTGGCTACAATCCTTAGCGATTGAAACACACTCACATCCTATATAGTGAAAGAGTCAGTCAAAATGATTGATACATTAAATGCTTCACAATCTGATGGTGAATGTCTCACATTCTGCACATAGCAAGGAAGGAATGCAAGATGAGTGAACGTCGAAGATATGTTATCAAGGAGGGATACTCAACGAACTACACATTATATGAGTAATGATGACCTGACTCGTGCGATAGAATAGAAAACACTGACATCAGGCTATGAAAACGAGTTATCATCATGCTATTCAGCATCATTTCAATACATGATATAATCAAGACACCCACCACCTGCAAAAGAAAAGAACCAGATGTGAAACCTGTTCATAAGAGTTATTGACATAGAATCGTCAAGGCACTTACGACCTATTAACAGATGAACAGCAACGATTGTCAGCATGATTTGAGGATGAGAGACAATGAAGGTACTTACTTTCTGTTCAACAGACGAGCAGCAGCGAGGGATGGGGATCGTGAGGACGGGTCGAAGACTGGAAACAACTAAAGCACTTACAGACTGTCAACAAACGAGCAGCAGCGAGGGATGGGAATCATGAATACAGGTCTAGGACTAGGCACAATGAAGGAACTTACTTCCTATCAACAGGTCAGCAGCGGTGAGGGATGGGGATCATGAACACAGGTCGAGTTGACACAATCAAGGCACTTACGTCCTGTCAATAGGCGAGCAGCAGCAATGAATGAGGATCTTGAGCACAGGTCGAGGACTAGAGACAATCAAGGCACTTACCCACTGTCAAAAGGCGAGCAGCAACGAAGGATGGGGATCATGAGCACAGGTCGAGGACTGGGAACGACCAAGGCACTTACTCGCTGTCAACAGACGAGTAGCAGTGAGGGATGGGAATGATGAGCACAGGTCGAGCACTAGACACAATCAGGGCACTTACATACTGTGAACAGGCGAGCAGGAGGGAGGGATAAGGATCGTGAGTACAGGTTGAGGACTGACAACAATCAAGGCACCTACATACTGTCAATAAGCGAGCAGCAGTGAGGAATGAGGATCATGAGCACAGGTAGGATTAGAACAAATCAAGGCACCTACATACTGTCAACAGGAGAACAGCAATGAGGGATGGGGATCGTGAGCACAGGTCCAGGACTAGAAACAAGCAAGACGCTTACAGACTGTGAACACCGAACAGCAGCGAGGGATGAGGACCATGAGCACAAGTCGAGGACTAGAAACAATTCAGACACTTACAGCCTGACAACAGGCGAGGAATTGGGATCATGAGCATGAGTCGACAACTAAAAACAATCAAGGCACTTACTTCCTGTCAACAGGCGAGCAGCAGCGAGGGATGGGGATTATGAGCACAGGTCGAGGACTAGAAACAATCAAGCCACCTACCGGCTGTCAAAATGCGAGAGACAGCGAGAGATGGGGATCATGAACACAGTTCGAGGACTAGAAGCAATTAAGGCACTTACATTCTGTTAACATGCGAGCAGTGGCAAGGGATTTGGATCATGAGCACGGGTCGAGGACTAGAGACAATCAAGACACTTACATACTGTTAACAGGCGAGTAGCATCGTGAGCACGGCTCGAGGAGTAGAAAAAATAGAGGCCCTTACAGTCTGTCAACAGGCGAGCAGCAGCGAGGGATGGAGATCATGAGTATGGGTTGAGGACTAAAAATCATTGAGGCACTTACTTCCTATCAACGGGCGAGCAGCAGCGAGGGATGGGAGCCATGAATATAGGTCGAGGACTATACACAATAAAGGCACATACATACTGTCAAAAGGCGAGCAGAAACGAGGGATGGGGACCATTAGCACAGGTTGAGGGTTAGAAACAATCAAGGTACTTACATACTGTCAACAGGCGAACAGCAGCGATGGATGGGGATCATCAACACCGGTTGAGGACTGGAAACGATCAAGGCACTTACCCACTGTCAACAGGCAAGCAGCAGCGAGGGATGAGGATCATGAGCACAGGTCCAGGACTAGAAACAATGAAAGCGCTTACCCACTGTCAACAGGCGAGCAGCATCGTGAGCATGGCTGGAGGACTAGAAACAATCAAGGCACTTACAGACTAGGAACAGGCGAGTAGCAGCGAGGGATAGAGATCATGAGCATGGGTCGAGGACTACAAACAATCAAAGCACATACTTTCTGTCAATAGGTGAGCGGCAGTGAGGGATGGGGATCATGAGCACGGATCGAGGACTACAAACAATTAAGGCACTTACCCGCTGTCAACAGGCAAGCAGTAGCAAGGAACGGGAATAATGAGCACGGGTCGAGGACTAGGAAAAATCAAGGCACTTACCCGCTGTCAGCAAGCGAGCAGCAGCGATGAATGAGGATCGTGAGCATGTGTCGAGAACTAGAAACAACCATGACACTTACCCACTGTCAACAGGCGAGAAGTAGCGAGGGATGAGGATCATAAGCATATGTCGAGAACTAGATACCCATCAAGGCACTTACATGCTGTCAACAGGCGAGTAGTAATAAGGCATCAGCGTCGTTTGTGTCGTTCAAGCGTTGTAGACCACAATCTTACCAACTGTCATTAATGGGCAACTATAATGAAGGAAAATATATCAGGATGTCTACAATGTTAGCGCTTCAATATTTACCATCCGTGAGCGCCATTATCCGAGCATCAAATTGAATGAATCTTCGTCTTACTTTGAGGTGCGAAAACCACTTAGCAATGTCATACTGATAGACTCCATAATCGATTCGAAGTGGCCCGAATAGCGAATGTGCACGATCAACGAGTGTTCTAGATGATGTTAGAAGGAAAAAAAATGAGACTTGCAAATATGCGACTCACGCGACGGCACACTTGATACCAAGTTCCAGGTTTGATTGTTGCGTCGACACCAAGCACAACCGCAATTGTTCGTTGTCCAATGCGAAAGTGGTGCGTTCCAGTAGAACTTTACAGTTTGCATTTGGCTTGTTCATATCTACGACGGTTACTAACGTCAACTTTGACATGAGACGAGTGAAATTTGAACCACTTACTCTCCAACCGTACATAAAACTTAGGACGGGTACGGTTTTTAGAGTCGCACAACCGATCATAGACACGTGTGTTGACGAATATTTCTTCGACACGCTGAGCAATCCTCTTTGAGCGTTCTTCTGCCGATATGTCTTTTAGTTGCTTCTTGATTTCACCATACGCAAATGGACGCAGAGCCTCGAACTTGGTGAACACCGCGATCACAGGGACTGAAGAATCATCATTTAGTCCGAGCACGGCTAGTGACAATGAAGTTAGAAGTTTACCCTTCCCAGTGTCGCACTCCAAAAAGAACTTCTCCTCCGACAGCTGGAATGTTCGACTTGGTTCGTCCATCGGAATACAATACCTGATGGCAATCAACAAGCATGAAATTTCAGAAGGTATTTACTTGCCAGATGGCATGGATTCGCTCCTCCAGTTTCTTCGCGTGTACGCGTTCTGAGACGAATTTCTTCATGTCCTCAAACTCGTCTTTAGAGCCCGCTTCGAAACCGCAAGAGTCGTGAAAGACAAAACCGGGATTGCTTTTGAATACCATCTCGTTTGCAATGTTGTGATTTCCGCGCTGAGCATCCGAGTCCTGTCAGCGCATAGCATATATTTGCGCAGGACAATTGGTGCACACACCTTGATCGAGGATTGTACGACGTTAGTATCGATCTACCCAAGATTGATCAGCAATAGACGCATGCATAGCATAGATTATTACCCGCACCTTTCTTCCTTTGGTATCGTAAATTTCTGGTTCATCCGTAGTGTTACAGACCTTCTGGAGAATGGTCGTTTTGCCTGCATTTGCTCTCCCTACGATCAGAACTCGAAAGCGCTCAATTATTTCTCTGATTTCCTGGGCATCCAAGGTTGCCATTGTGGAGATTTTGATGTGCGTCCTGAAGTCGAGGTGATTCCGTTTGTCGTGAAAGCTGTACCGTGGTACAAAACGAGATGAGTCGTGGCGAGCTATGATAGCGATTGAACATGAAGCAAAGGCTTTTATATGGCTTTGACATGACAGCTACACGCGACGTGACATGTCTAGTATTTTTATCTATCTGCATCAAGAGACTGATGCGGACATATTCTCTTCCTTATCGTCACCTTACCTTGTGTTTGAACCTCACGATCTCCAGACCGGCCGCCCGAAAAACCTAAAACGTATTCTTTGAGGTCCACTCTAGCGTCTCTTTTGCGCGGTGATGAAGAAACTGACATTTAAACTGAATACCAGGAATTATGACACAGTATGTACAAGTTTAAGGATTTAAGGAGATGTTACGGGCAAAGGCGCGCAGCGCCTCCCGGCTCCGATGGGAACAAAAGGTAAGCTGCGAGGGCGGGCGGGCCGCCGCGCTGTCTGTGGTTGGTTGTCCTTTCGGGGCCAAGGGTGTTTGGTGTTGCTAGCGAGGCGCTAGAATCGCGCGAGAGTGCGATGAGAGGGTGGGGAAAATAAAATTCTAAGTCGACAAAGTGTAGGGGGTGGACTATTCGTCGTGGTGAAGAAGCAAGGTGCGTATGTAAAAGCTCCGCTTACCGTTCGCTCGAAGACTTAGTTCAATTGCTTCCGGTTGACAAATTACCTCATTTTCAGAAGTCCAGACGTAGCAGAATCTGATACTCTGATTTCCCCACAACAGAATGCCTCAGAGTCCTCGTCGTCTCTAGACCTAGTCCTATCTCACTTCGTGTTACGTCTCATATTTTCGTCATGATTCATCTCGTTCACAATTCCCTGCCGAATCCTTACACTAATTATGCCCTCACACAGACACGAAGCAACTGCTCAATCATTCGTATGATAAAACACAAGGATTACCCACCAAATTTGAACTTCGATAGAGACATGAACTATAATGAACCATTCGAATGACAGAATATCGCTCTTCCCTATCCGTCCAACAGATCAGTGATCAGCAACGCTCGACGCATGAACAAGACAGCATCGTGCTCTCGACTCCGGACTCGGAGAACCATGTCTCCCAGTACACTAGTGCATATGTCAACCACGATTCTATCGGTGCCGAAGTCACAACTCTCGGGCCGTTGGCGACTGCGCATCATGATAACGTCCAGGTCATCATTTGAGTCACTTGGAACCTTTTGGAACCCAGCGATTTCCTCTCCGGAAAGCAGACGGAAAGGCGCAACTTTCCCTCCGAATAAATGTCCGTCATTCCTTTCCTTGATTTCCTCATTATGTGCGAGATCACAAACGTCGGAGATATAAGTCTCGAAAATAGCTGTTTTGTCAAGGGCCCACTCTAATCCAACATGCGAAACTCTGCCAACCCTAGTACTAGGCTCATCAGTGGACCTCATACTACTGCCGCTTAATCGCCATGATGGTGAGATTTGTTTCAATATGTGTTTGACCCCCACCTTGGGAATATCAAGGGAAGATCGACAGTTGGGCTTGGCGCCGGTCGGCACAGTCGATTGTATTCTTAGTTGTAAATCGCTGCTTGAGCTAGCTGGTCAAGCTGCATGCACTCCCGCTCTACTGCCGAAATTACCCACTACCTTTCAGTGCCAAGTATGTATCTGAGATAACTATACATCTGGACTTGGGGAGTAGTGAGCTTGGGGACTCAGGCGACGAGAGTCGACTCCAGGATAACGCTAACATTGAAAAATCCATTTTATTTGTACAGCTACCTAGCCACCGCATAATGAAAAACAACGTTCTTGTCGTGACTTGAAGTCAGCAAACCTCATCCGGATAATGCCGGTCCGGCCTGTTTCTGCCCATTGATCAAGCCTTCAAGGTGCTCCTCAAAAATTCGATGTACAACTTCAGAACTTGACAATTGTAATTGACACAGCGACAGCTCTATGGCAAGCGTGAACCATCCGCGATACATTGGTTGTATTACATCTCCGCGCAGAACATGCTACCGCCGCGTGTTTACAACCCTTTGAAGAAACGTCGATGTCGCCCGACGAAACCGATGGACAAGGACAGGAACAGTCACGAATTGGCTTGCATCATACCACCTCTGCGAATTTGCAAGTTACTGGACGACTGATTCCTTCCGCTGGAATTCCTCAAGGTGTGTCCATCCACGCAGGGAACCTCATTTTCGGCGGTTCTACAACAAGTGGGACTTATTTATGGAGATAGCTTTGATATGCTGATAATGTACTTTGCAGGCTCCCAGCGTTCGTTCGTTGTCATTAAGAATATAGGCGAAGGCTCCTTTGGATCAGTCTTCCTTTGTGACTGGCATGGAAAACTACCATATGAAGTGCCACCCTCTACCACCCATAAAGTTAATGGTGTCGCGAAGCCGGAATGGATAGGTATGCGTTTGGTGGCCGTAAAGAAACTCAAGCGAAGGGTTGAACATGGTTGGGACGAGTGCCAGAATCTCAAGGAGCTCAAGGTTCAGTGAATCTTCTGGCACCCCCAGCCGTCCTCTTAAATCCATCACAGGCACTACGTGCATTGACCCCACATCCATGTGTCGTCCCTCTCTATGATTCCTTTCTCTCAAGTGAAACTTCGGAGCTATACTTAGTCTTTGAAGCTATGGAAGGAGACTTATACCGTTTCATGAGAGCCCGGAAGGGGCGTCCATTGGCCATTGGCCTTTTGTGTTGCATCTTGAAACAGATAGCATCTGGACTACACCACATCCACTCTTCGGGTTATTTCCATCGTGACCTGAAACCTGAGAATATTCTCTTCACTACCTCAGGGCTCTTACAATCGCAACCAGATGATGGCGAACAGAAGGACTGTCGCAGTTATCTGCAAGATTGCAGATTTCGGCTCTGCAAGAGAGATATCGAGCGCTCCACCTTACACAAAGTATGTCTCAGCTCGGTGGTATCGCGCCCCTGAGGTGCTGCTCAGGCAGAGAGACTATTCTACACCTGTGGACATGTGGGCACTCGGGACGATCATGGCAGAGCTGGTAAACTTGAAGCCCATATTCCCTGGTTCTGAAGAACTCGATCAGATAAGCCGAATCATCATAATACTCGGCGACCCTACAGATCATGGGGTGGACGAACATGGAAGGTCTTACGGAGGTGGCCCATGGCCCCTTGGCGTGGAATTGGCAAAGCGTCTTGGCTTCGCATTTACTCGTGTTGGTTATGCATCCGAGTGTGCAGAGTATTGACTGACTTGTGATGCCCCAGACTGAACCGAGGGATATGCATGCGATATTCAACAAGAAAATACCTCGCGAACTTGTCAACTGCATCTCTGATCTCCTCAAGTTTGACCCCAGCTTGCGCCTTACGAGCCAACAGTGTCTTGCGCATGAGTGTCTCAGGGAATGTCCGCAGGAAAATCTTTCTTGCGTGGTCCCTAAGCCAAAATTAACTCTCGACAAGTTGTCAATAGAAGATGATTCGCACATGATCAACGCAATGTCGGAGCTGACAGTTGGTGAGGCTCTCGTCTTACATGCGATTCATGCTAATCCTCATCCCTTCAACCTCCAGGCATGAAATAGGCTTTGTAGCACACTGGAACAGTATATCCGATAGATTGTTATAAATTTGTGTGTTGTTACTGTGTAGAACACGTTCAAATCATCCCTTTGTATTGTTCACAATCTTATCCTTACCACCAGTAGACCGTCAAACAGGGACCAAGGCCAAGGTGAACAACTGCCAGGACTTGTATATGACGTATCTATCCACTAAAAGATCATTGAAAGTAGACTTTCGAATGAATGAATACTTTGCCGCTAGCAGAGTAGGCGCTCGCGGAGTTGGAAGACAAATCACAATCACATGGTCATTTCATTGCTCTATGTCAGCTTCGTCATCATCATGACCTTTCGAATTACAACATGACCAGCCTCGAGAGCAAGTACATCAAAATCTCCAGTCCTGCTCCGCATGTGTTATTGTTAGAGTTAAACAGGTAGACACTGTGTATATGCATCTCTCGAGTCTCACGTTTTGACAAAACTTTCCATTCCAGACCTCCAGTCAACGCATTCAGTACAGAGTAAGTATCTCCAATTTCTGCAACTGTTAGTGCCCACTTCACATGATCGTGCAGATTTTTGAAGGAGTACGGATGTACATTCGACGCACTCTCAAGGCATCCAGATGACATCCGCGCTGTCGTCCTTTCGTCCGCACTTTCCAATATATTCTCTGCAGGGATCGACTGTAAGAGCTCCATCTAATCAGACCAATATCTTACCAATATCTGACCTTTAAAATAGTCCAGGGACTCGTGAACCTAGGTGCCAACGACACCATAGACCCCGCACGTCGCGCCCTTCTCATCCGCGACGACGTCCTCGACATCCAACACGCCGTAACAGCACCAGAGCGGTGCCCAATTCCCGTCATAGCAGCAGTGCATGGGATCGTGGTTGGTCTGGGGATAGACATCATCTCCGCGTGCGACGTCCGATATGCAGCATCAGATGCGAAATTCTCTATCAAGGCTCGTTAGTTCACATGGCTCCTCGGTCGGTTGTTTGATGAAGGCTGCTGTGTTTTTCTTCTTCCAGGAAGTCGATATGGGGCTGGCGGCTGATGCTGGGACGCTAGCCTATTTACAGAAGATTACGGGGAATGTTTCATTGGCTCGCGAGCTGGCGTATACTTCACGGACGTTCTCGAGTGACGAAGCGGAGAAACTTGGCCTTGTTTCTAGGGTCGTTCAAGGGGGGAGGGATGCAGTCGTGGCTGCAGCATTGCAATTGGCCAAGGATATCGCTTCGAAGAGTCCTGTTGCAGTGTCTGGGACAAAGCGCCTCCTCCTGCACGCCAGGGATCATAGGTATGAGTATCTGTCAACGCTTTTGGATTGATTCATCGTTTTGTGATAGCGTCGCTGAGAATTTGGAGTACACGGCAACTTGGAATTCAGCTGCGCTTCAGGCTATGGTTAGTTCATCGACTGTTTGTTTTTCACGTTTTTAACATGAAATACCATGCTAGGACTTGAAGCAGTCGGTCAAAGCGGGAATGGCCAAATCAAAGGAGTCCCCGAAGTTCTTGCCGTTAAGGCCCAAGCTCTAGTTATCCGAGTGCGCTATGTTTCAGTCTCTACGCCTTTCCCGATCTCTTCCGCTAATGATAATTTGGAATTTACATTTGACATGATATGAAAAATACAAATGAGTTTTTCGAGATACTACATGTGCACCAGCCTAAAACCTGCACCCTGTTATCCGTTGTTTTCTCCAGCTCACATCCTGTGGCCGAGGTTGACGTGTACAGACTTCACGGCAGTGTAGCTGATAACATATGAGTTTGTGCTGATATACCATAGACGCAACACTCACTTAGCGAGAGCATACTCTCCAAGCTCACGACCAATACCGCTCTGCTTGAAACCGCCGAATGGTACGTTCGAGTGCAACGAGTTAACACAGTTGATCCATGCAGTTCCAGCCTTGAGTCTGTGCGCAGTGTTTATAGCACGGTTCAGGTTCTGGGTGAACACAGCAGCAGCAAGACCGTAAACTGTGTCGTTTGCCTGCTTGATCACATCTTCCTCATCCTTGAACTTGATGACAACACCGACAGGACCGAAAATCTCCTCTTGGACGATCTTCATCGATGGGTCGACATTGGTGAAGATGGTAGGCTTGATGAAGTAACCCTCGCTTCCATGACGCTCACCGCCAATCTCAACCTTGGCACCGGCTGCCTTTCCGGACTCGATGTAAGACATGATACGCTGAAACGTGTATCAGATCAATGGTTACGAAAGTGTTTCACGACATACGTTGAATTGAATCTCTGAAACCTGAGGACCCTGGAACGTTTCAGGGGCAAAGGGGTCGCCGACCTTGAGTGACCGAGTTTTCTCCGTGAAACGCTTGAGGAATTCATCATAGATGCCTTCTTGTACGTAGATACGCGAGCCTGCGCAGCACGTCTGACCGTGGTTCCAGCTGGTGAAACATGAGTGTGGTTCGCATGACAGCACGCTATACTCACAAGATACCGAAAGCAGCCCAGTTGACAGCTTGTTCGATGTCTGCATCGTCAAAGATGATGTTTGGACTCTTTCCACCGAGCTCGAGGGTGACGTTCTTGAGATTGCTCTTCGCAGCAGCCTCCATGATCTTGCGACCGACGAGGGTTGAGCCAGTGAAGGCGACTTTCTCTATCTTCATATGCGAAGAGATGGCATTACCGGTAGTGTTTCCGTAACCAGCGAGGACGTTGACCACACCGGGTGGGAAGCCAGCCTCGTTGATAAGGTGGCACATTCGAATGGCAGTCAGGGGTGTGAATTCTGAGGGTTTTAGAACGATGGTGTTACCGCAAGCGAGAGCAGGGCCAAGTTTCCAGGCCATCATGAGCACTGCGAAGCGGGTGAGTCCATGACACAAAAGGGAGTGATGTCTACGCACATGGGAAATTCCATGGGATGATTTGACCCTATGACACGAGGATAAGAGAAAAATCTAGAAGCTGAGATTAAGTGGGCTTACAACGACACCGATGGGCTCGTGACGAGTGTAGGTAAGCTTGTCCTCAGTGGTCTGGTCAATTGTCAGCGAATGAGCGAAATTGATTGTTGAAAAGCTTCAGACCTCTTGTACTTGACCAGTAACCTTATCAGCCCAACCAGCATAGTAGCGAAGACAATCGATGGAACCAGCAACATCGACATTTCTTGCCCAATTGAAAGTCTTGCCTGGCGAGTATTGGTCAACGATTTAGATAGCTTATACTGATCGGTGCGGATGCTAACCATTGTCCAATGCTTCCAAAGCGGCAAGTTCGTCGGCATTCTTTTCCATGATAGCAACAAGCTTTGAAATCAAAATGCTACGCTGAGCACCAGGGGCATGAAGACCCCAGGTGGTGTCAAAGGCTGCATGGGCAGCTTCGACGGCAAGGTCGACATCCTTGGCGGTAGCCTCGGCTACTGAGGTGATTACCTTTCCATTTGCTGTGGATCGAGTTCATGTAAGATGGTGAACATAAAGATCAAGAGACGTACTCGGGTTGATGACACTAAAAGTGTTTATATCAGTAAGTGATTGATTATAAGCGACAGGGGCTGATCATACTCAATAGTGGTATTGTCTGATCCATCCTGGAACTGGCCGTTAATGAAGAGACCGGTGTTGAAGGATACTTTCCCTTTGTAAGTGGGTTCGTTGAACTGGTGAGTGAATGTAGTGGGCATGATGGATTGAATTTCGCACTCGCTTGATATGTGTATATATATAGGAGCGGAGTACCATTACTAAATTAAATACTGTGGGGCCCAAACTTACAAATCCGAGTCTCACTTGAACTTCATCGTCATACAACGCCCTGGCAGTGTAAGGTTGTTCAATTTTGCCTGATGATATAAGTAGTCTGCGAGCTTGGCTTTGATTGCTTGCACCTGGTTTGCTATCGAGGTACTGTGAGTGAGGGCCAACTCATATATTCATATTCAGACACTAGTCCTTTCTTAGCTGCCAGCGTCACCTGATGATTGAGCATATGATCCCGCTCACATGGCACCGCATCCGCATCCGTTTCATCTGTCATGCCAGTCCGGCATTTGAATTTTTTTCGCAGGGTCTCCCGTTCACTTCAATTCGCCTTTCTTCCTCGCTCGGTTTATACTAGAAGCTACGACAGGTGACCAAGCCTCGCAACTTCTCGAGGGTAGATTCCTGATATCGATTAAGGGTGAAACGTGTCGTTTTGATTCCACCACGTCCCGTACGTTATTGTTACGTGTCGTTCTTTCCACATCTAGCCTGATGATGACCGCTCTTTCCTTTTGCTGTACGTCTTCTGCGTCCACTTATTGCCATCGAAGGATGAGATTTCAGACATGACACGATTAACACGACCAATGAGCTTGCGAGTCGATAACTATTGATCTGGGGCTTTGTAAGCTGGTATATACGCACGGCCCCTCTATGGTGTCCCCTTTTTGCCTGTTCGTCAGCCAAAGTTTAGTCATCCACCCACCTCCCTTGATCTCACCAGCGTGTTTTGGTTCAGTCTTGTCCCTTCGCGGTCCCCTTCATCCCAAGTTCAAAGCGAAATGATGTTGAAAGTTCGCTTGTTCTGAAGACTTCAACGTCAATGGTCTTGAAACAATTGCGTCCTCTAATGGTGTTGCAATGGCGGCTAGTCCAAGATTACACTTTGAAACCATACACAATTTACTGGTGTACGTCTCAATCTACCGTTGTTCCTGTCGTTCACTCACAGTTCTGCTAGTTGTGGAGTTATAGAGTTATTTACGACTGTGAGAGAGAGAGCCTTACTCGTAACGAATCGTGTAGTGCGCTTGAAACACATTACTCGAGGAAACTGCGAGACGTCAAGTACAACCGAAGTCCACTAATGCCATTTCTCTCCGATCGAAACATATATTTCAATTTCCTGTGCTGTCAGTGATTTCGAGGCATGCACGTGTGTATGAAGCCAGCGCTTGAACCTGGCTTACTATGGATGAATTGATGGCGCAAGTGGAAGTTCGAGCGCTTCCATACCTGTGGCAGAGTTTAATGGAATGGGTCACCGTGGACAAAATACGTGCTGAAGCGCAGACTCTAGATATCTTTGGCCCCTCAGAGTTGTCGGCGTTGAGGCGACTAAAAACGGCGGCAGCGGATATCCCTGACTTTCCAGTAGGCGCCAGTAACGGACACTTGTGGCGAGACTTAGTGAACAGCCTGCCTCGTCGAATTCGTCAGTTCGCAACAATTTGTCAATTTTCTCGATACAACAGATACGTGATAGACACTGACCAACCAACTCTTCCTCAGACCAATATATGAATACATACGAATAACAGAAATAAAATATTCATAGTACCACCACGTCCTGAGATTGGACGGTATATGAACAAGGACGAGGATTCAGATACAGACGGTTCTGACAACTGTATGCTCTCACCTTGGATCCGTGATGATGTTTGATTTCGACTTGGAGCAAGAGGAACCCGCTGGAGCCTCGCTGTGGAACATTAAACGAATCGGGCGAGATAACAGAACAAAATTGTGAATTTCTAAGAGATTGTACAGTGGAGCAGATGGTGGTCGGTAGGTGACTCGAGTCTACCTCTAAGTGACGCAAAAGCGTCGGAATATATGGGGAAACATCATGTGACGTTAATTTAGTAAGCGTGTAGTAGTAAGCATCCAGCTTACACCCTGAGGGGAACAGTGCCTAAAATCCCACACCTCTCGACTTCTACATCAGTGCTACATGTTATAATATAGCAGCGGTACTCAGTGTTCCATGACCTCCAGCATACATCTTACTCTCAAGTGTTATGACAAGATTCGTACCTGGCCATTTCAATGACTCCCCTCTGCCCTTGAGAGATAACCCGAGTCACCTAGAACGCCCCCAGGACATAAGACGGATAAACCTCCTGATTAGTGAAATGCTACAAGTTGCCGTCAATAGTATGTGTCACATCTATCTTCATTTAGCACGTACCGACGATTTCACAAAGCAATTCTGGCGACACTTTATTTTGTCGTTATTCTGGTGTTTTGTATTGTGACAGACTCCATGCCAGACCCGCTCGATAATACCTTCCAAGCCTTGGGTGAGGAGCCAAGTCAACCAGAACAACCTCAGGATCCGGAAGAGACAAACCTCGTGATCAGTGACTCGGAAATGCTACAAGCCACCACCAACAGTATGGACTTATCTACCTTCACTCAGCACGTAGTACCCATGTCAGATTCCGTGTTGGATCCACTTGATGATACCCTCTCGGCATTTGGGGAGGAGTCTAGCCACCTGGACCTGGGAGAGACGCACCTCAAGGGGGTGCTACAAGTTGTCATTACTGGTATGTCATCTCAATCTCCGTTCAGTACATATTGACGATTTTCAAGTCATTCGCGCAACTGATCTCACTCTTGGTCTCCGACGGATCCCCGTTGGCTTCCATGTAGTAGTAAAGACTGATGGCGCTGAGTACCAAACAAGCAACAAGCCTGTACACGTAGACCAGGCCGTCGTCGAGTGGCATGAGCGCATTAATCTGTAAGTTGTCCTCAACCCCGTCTGTCCCGCAGGTATCGAGAAAGACTCTAGGCCGTGCGAGCCATCTTCTACAGTTCAGATCAGTGTGTATGCCTCATTTGAATTGGGTCTCATGCTCTGTCAAGGAGAACTGCTTCGCATATTCGAGACCTCCGTCGGAGAACTACTAGATCGCAGCCAAGAATCGCGTCGTCAGTATTATTGCAAATAATGCCTGATAGATGCTAAAAATATCACAGCCATAATCTTTCAGCCAAAGCAGGACGAGGTCGTATCCGCTTGCACTTCACTGTTCATGACAGTAGAGCAGCAACTTTCTAATCAGAACGATGTCGCAGTTCTTTGCCCCCTTACTACCGTGAGCCATTAATGCAGTCTGTGATCATGATGCTGAGAGCTTACAACATATAGCCTACATCTCGCGATATGGATGCGTTAGCACTACAGACGGATGTCGGACATTGTCTTCTCGCACAATACCGCAGGACGCAGAACAGTAGGGATCTCGACCAATCTATAAACCACTTTGAACGCGCCTCGGATCTCTGCCCCGTGGACCATCCCTACCGCCATGCAGCACTGTTCAATATAGCCACTGCGAAGTTTGTTGGTTGCAAAGCTAACGGAACATACCTCGACCTCGACAAACCCATCTCTCTCTTCCAAGACACACTTGATTTGCGTCCCACTGACCATCCAGATCGACCCATCACCCAACTCTATCTTGCCATTTCTCTGTTGTCTCGCTTCGCAAAACGGGGATTTCAAACAGATGCTGACACAGCCAAAGAGTTATTGAACGAAGTCCTCCAAGTCTGCCACGCCAATAGCCACATTTACAGAGCAGCTTTGATTGCAATCGAAACATTCACTCCACATTCTGCTGGAAGCATTGATGCAAATGATCTTGGGAGGGAGCAGCCCGCCGCATCCATGTTTCCGTTATCGCCAGATCAACTTGCCGATCGAGCAGAGCGGTGTTTGCAGGGAGATGAACCATATGCCTTAGATGAAGTGATATCTCTTCATTATGATGCACTGGAATACTACAATACCGGGTATGCTTGCCCAGGGCAATTGCTACGTAGTCTGGGTGTAATGCTAATCACTCGCTTCGAGCGTCGAGGCAACGACGAAGATTTGGATCAGGCTGTCGCGCTTCACAGGGAAGCGCTGGCCTTGCGCCCGGTCGGTCATCCAGATCGGTCCATGTCATTGAATGACCTTGCAAATCAACTCGCCACCCGATTTGACCACCGAGGCAACGATGAAGACTTAGATCAGGCTATTGCGCTTCACAGGGAAGCGCTGGCCTTGCGTCCGGTTGGTCACAGAGATCGGTCCATGTCATTAAATGACCTTGCGGTTGAAATTTCCACCCGCTTTGAGCATCGAGGCAACGCAGAAGATTTGGATCAGGCTATCGCACTTTACAGGGAAGCGCTAGCCTTGCGCCCAGTCGGTCATACATGTCGGTCCAGGTCATTAAATAACCTTGCGGTTGAACTCTCCATCCGCTTTGACCACCAAGGCCACGACGAAGACTTAGATCAGGCTATTGCACTTTACAGGGAAGCGCTGGCCTTGCTCCCGGTTGGTCATACAGATCGATCCATGTCATTAAATAACTTTGCAACTCAACTCTCCACACGCTTTGACCACCGAGGCAATGACGAAGACTTGGATCAGGCTATCGCGCTTCTTAAAGAAGCGCTGGATTTGTGCCCGGTCGGTCACACAGATCGGTCCCTGCCATTAAATAACCTTGCAAATCGACTCTCCACCCGCTTTGAGCACCGAGGCAACGACGAAGACTTAGATCAGGCTATCGCACTTTACAGGGAAGCGCTGGCCTTGCTCCCGGTCGGTCACACAGGCCGGTCCATGCCATTAAATAACCTTGCGAGTCAACTCGCCACCCGCTTTGACCACCGAGGCGATGACGAAGACTTGGATCAAGCTATCGCACTTTACAGGGAAGCGCTAGCCTCGCGCCCAGTCGGTCACACAGATCGGTCCATGCCATTAAACAACCTTGCGGTTGAACTCTCCACCCGCTTTGAGCACCGAGGCGACGACGAAGACTTGGATCAGGCTATCGCACTTTACATGGAAGCGCTGGCCTTGCGCCCGGTTTGTCATACAGATCGATCCATGACATTGAATAACCTTGCAAATCAACTCTTCACCCGCTTTGAGCACAGAGGCATGGACGAAGATTTGGATCGGGCTATCGCACTTGATAGGGAAGCGCTGGCCTTGCTCCCGGTCGGTCATACAGATCGGTCCATGTCATTGAATAACCTTGCAAATCAACTCTCCACCCGCTTTGACCACCGAGGCATCGACGAAGATTTGGATCAGGCTATCGCGCTTCTTAGGGAAGCGCTGACCTTGCGCCCGGTTGGTCACACAGGTCGGTCTAAGTCGTTAAATAACCTTGCAAATCAACTCTCCGCCCGCTTTGAGCACCGAGGCAACACAGAAGACTTGGATCAGGCTATTGCACTTAACAGGGAAGCGCTGACCTTGCACCCGGTCGGTCACACAGGTCGGCCCAAGTCACTAAATAACCTTGCAATTCAACTCTCCACCCGCTTCGAGCACCGAGGCAATGACGAAGACTTGGATCAGGCTATTTCACTTAACAGGGAAGCGCTGACCTTGCACCCGGTCGGTCACACAGATCGGTCCGTGTCATTAATTAACCTTGCAGCTAAACTCTCCACCTGCTTTGAGCACCGACACAACAAAGAAGACCTCGATGAATCGCGAGAGAATTTGCGCTATGCATTGACACTGTTGACGCAACATGATCCTCGTCAATTATTAGTCCATAGGTTACTAGCTGATGTCTATCTCTTGTTCCATCGATCGGGACTTGACGGCATTGGCCCAGGCGAAGATATGGACGGTCTGAATGCTGCTATGGATCATTTCAAGGTAGCAGCAAATGTTATCTCAGGAGGCTCGCTATCTCGTCTGCGAGCAAGTCTACTCTGGGTTATTAATGCTCGTCAACATTCACATGCCACTGAACTGGAGGCATATGCAACTTCCATGCAACTCCTGGACGTTTACATGTCCGCGACGGCTTCAGTATCGTCTCGTCACAATATCATGAAGAATTTCCCAAATACACTTGCCGTGGATGCTGCATCATGTGCTCTTCGTAGTGGTGATGTGTGTCGCGCTGTTGAGTTGTTGGAACAAGGCAGGACTATCATCTGGACCCAGATGACACGACTCCGCACGCCTCTTGATAGTGCCCAGACACGCGGCAGTCACGCAGCGGCCCTGATGAAGAGGTTCAGAGACCTCAGCTCCCTCCTCGAGAAACCTCCCGCGAACTATACAGAAGTAACCCCAAGAGTTGATGTAGAAGCAGAAGAAACCCGGTACAGAAGTCTAGTGCAGGACTGGAATAGAGCTGTAGAAGAGATCCGGAAGATCGATGGCCTGTCTCACTTCCTCCTTCCTCCCTTATTCTCTGATCTTCAAGATGCAGCCTGTGATGGCCCTATCATCATGCTTATCGCAAGCAAGTCATCTTGCCATGCCATTATCATCCCGCACAAACAACCTCCGATTAACATTCAACTCCATACCAATGTTGAGAAACTTCTGAGATTGGTAAACGCACTCCAGGAGGCAGTTCCAAAGGAGGCCGGTCCTAAAGGGAACCAAACAGCGCTTATAAAGGCTTTGAGAAAGTTGTGGGACGACGTCGCCTGCCCAGTAGTCGAGAGTCTGAACGGATTTGCACGACGAGGTTCCCGAATATGGTGGTGCCCGACGTCTCTCTTCAATTTCCTGCCGTTGCACGCTGCTGGCGAGTACAAGGCAAAGGGAAAGTCCGTTTCGCAGCAGTATATCTCTTCATACACGCCATCGCTCGCAGCGCTGATGAAGGCTCGCGGAAGTTATGATAGGTCCCCGTCGGTGCCCTTTGTTGCCATTGGTCAGGATTGCCCAGCTGGTGCCTCCTTCACTTTGGATGCTGTGGAGCCTGAGCTGGAATTGGTGCGGAGACTTTTACCCCCTCCCCCAGCTTCTTCCTTCTCCAAAATAACCAGTATTGATGCCACGAAATCGAGAGCACTGTGCGCATTGCAGGATAATACTTGGCTTCATTTTGCGTGTCATGGGACACAGGCATACAAAGAACCCTTCAAGTCAGCCTTTCTCATGCGCGACGAACCGCTTTCACTTCTCGATATCACACAAACGGATCTGTCTCGACATGAATTTGCATTTCTTTCTGCCTGTGAAACTGCAGTCGGTGACCATTATACTCCTGACGAAGTGATACACCTAGCGGCTGGCCTGCAATTCGCCGGGGTTAAGAGTGTTATTGGGACATTATGGAAGGTCAACGATAATACTGTGCAGCGATTAGTCGAGGCATTCTACAAAAACTTTTGCGGGGATGGTACAATGAATTCTAAACGAGCTGCCCGGGCGCTGCACCGAGCGGTCCAGTCGTTGGCTTGTGACACAGACATACCCTTGGACCAGCGCATAGTGTTCGTGCATATTGGCATATGATCAATTCTGTGCGTCCTCTCGCCTTGTTGATTAAAGCCTTCTTGAGCCAAACTGACGTCTTCACGTGTAGCATCTAGTCATGATCACGCGCAACCTGCTGTCAAGGACTTTGTTATTCAAACTTTGAAACTGTATACCTCCACGACATGTACACCCGATTTCGACTTCAATTTGTATTTTCTGGCTTGTTACCTCAGATCACTGATGATTAGTGGGTAAGGATGAAGTTACACTGATCTGGCATAGCGCCTGGACACAATTTACGATGGACGTGATAGTCGAGTGTCTGAATTGCGTGATTTGTGACTTACTGCTTGTTGTAAACCTTAATACATTATAGCAGGTTTCCCGCTTTCCCGTGGCTCTACCTGCTCGCGTCCTACCGTGAGCTAACGCTCGGACCAGCTCGGCTACCGTACAAACTAAAAGCTTCGAACGAGAGCAACGTAGAAAGTCAAGGATAACTACACGCTCGATAACGTCGTTTCAGGGGAGAACACAAGAACCTCGCAACATAGCTCTTTCAATTTTTAATTATCATACAAACAACGTCTGCAATGGACGTGACGTTCTCTACGAATACGGAGGTGGCGCCCATCACATGGTCACTCTCAAAGTATCGACTTTCCGGTCTATTGTTCCTATGCCTAAGATTCTATCAGCCTCTGGTGACCCTGCAAGAGAGATGTCTTTTCGCAGAGAGACTTTGACCGGCGAGACGCCTTCATTGTACGCCAATGCAAAGATGACATCCATATCTGGCAGAGATGTTAAACCGACAACAACAGAATACATAAAATACAGAATTACCTTCCAACGAACGACCTGCAGTCTCTGGGAAGAAGAAATAGACTACTGGAATGATAAAAGCGTTCAGCGCAGCGAATACTGTCCAAACATTAGCCTCGTATATACGGCGCCGTATTTCATGACCTACCGATGTAAGTGCCCCATGATATATTGTTGAACGATGGACCAGTGACCATCACGACCACGAAATTGAATATCCAATTCGAAGCTGTGTAACAAGATGTCAGAACCTAATGTGAATAGACAAAGGGACTAGATACATGTGCTCAGGGCATTGGCAGGTGCCCGAATTTCCAACCCGACGATTTCGGCAGGCTGACGCAGCGACATGTGAGTTTCGTGTGAATTACAGCGAGTAAGTAGCTCACGTATAGCCACGTCATGCCCAACCAGCCGATAGCAAAGAACGAGTTAAACACAAAAAGTAGTACAGCACTGACTACTTGTGCTCCCGTGCCTTGTATACTGCCGAGAACGGCAAGTAATATCATAGTGATGCACTGGCCCACAGCGCCAAAAAGCATGAGTTTTCGTCGCCCGATACGGTCTATGATGAAGATAGCTATGAGAGAGGCAAGGAAATACTCTGTTCCATTTGCAGCCGCGATGAGACGTGAGGTAACATCCGACAGACCAAGGCGTTGAAATAGGATCGTCTAGAGTGCAAACATAAGGGATCAGCGAATTCAGAAGAAGAAGGAAGACTTGCAGCATAGCTGCAATGTAAATCACACATCAGAACATGAGTTTATATTCAAGGCAAGTACTCAACTATGTAATCAGGTTGATCCCCGTAATTTGTTGAAAGCACTGGTTGATCACTCCTAGACAAGCTCTCCTGAAATGTTGGCTCCGACCGCCAACGAGAAGTTTTCTCAAAGGCGAGCGCTCGATGTTCGGTTTGCCTCCAAGGCCGCTGGAGATCCCAAAGTCCTCGATAGCAACTGCTTCCCAGATGGCATGATACGTGCGTTGAACTTCAGCATCGTCTGGGGCTTTATTCTCGAGCGCCGATATCACTGCTATTGCCTCTGCGGTTCGGTTTTGCTTCACAAGCCTAATCACTGTTATCAGAAACATGCAAGGTAGACGAATTAACACTGATTACCATCTTGGTGATTCAGGAAGCTGAGGAAACCGGTCAGATAGGAGAGTGAGAATAAAATATAGTTGACCCACGAAACCGATTCCAAATACCATGACCAGAGCTAAAACTATCTGGAACGCAATAGGAACTCTCCACTGAGCAGAAGATCCATTCGCCCAAAAACTATGTGCTTGTGAATTGGGTGGTAGGAAAGGAAGTGGTTAACGTACAGGCCAAAATCTATCCACTTAATGCGCGCCATCAATTACGCCAATGTGTCATATTGGCGGGCTCACTTACATATCTGACAGACACATGACTTTAGGATACTGGCATAGCATGGCCACTCACGAGATCATGACACCAAAGGTAATGAGGGACCCTTCAATAAATATCAACGCGCCACGTTTTGCGGCAGACGAGAGCTCTGCGTGATAGCTAGGAACTGTAGAGGTCTGTCGAGGAACACAAGATGGAGACGGAAAAAACAAACTAAAGACGGGGGTACTGACATTCAAGCCATTTCCAATGCCGGTGACTATCCGAGCAACCACTAATTGAGCATAGCTGTAGCTGGTCGTTTGAAGAATAGCACCAATAATCATGATACATCCACCCAATGCAATTGTTTGGCGTCTTCCTAATCGATCTCCTACCCAAAGATTAGATAAAGCCCCCATGAGGCATCCGATTTCCTGTACATCCAAACACACTGAGAACCATTCGACAATATTAATTGTGGTTTTTGGCTCACATATATAGCGACAACAAAGCTTTGCAGAGTAGCGTGGTTAGGATGACTGCTATCTACTACAACCTGGGGGAAGACTTTCTCAAACTGAGATGGGTTAACAGCTATACAACAACACTTTGGCCTCGGAAGGTTACGCTTTAATGACATACCTGTCCAGCGGTCAGCAACGCAGACATAACTCCTTGGTCATAGCTGCATGCCGACAACACAGTTCGCTTAGTAGGTTATCCCAGAAAACAGGTAGTATCTGTACGAACCCAAACAACGTAAATCCAGTGCCAGCAACAAATGCGATAGAAACGGTTAATTTACGCCCACGGAGGCGAGGGGCATACGAAGCAACTTCGGCATCAAGATTAGTCTCTTCGTAGTGCTTCCTCTCTTCCCCTTCGAAGGTGCTTGAGACTGGAAGTCGGCCTGGCGTAGTCATAATAATAGGCAATAAGCGCCTTAAAATTGAAAGCGGTCAAACAACGGGTATCGCAATGAGATTAGTCCTAATTTATAGGTTAAATACGTGATGCCACAAATAGATTCATAGAAGTGGAGTATTACCTTGTGACCGAAAACTCTCATCATCATCTTGCGAACGTGATCACGGGTAATCAATGAGGCTTATAGTTGAAGTCCATTGAACGAGTGTTGAAGTGTTATATGCACATTCAGCACAAATCTTACTCGGCATTCACGGGTGACAGAAAAGATGAAATGAGTAGTCTCAAACTTGAAGCTTGAAGCCTCGAAGTAGAACGATGAGCAAAAATTGGCTGACTAAAAGATATATTATGTAAGGCGATTTTTATTCGCTACCATCACAATTGTACACTATTCATCGGTATTCATACACACGTCAATTGGGGAGCACTTACTCGTCCCCGCACCTCCAATTTCGTCTGACTCGAGCGACGCTGAAATTATCTGATAGGTTAGGCTGCCTGTCGAGCGTTAGCTCGAAGTGATACGCAAACAAGTGGAGCGAGGAGCTGTGAAGTATCCAAGTATGACGAACTCGACATTATGAAGGAAGGAGACAACCGGCGCAACCGCTCAGTTTTTCAACATCTTGATAAACTGCATGACCCGAAACCTTCACAATCACTTGCAGCATCCGGATTCCGATAGTTATTAGGCTGCTCCCAGAGTCTCAGTCTTACCATCTGCAATCTCTCGGTGATCATTACCTTTGCATAACTGCGCATTCCGGAAGGAACATTCGATCTCTGAATCAACTGGTCATTGACTTCCCACGCAGTCTTGTGATGGGCAGATTCCCGCTGGCGCAAACGCCGGGACATCGTTCTCTATACGAAAGTCTCAACGCCTATAACAACGGTGATTGTGGTCGAAGCCGAATATGGAAGACGTGAGCATATGCTTTTTTTTTCTAGAGCCATCGAATGATGACGAGTAGTCAATAATAACAAGAAAAAGAAAAGTTGCAAACGTTATAATAGCGTACGTCTTCATCTTCCAGAATGTATTGATCTCTTTATTATACCAGTTGTATTCTATGCCCGCCGCCCTTTCGCGTGTGTCACATATTTGCCTTGGCAATGTCTTTTCGGATGCCCGACCAGATTACTGCAGCCTTATCCATCACCGAGGGTATCCATAATCGAAGTTGAGCAGCTCAGATAACAAACCCGAACTTCTGGGGCAAGAACTGATGCCAGGGAGTCGGGGATAGGACTCTTACGCCGCTACGATAAGTAGAATATGCCTTTCTGATATGACATCAGAGAGCGCGCTCTCCCAACCTGAGTGTCTAAGCGAAACTTTAGCGACGCTAAGTATGTCGAGTCACATTCTTTTAAATGGTTTTGACTCGGATGCGATGCTGATGTGTAGTGCACTGGTGAACTGTAATGTCGGACTAGAATGATGGGCATGTGGCTGCTTCAATAGGGAATATTATCAGAGCTAACTCCACTGTCAGCTAGACGTGACGACAGTAATTATTATGCACGCTGTGACTTACTGGTACACTGACGAGTCGATGACCAATTCTAAAAATTTGTACATCAGCGATAACATACATTTACGAAGTACCAGCACTCAGGCCAGACGACGGCATAGGCCCGAACATCGCATATTCGTAGTCTGCCTTCACATAAACCTTTAATCAACACTAGAAGCATGGCGGGCTCCCGTGAAAGCCTGGGTACTGTTCATCGACTAGACAGACCTTCAGGCTTCAATATTTGCGTAACGCTCTCGTACAGATATGGGTTGACTGCAGCTGTCAGAATTCATGAAGCTGTGTCCTTCAAAACGTCTTAATGTGCCCAAAGTTGTCAAATTGTCATGCCATCACGGAAACCAGGGAAGGGTTCTGTCGATGAGTTATCTGTTATCATACACAGTTCGAATTCAAGAACTGACATACAGTTTTCTTCAATCTCACCAATTGGAGTATAGCACCTGTACATTCCGAATCACTTCACCAGTAGTCACTGATTTCAGACTTGACCGAGGATGTTATCAATTGGTGCTTGCCTTCGGCTAAAGTTATCACGGTAATCTCCTTGTAGGGTCGCTACGCCAATCAGTAATAGCCGACAGCCGAACAACTGCAGGCCGTTCATTTGTTGACCGTGCCTATCACCCATACGTAATGTGTAACTTGGAAAGGAACTACCCAAGCGCGTCAGCGTCTTTGCGCCATCTTCTTCTGTCTCCTCTACTTTCTCCATGTCCTCTACTAATCATTCTCGTTTTCCATTGAACACTCTTCGCTGGGGAAACATTGGTTATGGAACTCCTGGAACTAATACAACACACAGCCATAAACCCCCCAAAACACCCGCACCGATGTGAGTATCAATCGTGTTCGGAACATGCTGGTGAGCCCAGAAACGCTTATAGTTGACGATTTCTTGCCAGATATCGACATGCTGCCCCGTCGGGACCTTGGCCATGGATGGACCTCGAGTCGGACGCTATTTTAGAGCCAGAGCCTGTTTCACCAGCAGGACAGTCAGCGAGACAATTGAAATGGAGGGGATATCCTCAAAACTTGTTTGGTAACTGGATCGCCGATCGAGTTGCACGGTGTAAGATGGTCGAGAATTGTTCCAAGGACCCTCGAGAAAAATGCAGGATCTACTATGTCGATGTGCTTGAAACGGGATTGTTCAAGTCGGTTCAAGATACCCAACCACCTGTTGATGTCGATGAACGCGCTTTAAATCAGCTTTGGGATCATTTGCAGATACAGGTAAGGACTGGTTATAAGTTGTTGCAAAGTTGATCATATGTCTTCGCAGCCGAATGGCCTTCGCCTCAGGGTATTGCTTGTCGACAACATGAAACACCCCGTACTTCAGATGCTGGGAACAAGGTACCATATTCAAATTTCTTGTTGGCATGTGTTCGATGATGAATGTAAATAGGTACAACATCGAACCGTTCTTTTTCACGTCCTCATTGAACTGGATCCCTTCTCGATACCAAGAAGAAGTTGTCAAGAAAAAAGGAGATCGTACGTGGTCTTCATTGTCTATCCAAAAGCATGTCATGAATACCATCAGACATTACGGTTACTCTTTTGTTCATACGCGCGGTATCATGGGGGGTGACTCCAGCATCCTCGCATAACAAACACGTTTCCGGTGAGAGCTCTATGCCCTTGTGCAAATTTAAACTTGATTGTTTTATAGACAGTGAGAGGGCTATAGACACACAAGAGTCACTTCGTCTTCGCTCTGGTATAGTCCCTCCCCCAATTGATGGTATCATTATTCAAAGTCTTTAGTTAGCTCGTCAGCGGAAAAGTACCTCCTTCAGGACATGCTCGCTCTGCATATGATAAGATCATCCGATCCCTGTGGTAGTACTATCATATCTTATCACCCCAGTTCTCATTGGAATAGGACAACCGCAGAGCGATTGAAGAATTTAGTCCATAAAGTGGGAGAGAGCGTGTATTGGCAGAAGATATTTGAACAGTCCAGGGATCCATCATTAGTCTTCTTGGCTATCCTTTGGTATGCGCTTTACGCTTGGGACGAATCCTTGGACCATCTGTACACTCACATGAACTGGCTGGTACGCTTCTTTGTCGCTTGTGTCCTTCATTCATTCATCCATATCATTATGCAGGAAACGAATGTACTATTGACGAACGATAGCCACCTTACGACTGAGTTGCACACTATCCAGGCTCAACTACTTCATTATGCTTCACTTCTTGAGGATTTCCGCAAATCTGTGACCTTTGTTAGGAACACGCCGAGTCCTGTTCTAGAGTCCTCCGAATTTACTGAGCATGCAAGAAGAGACACGAATAAATTGATGCGCAAGGAATGCGACAATCTCCTTTCGGAAATTGACAGGCTAGGCTTCCAGTTGAAAAACATCACAGACCTTGTTCGTATGTTTGCTCCGCTTGCTTCGAGCACTATTAATTTCAATGTCCAGGCTAAAGCGACCGTGAACTTTGTTGATAGTCGACGGATGCAAGATCTGACGACAGCAACAGTCCGTGATTCGGCCGCAATGAAACAGGTAGGTTGGCATTTTAATTCGCTTGACGACACTAAATATTCTCAATAGATTTCCTATTTGACAATGATTTTCCTCCCTGCCAGCTTTATTGCAGTATGTCCAATTCCATTCTCTTAGCAATGTATCTAATAACTTTCTTCTAGTCGGTATTTGGAATGAATGTCAGGGAAATTATCACCGGTGCCACGGAAACTCTAGCCAATTATGTGACTGTTTCTGTCACATTCACCGTACTCACTGCGTGGCTTGTAGTTGCATTGCAATCTCACTCGCCGTTCCACGAGGCAGGGACTGGATTCTGGCGACGGCTTGCATGGCCGGTTACATACGTCATGAGACCCACAGGCCTGCGGCAGTCGCTCAGAAGTCAGCCCGTTTTGTAGTTATCTAGACAAGCTTTTTTTATACTAACGACATATCTCCACTTTATATCAAGTCGCACACTGGTATTGTGGCCTAACGGCTACGATTACGAGTATGGGACGGAATGTTGTTTTAGACTTATTCCCTACTTTTCTTCACTATAGATCGGCGTCGCCTGTTGCCTTTCCTCAGGGTTTTCTGTTTCGGTAGTCATTTTGGATGTATTGTACGAACTATGGGTGCAAACTCTTCAAAGTGTGTGCGTAGCTAAGTGGATTTTTCAAATCAATGTGTAGGCCTCGGATCAATACGATCAGTGTCCCGATGTGCGGCACGTGCCTGATACTTACCTAGCTACTTTTATACGTAATTGAATATTGAAGAATCATCGATTACTACTTCCGGCGTACATATTCCCAACACATTTGATATACTCATAATGAATTTCGGACTTATCCAAGTAACCCATCGTCGCTTTTCCCCAGTTGTCTCCTGCTAATTACTGTCCTCTTGGTTCAAGTTATCGTTACCTCTGTCATGGGCAGTCGGCCAGTTGATCTCGGACTCCCGGTATTCTCCTGTCAGTCGGCACTGACCAAATCTGGAGTCATGTTGTCCGACACTCCGCAGACAAATCTGTGGCTTGAACGAACTCGCCTCGATGGAATGATGTTTGGGGGTGTGTCCTACGGTGCGTTTTCCGTCGATATGTGACGTGTTCAGGAATTTAATTCACGTACTACTACTACTAGGCATATTCACTCTCCTTACAGTACAAGCCGTGGCTGCTCTGATGCAACGGCCTCGATACGGTGGAAAAATCGCAAACAATCGCATCGTGCTTTTTTTCTACATCTTTATCACGTTTGCGCTTGGGACGATAGGATATGCTGCGAACGCGAGATATACGGAAATGATCTGGATAGACCTTCGCGATATACCTGGTGGTCCGCTCGAGCTGATCGAGAAAGCACTGAATTATCGTATCAATATTATGGCATTTTCCTCGTAAGCTCCTTGTTCATCCGCCTTAAGGCCTCAAGTATTAACATCTAGTCTAGCTATTTCGTCATGGGGTGGTGTATGCAAGCTTTACTTGTAAGCCAGACAGTTCGCCATTTGAACTGGTGCAAGCTTGATGCTTGAAATACTTAGCTTCATCGATGTTTTATAATATGGTCTCGGGCATCATCAGTTATGATCCCAATGATCGCTCTCTATGTTGCCATGATTGGTGAAGTACATCATTTACCAAGCGAGAGTCATCACTGACATATTGAGCAGTAGCATCTATTCTCATCCTGATCCAGTTAAGCACTGGTATCATGCTTCTCAAGACAAACATCCTGCTTTTGTACTTCTGCATGGAAGCAGGGTTCACTTTGATCTATACGATTCTTGTGACGAGTCGTTTACTCGTCATGCGAAGCCAGATGAAGCAGGCCGTGGCAGAATACAATTCTAGCACCTACGATATCGTTGTGCGCATGCTCATCGAATCCGCCATGTTATACTCTGTCTTTTGCGTCGTTATTATAGTCGCTCTTGCGTTACATTCTGACGGCATCTTTAATCTATTTTACTTATCCATCACCAATGTTCAGGTGAGCAGACGAAAGCCTGCGTGGCTTGCATCTTTGATGCTAACTTGAACACGTCAAATTTAGGGCATTGCTCAATTGCTCATTATCATTCGTGTAGCGCGAGGGCGGGCGATCACACGCGATTGGTCGACCCACGTTACTGCGGGACATGCAGCACCTGCAGGGCCCACCTCTATAGTATTTTCAAGGACTATGTCGAATTTGACAGATGGAGTCAACATGGGGGGAATGACTACTCCAGAGCAGGACGGTGTTCCGTTGTATTCTCTTCCGAAATCGGCCAAGGCAGCCAAAGCTGAAGTGTGTATGGCATGACCTTGACTTTGTGTAAAGTTAAATCACTTATGTATTGTACTTCAACTTCATTTATACCTACTATATACCCTATTGAAATTCTTTTGCCCGTCACTATGCCCTCGTCAGCTCACGGACGTACTTAAACATAATTTCAAATTACCTTGCCACCCGGCACCGCGAGCCGTTTCGACATCTCATCACCGGTCACCCCTGCAATTCTTACTACAGTTGCGGACAGGCAAACTCGACAATTCTGGACATCCAAAAGATTGATTTTTCCTGCTGCCACAAATTATCAGAAACCCATTTTTAGTGCAGAACCCATTCATAGGGGACCAAAGCAACTTATTTGCACGAGCAGATTTTTATAAAACTGCCATATAAAGGCTTCGGACAAGTTTTGGAGACCATTCCGTTAAAATATCAACAGAATCTGGTGTCATTTTGGCGCTAAAAAGTTGGTAAGTATTGGTGTAATTGCCTCCGGTATGCCCAAAAAAGTCATAGTTATACATTTCAGGAGATCCCTTCGCTGGCTAAATCCTCTTGTGAGGCTTAGTGAGGCAAATTTGAACTTATTTTCAACTAAAAAGAGGTGAAATAAAGCTGGACACAAATAATTCTGACCAAATCCCGGTGCAGAGGACACCTTGGACCCCCAAAAGGGGTACACAACATTGCTCAAATTGCTCAGAAATTTGGCCAACCCAAAATCTTGTGGGAAAATCTCCGGTGAAGTGTTTTTAGATGTATTTTGGCTCCCTGAGTTCAAATCTGGATTGGCCCCAAAAAATTACCTTGAGGCACTACTAAAAATTGTCGAGTTTGTCTGTCCGCAACTGTACAGGATATGCAGTGCAGTTACAAACATGACAGGATACCGTTGGCTGGCGCTTCTGCAGTCAGCACGCGGACCGATGGCCCGATATCTAGATCGCCGGTTTGTTCCCAGTAGTCTTCATATGACCCATCCCCTCAGTTATCTCCAGTAGGCGCTCTCTTCGCCTGGTCTTGGATCATGCGGTAACAATTGATCTCGATGTTATCTGATGGTGTGCTTACCGTGAGCTGATTCTATAAGCTCCTGGTTTCAAATCGTTTGTAATAATCTGAGAGTCCGCCTGGCTATACTGTCTTTGCTGTTTCATTCACTCAGAGCCAATTTAAAGTATCTGCGTCTAGATCTGATGCTCAATCTAGCTTCGCTTTCATCTTATTTCAAAAACAGGGCATTGCACAATTCAAGTTGCTCATCATCATTCGAGGACGAACAATTATGAGAAATAACGAGTACATATCAATGATATTCACGAGAACGAGAACGAGCGGCACCTTCTCAATTCTGCTGCGCAGGGTCACTGCAGGTTTAAATGATGAAGCGATGACCGAAAGATTTGGATAGGCTAAAATCAACTCAATAGGCTTCCGCAGCCTGCAAGTTCTGCCAAATTTTCCGCCATCCCACAGCAACAACAATTCTGCCAAATCGATCAGAGTCTTGCCTATGAGTATATGCAGGATATAAAACCCAGAGATATCATCATCGATCATTCCATTATCACCTCAATCACCTCACACAGAAAATGCGTTTCTCCCTCGCCGTTGTCATTGCTTTGACAGTACCCATGTTTGTCAGTGCCTCAGTCCCGGGCTGTGGCATGGAGGGCGCACCTTGCCAAACGAACGGAGATTGCTGCGTAGACAAGTATTTTGTTTGTTACTATGATGGTGTGAGTATGAACTGTTAGACCTTCGCTGTGAAACCAGGATTGAATTACTCATAACTTACATGCGCGCATTAGACCGAGCAGGCGATGTGCACGAGATGGCTTAAATATTGAGTCAACACTGGCCCGAGCGGGACCGTCGCGACCGTGAGCCATGTTTCTGCCTTCGTTTGTGGTATCACATTTGACCGTGTAATATCTGGTTCGTTAATCAGTACAGTCGAAAAATTTCGTATTGCTTCGAGCAATGTGATCTGGACGTGATCGGCTGTCACGGTGCCTAGTCTTGCTTGTGGTCCACCAGACTCGAGTTTGAGAGGTTGTCGAGAGTTCGAATGTTGCTGATGCATTCGTTTTTATACATATACCTAGTCGATTGTCATGTAGATCGAGGACGGACAAGTATAGAGTGGTCGGCCAGTGTTGCTGCAGCATCTACATCTGCAGCGTTCTAATTTCTCGGGGGCTAGCCGAGTTGTGTTGGACACAATCAAACATTGAGCAGATGGCTGTCATAGCATCTGGAGTCGTGTAAACTGTCGTTGGAGTCTGGATGAGATTGAGCGTCGCAGGTCTGTTATATGTAAAGCAGGATGGTGTTCAGCTGACAGCTGCATCAACTCCTTCGGTAGTAAACACGGGTAAATGTACATGCCGTAAAAGTATGCGTAATGTGTCGATTTGTAGTTTGCATGCGAACGTACTTATCGAATAAATCTTCATTCAAAGTTGGAGCTACAGCTCTAGCCTGTTGAAGATCTTGGGGCAGGTCCATATTTCCGGATACTAATCACCCCAATTCCAAGTTTCAGCTCACCATCGCACATCACGCAGAAGAACACCAATCACCATCAATAAACAAGCCACGCCTCAGCCGCACGCAAAGCCTCATCCCATCCCTCATCCCCCCTCTCCCAAGCCTGCACGCTCTCTACCTCGTCCCTGCCCAGCTTAAACTCATTATAAAGGTGCGGGAACATGCCCTCCCCTCCACGCGGACCGCACACCTCTGCCTTTGGATCCTCCCACTTGATGTTCTTCTCGAGAGGGCCGTAAGGGATGCGGAGTATGTGTACTTTGGGGTCGTCTTTGAAGAAGAATTTGAGCGTGTTGGGGATTTGGTGGGCGGTGGAGAGGTGGATGAAGTTGGATGCCCGGTCGAGGTCGCTCACGGGGAGCCGATCAGGGAGGGGGTCGGGTGGGGCTGCTGATGATGGAATGAGCTTGTAAACATAGGTTGGACTGGCGTCTGATGGTGTGGCCATGGTGTTCTGAGAAGTTAGGCCTTAGGCTTGAGCTCGACTCTGGGGACAAATTCAGATTGTGCGATATATCAAGCGAAACAGCTTATCGCGTTTCAGGATGGACCAAAAATGGACACGAGCACATTGCACAAGTCTGGTAGCCACATGAACAGTCACGCTGAGTACACGGCGTCCGCGTCAGTAGTTGTTACAACAGATACATAGCTTGTGAGAGGTATATATAGCGCAACATAAATCCACCACAAATCTCCTCAAGGCTTACACCATGTCTTGCACCGTCTTCTCCCTTGTCTTATGCATAGCCTTCCATAAAGTAAGAGCTGGCCACACTGCGCGCCTCATGAATGGAGCATTGCGGTCGTGGAATGAGCTATGTGTCTGAAGCGTGACAACGAGGTAAACTGTAAAGAGCGTGAGCGAAATGGTAATCTCGACGTAGCGGCTGAGCGTCTGTAGAGATCCTGAATTGAACTCTACGACGTTCATTCCAAACACAGACTAAGAGTACGAGGTCAGATGGGTTGCGCACTAAAAGAACTTCCGTGCTTACAGCTAAGAAGCTTGCCGGCAGAAAGACCATCGTGAGGTACGAGATCTAAAAGTTTGTTGGTACACGATCAAGTCACTTTAGTTTCAGCAAAGAAGATACCTGTTTCATAGCTGCCGAGTCTCTGACCGTCGCTTCTGTCAGTTTTCGCGTCTGTCTACTGTCATCGAGATTGACAGTCGCAAAAGCAAGGTCCATCACATTCTTCAGGCGGTTGCCTAACATTCCACGTCGCCTTTCTAAACGATCTATTTCGCTAAGTAGATTCTCGGACTCCCTCGTCATAAGATCATTTGACTCTTTGCGCTGTTCTTTGGTGACTGTCACTAGAGTGCATGGCCGGATTATGGGTCTTCGCAATAAATTGTACAGTTACTTCAAAGTCATGAAGGAGTGCTTGATACTGCAAGAGATGCGCTTGGAGGATATGGAGCTCCCGCGTGAGCTCCATGTTATTCGTCTGCAGTACCTTTGACTCCTAAATGTTCTTTAGCAACATACCACCTCTACTCCACATGAGGATGACATACCAGTTCACTAAGATGTTTGTACAGCAGCTCAAAGGACTCATCCCATGCATACAGTGGATACCACAAAATTGCGAGGAAGGCGAAAGTCGGGTCTTTTGACTTTGCGAATATTTTTTGCCAGTACACACTGCCCCCGACGAGCTGCATGAGCGAGTGGAGGCGCCTTGCGGATGTCCGGCACCATGTAGACTCGGGATGGTAGGAGATGATGGTGCTTGTGTTTACGCCACGGACCATATGAATCGCGAGTAGGTCGATAAAGAGCATGTTACCATCTAGGAAGGATGTTGGGATGCGAATACAGGGACCTTTATACACATACCATTCATAGGGAAAGGAGCCTGGGTGTTGATATGAAGGTCTGTTAAAGGTGAATAGAATGACTACGATAGATGATTAGTCTCTTACTCATGGGTTGCAATGGTGCTGTTGCAGAGGTGGGTGTTGACCGAGAATTTCTACGTAGCGTTCGTACAAATGGAAGGGTAATAGTAATGTCTATCGCACAACATCAGCATGGGACCCAAAATAGAAGAGTTGCACTTACGATCTCCTTCTTTATGGATAGGCGCTTCCTGGTATCGTGAGGGTATCCAATTGATAGAGGACGTGAAAAAAAATGGTTCGATGTTGTACCTGTGTATGATGAGTCTCAGACCAAGTAGAAGTAAGAAAACGACATACTTTGTGCCCAGCATGCGCAAGACCTCCGGGGTTAAGTCATCAACAAATATGGATCGCACTCGAATACCTTCTGTACGCTGCAAAACCATATTACGTTTTAACTAGCCTTCGAGGGACGTGAGACTCACTTTCTCCTGTAATATATCCCAAAACTGATCCACATTTTGAGCTCCCACTACGGTTGTATGACCATGTCCTCCGATATTTGGGCTTGCAAAACTCCCGTTGTCGAGTACATCCATCCAGTAAATGGTGCTAGATGCGTTCACCGAACACTTTTCAATCATCTTGCTACGCTCTACTTGGTCTGGAGTCCAGTTCCCGAATTGGTTTCGAGGGTACCCCCGCCAGGATTGATCAATGACAGTTGGAGAAGTTGTGGATTCTACGTCAAAGTCCATCCATGGCCATGGCCCCGATGGTGCGGCATGGCGATATCTGGGGAGAGGATCAGTTTGCACAAATAGAGTAAATCATAGGACAAAACTTACGGTGGTGCAGGCACGGCAGGTGGCATAGCTGTATTGCTATCCTTGAAGTTTTGGAGAGAAAAGTCCTCCAAGTTGTCCGGGTCATGGCGTACTTTGAAGGCGGCGGCTAGTGTTTGGAGTGCCATGATGGCTTAGCGGTTGGTGTCAGTTCATGCAGGAATTGTCGTGAAGGGGGACGATGAGTATATATAATTACGGTAAGACAGGCGCCTAACGCTGCTCTCCGACCGTTCTCGACTTGGCCATCCATCAGTGCCATCAATCAGGGTTGCCTTTTTCAACCAATGATCAAATTTTGAAAGTAGTATTACATAAGAGTAATCCGCTCACTTCGAATGCCGTATTATTTTACGGTCACTGTGCACAAGAGGGAGGCTTGCCTCACCCTGGCCTGAAGTATGAGGCATGTGAGGACATCCGAGGCTATCCGAGGACATGCGCTAGCAATACAACCAAAAAAAAGGTGATATAATCGCAAATCACCGAGTTCAAGTATATATGAAACAGAGTTGTTGGAACGAATGTTAGGCTCTCATGCATAGAGAGAAACTTATGGCAGGTCGAGAGCCTCACCCAACCGCCAACTAGGGGCATCATTCCATCATGTCAGCGTGTATCCACGGCAGCATAATAATGTTGCTTGTTTGGGTAGGAGTGCACCGTGACTTCCATCCAGTAGCAATTGAGACGCTTAAAAAACATGACAGGGACTCATCTCGTACTAAATACCTGAGTCTCCCTCAGGCCCCAGAGGTCAATAGCAATTTGTCAATTGCTCGTATGCATCTGACGTTGCCTTGGGGTGTTCGTCGTCCCGAGTTATCAGCAGTCAACGGATCCTAGTCTGCTCAGATCCTATTAGGCCTAGCATCTTGGCATACCGTGATTAATATTAACTTGGCGGCCAGCGCTATCAGCCTGGGAGTCGGGACTTGGTTTTATGCGAGCAGGTAACCTCGTGTATGAGAGAGTGGCGATTCAAAAATAAATTATCGGAACTCGGATCCCTAATATTATGTAATAACATCGCGCTCAAGCGCTCGTGTGGCTCCCATTGAAGATATCCACAGTATTTTGGTCAAGTCACATCTTCCCATATTCTCCAGTGCAAACGGGTGTGCAGATATGATCCGGGTAGATGCTTGCACCAATCATATGCATACGGGACAGGCCGTCTGTGAGATGTTATGGCTACTCGACTTGTCCGTGCCAGTCTTGGCGAAATTAATCAAACTATACGCGGGGACATCGGAAAAATGATGCATGCAGCAAAACATGTCTTCGTGCCTGCAAGATCACTTGGAGGTTGGCACGATCTAACTCGAATCTGATTGCACAATCCAATCTCAAAATTTCAATTTCTACACCATGTCACGGTCGTACGCGCCGTTCAAAAAACGTTATGAGGGGGATCCCTGCACGGCATCTCTGCAAAGCTCGACCTCCGTGAGGGGGAAAAACTACTTGGGGTCAGTTTCGCCTGTTGCAATCGGCAGAACTGGCAAAACTCTGGGCTAGTTATACACGATATTCCTAATGAAGACTCATCAGTGTTGCCTCGTCCTTGCCGTTGCAATGGCCCGCTTCAACCTCATCTAGACTACTAGTCTGGTTCATCCGCTGTTCGACCCAATCCAACTCGTCAAAATCAAAAAATTCCCCTCCAGCACTTCAACTTCGTTGATGTTCGGAACTTCCTTCGAGGTCTTCAACTCTTCGAGAGCTACAGATTCGCCAGCATGAGCAACGTTCTTGACCAGCCAAAGTCATCTGCATCACGACTCACGAGGCTCGGTCGAGAGTTGAGGTGTCGAAAGGTCGAAACTGTCGTTGATCAGGGGGGCATCCTCCAGCAAGCACCATCTTGCTTTAGGGATGTTCCATTGAACTCGAACTACATGTATGTCATCAGATCTACAATACGTTTTTCCAAGTCTGGGCCTCTGCCAAGTTCTGCCACTCCCTTGGCGTGAGTTTTGCCGCTGACTTCAAGCGCTGATCGGGCACAACCGGTTGGCAGAACTCGGAAATGCATGCGCATACCGGGCAGGGTCAGGACTTGGTTTTATTTGATCTTTTAACTCGTGTCTGCTTTGCGGTGAGTGCCTGTCACGGTGATCTGAAAATAAATATTCAATGTTTCTTTGAGCGCCCTCAGTACATGCACCCTCGAAGTTCAAAGAATTCACCGGCCCCCTGATGCAGTCGGGAGCTCTTGTACACCAGAATATCACAGTATTTCGGTCAAGTCGCATTTTCCCGTACTCGTGTGCACCGACATGATCCGGGTATATCTCCACTCGTGCCTATACTAATCATAAGAGACAGACTCGTCTGGACTACGTCTTTGAGATGTCATAGCTACTCGACTTGTCTGCTAGTAACAAGCCTATCATATATCTTACACTCGATACTACCCTACATTCTGCGAGGCGAGAAAATCGTTACACCTTACCAGCTTTACCATCCAGGTCTTTCAGCCTGCCATCAATAACTGGCGAAATCACAGGCAAGTCCTTCTCGACTTTAAGCTCTTTCGTCTCCTCCTGGACCGTGTTATCCCACGCCTCGTTCCGCATAACAACTTGAATACAATACGTCCCCTCAATCTCAATACCCCTCCTATGCCTCTCGTACCCATCCACCATATTCACATCCTCATGTTCTGCGACACGAAGCGCAAAGGTCTGCAACGCGGTAGACGCGACCCACATGCACGAGGCAATCACCGTTTGTTGAATCGCCTCCGCAAGATCCAAAGTCATGTCCTGGAGTGCATGAACACTGTCAGATATGTTCTGCGCGGAGCGAGAGGGCGGCATTAGAGGCGGCGATAGAGGCGGCCCAGTTGCTTTGGAGACACTGCCAGATACGCTCTGCGCAGAGCGAGAGGCGGCGTCAGCCACTTTACCCAAAGGGTACGGCGATCTGGGTGAGAAGCCGATGGGGATGCCAGGCAGTGACCACGAAGACTCAAAAAATTCTCCGCTGTTCCATGAGGATCCTGAAAGAGGTTTAGGGGAAGGTCCGTGGCTGTCTGGTCCAGGGTCTGGCGAGGCGGAGGGGCCTGGGCTGAATGGAGATGAAGCGCGTGGTTTGGGGAAGAATCCTGGGATGCTTGGGCTAGTGATTTTATCTGAGAGCACCTTAGGAACGCTGGGCATATTGGGCATGCTGGGCATATTGAGCGCGTTTGGTATCTTGGGTATCTTCACCTTGGGTATCTTTGGCATCGAAATGATGGACGCGTCGAGCTGTGGAAGATTGAACGTTGTTCTGGCTTTAGAGACAAAGTTGAATGTCTCAGGGAGAAGGTCTTTCGGTTTCGCTTCCGGGTCACGCGAAACCTTGTTGACAAAGTGAGCACCTTAAACACGGTTCAGAAGTTTCAGAAGTGCCGGATGAAATCAGTGTATCTCGCTTACCGAGTAGAAATTTCCGGATCAGCGTGCTCTTTGGCTGTCCGTTCTCACCGTTCAGGATGAGCTTTTGCTGCTCGAGGACAGTATATCCGTCGCCACCTTGGGTCATGTATTCCCCGACCGTAACGATATACTTTCGATCATGATTGCGTTTAATCTCCTCCTTGTCGATGAGCTTGGGTTTCCCATCGGGTCCAACCTGCTTGGTTTCTTCGCGGAGCCACATCTTCTCAATACGCTTTCCAGATTCCTTGGACGTTCTCCATTCCACACGGAACCCGGAGATGGCAGGGAAGCGTCTAAATAGTGTCAATCTAAGTCGCGACACATCAATACCGAGCTTACCCTTCCTGGACGGGCCACTTGGAGAGACCAGACTCCATTGCCGTCCACAGAGCTTCTCCGTCCATCTCGACAACGACCATCGGGTCGGGAAACGATAACATTTGCATGAGATCACCGAGGGTAATCGGTCCTAGACTCAGTTGTTTCATACCTAGGAACGAATGCATCGCGTAATATGCTTACCCCTACTGTACTTCGAATCTCCTCGAATGTCTCCCATACAAATGATAACGCAGTCGACAGCTGGGTATCCGAGTTTCTCGAGCACGTCGTTGTAAACAGGTTTCAGACAGTCGGCAATCCAATTACCCAACGCAGACTATACTTGTCATCAGAAACTTGAAACTGACAGAAATGGACTTGTTAAAACCTCTCCTGTACGGACAACTGAGGAACGTGCGTCGAGCTCAACTTTGCTAGTACAAATCGGATCAGACATGGCTTTATTGATATCACCCAGCTCGTCGTCGATGACGCTTTGCATCTTGGGGTCAACGGCCAAGCCACTAGTGGTGCGGTGCCGGATGCCTAACAATCAATATTCAGCATCTTGATCACACCTCGAATGCTGTGGACGTGCCACTGATGGACTCGATAAGCTTCTTCCTGACAGATCCCGCGGGTGTATCCTTTAGTGTTAGAGTAACTTCACTAAGGTCCTGGAAGTCGGTACCGCTCTTCACGATTAGCGTGTTTCCGGTGTCACTCGCAGCATCTGGGAGTGATGGGTCGTCACTGTAGCCATCCCACGATCCGATGCCTTTAGAAATCCAGTAGATATGGTCGTGCCCTCCGAGTAACAGATCGACTCCGTGCTCAGAAGCAATATTAGATCCGTCTTGTGCCCAAGGAGCGAGGGCGTGAAGTTCATCAGCAAGTTTGATGTCCTAGCTCATTTTAGCGTCATGTCGATGCCATTATTATCATAGAGACTTACGTTCGGAATTCTGCAAGTATTACTGAGACAATGGGAATCGTTCGTAGACAATAGGAACTCACCTCGAATGTGTCAAAGCAAAGACCAAATCGCAATTGTGGGGAGACTCTCGAAGGACTTGAGAAAGATTCTTGCCAACTTCAGTCATATCCTTCCATTCAAAATTGTCTGGCCAGCCAGTAATAGTCGCGATCCATTGCCTAAGCGAGATATCAATAATACTATTTTAGATGCAATACGAGAAATAATCACTTCTCTACCAAGCCAATGAAACCTATACGGACTCCAGTCTTTTCGATCACATGGAAGGCCTTCAGAGGTTCGGGGACGGCACCGGTGTCTGTGTCAATGATATTACTCAGAAGCCAGGGCTTGAAAAACCGGATCAGGCATCCATCGTTTTGGATGCAGTTGAAAACGCACGAAGTTTGTTTCATGGATAAGCTCTGCCAATCGACGGTAGCCTGTGTACAATTAAGTCGTTGGTTCTTTATCGAATTGGGATGACAGCACCAAAATCAAATTCGTGGTTTCCTGGAAGCGGTCATCAGACGGGAGTTCAGACGCTGGACGAGCGACAGAACCTCACCTGCAACGCTAACATCAACATTCAATGCCTTCATCACAGCCGCCTGTTAGGATTATGAGCATTGTTGAAGGAGCATAGAAGGGTTGTCTCGTCACCATATGCTTTCCTCTGGTGATTGAACTTTGCCAAGACGGAGAGAAGGTGTCACCAGAAAAAATGGTCAATCCGTCCTGGATGCCATCTGTCGCCCATTTATTTTTGACGTTTGACAGTAAAGTGGCGAACTTTGTCACATCGATGTTCTCTTCCTTCTTGTCGATCTGGGGAAGGCCGTTAATCCGAATGTTTACAAGTTACAAGTTAAATCAATACCTCGAGCTTCTGGTTAGAAACTTGGTACACGTCGTTGAAATGCACAATCTTGAGTACATTCTTTTTGCCTGGAGGCGGAGTAACAGGTTTGACACGATCGTGCTCTGCGCGCCAGACCTCAATCCCTTGTTCATATTGCTCCCAAGTGAGGCCTCCTGGATTGGTGTGACGGATAAGGACACCTTGAAAATGGTCTTTAGCCGATATTAGCTTATCTAAAGCAACTGTGGTTACCCTTTTTCGACAAGTCACAAGAAACTTCATTGTCAAAGTAGACCTACGCTGGAGCTTGAGGTACGCACAAACTGGACAAAAAAAGTCCATACCATATCCTCGTACGCGTATTTGCTCCACCCATGAATGCGCTCAAAGTGCTTGGTCTTGGATTCTGGGAAGGAGAAATGGCGTCAGTGGTTCCGAGAGACAGATCACGATATCCTACCATTGCTATTTCGTCATATCTTACCATCTTTATGATGGATTTCTGTTTGTTGTCTCTTGGATCTGTGGCATGGAAGTAGTATAGCACTCGGTTTACCCTGAGAAATAGAATTCAGTGCATGTCACCACTGCAACACGATGAAAACCAACAATGCTTTGCTATCATGTTTCGATACGAGCGCGATAGATGCACCATTCTTCAACGCATTTTCGATGATTCTCGGAATGTCAGGACAGAGTGTTACTGCATTTTGATTGTTACTGGATATCCATCAGTCTACGGCATATCCAAAAGCCTATGAAGTGACCTTTTGTCTTTTGTAAGCCAAGTATCAACCTTCTTGACGTTGTCTGCTAACTTGGAGGACGCGCCGCTGCCTTTCCCCCAAAGTTCCTCGCGGAGAGAACCCAAAAAGAGCACCCCACTAGACTACAATTTAGTAGGCCACTGATTTTAGGAACGCATAAAAATTGCCTAGTTTCGAACGCTATGAGTTTTGGGAACATGAGAAAGGTCGGAGAGGTCGGCCAACACCGTCTCGTCTCAATAAATACTTATAATTTGTCTTAAACTTGATGAGGCTACGCACCAGGCCTTGCTTTTCAAATTGAGCCAGGGCCAGTAGGAGTGACCTTCTTTCGCAGAATTCGAGATGTGGGGCTTCGGAGAGGTCAAAAGACCTTCAGGAACTGTAAAATCTTTCCAAATTGATCGGGAACGGACCTCTCAGCCTGTGCCAGGTCGATAAGTACTTGCACGGCAGAACTGCTGACAAGTGGCCGGACCGACTTTATATTGCTGGTCGATAATCATGATCAGATGATGAGTCAGTATCAGATCGATAAGTACTTACACAGCAGAACTGCCACTGACAAGTAGCCGGACCAACTTAAGACGATGACTTCACAACAGGGTGAGCAGGCGCACAAGGTCATTTTGGTTGGCATTGGGTGAGCAAGACTGTCGGGGCGTGTTTGAAGTTCAACCGAACCGCTGAATATTTGATTTAGAGGCGCATCTTGTTCCGGAAAGACAACCGTCGCCAAACTCCTCCGTAACATTATCCCAAACAGTGTCGTTATTCATCAGGATGTAAGTCGTTTATGATGTGGCACCGTTCTTGGTACTGATTTGCCAAGCATAGGATTTTGCACCCGTCAGTGTTGGAAACATCCTAGTATCTTGCAATCTCACTTTTATCGCAGCCTTACGAAACCATTCCGTATCATCCTATCCACAAGGTCCAAGACTGGGACAGCGCACCGACTGCTATAGACTGGCCTAAACTTCGAGAGTTCGTTAAGCAAGTAAAGCAGACAGGCGAACTCCCTCCCGAACACAAGAGTGCCGACCACCTCAACAAGCAGACAGAACTGCCCATATGCAAAGAAAGTGAAGCGCACTGGAAAGAAGTTTTTGGCCGCCTTGCTGAGAAATCTGGTGATAAAGTCGTATGGGCCCTCGTCGATGGCTTCCTCTTGTATTGGGACCCTGTAGGCTCCCATATGATTGTTCTTTTGCAGCATTGAATATCACTGTGCAGGTCGTTGTCGAGCATTTGGATCTCAAAGTGTTCCTCAGGACGCCGCACGATGTGCTCAAGGAACGTCGAGAAAACCGCGCAACTTACGTCACAACTGGTAAGCTGATAACTCGCACGAAAATCTTTACTGACTCGGAGAGATTCTTAAGAGGCTGAAACGTGGACCGATGCCCCCAACTACTGGGAGAATATTGTCTGGCCCGCCTATGTTGACGGCCATAAAGGCATCTTCATGAATGATGATGTCGAGCACGGAAAACCTAGGGAAGACATAGTGCCCGGTTTACTGCTGATAGAAGCTCAGGAACACACAATGGATGATATCGTCTCAATGTGTTGCAAGCACTTTGTAGACTATGCGGAGCGGTCGTAAGAAGCGTAAATTTATACCATGATTGTATAGCAGTACGTCCGAGTCAAGGAAGAAGCTCGAAGTTCATAGTCACCTGCATAGGTACCATCAAGAATGCAGCAGCCAGTCTATCCAGCTACATACCCCAGGCGAGTATTTCAGGCATGGACGGACACTGCGCGCGCTGCGTTTTTGGGACACGACGAACAGTAAATTTTCATCTTCATTCGCCGCATAGAACATTCATTGGAATATCGAGAAAGGTACATTCTTTTTATTGACCTAATTCCAGACTAATAAATTAACTTGAATTACATGGTACTGAGAGTGCAATACCGGACGGAGAATGCGAGGGAAGTTGTATTGCGAAATATCGATATCGGAAGAGATCATGATTGAATCCTACCAAGTACATACGGGCGGATCGTTGGATTTTTTCCTACGCAATCAAAATCTAGTCTCGTTCATACCACCACCTTACGTCGCTCAAATATTTTTGGCAGTCAGTGTCGTCTATCGCACGTCTTGTCATCTGCGCCTCGTATTCGGTCTTGACCATCCAATTGATCCAGTATCTCCTCTGAAAGCGATGAAAACATGTGGAGAGGTTAATGTTGACGCACCTACAAATTCTTCTGGAGTGTATTTCGTACCAGGCTCGCCACTATTCCACACAAGCTTGTCATGGCCACGAACATAGTAACGGCCGTCCCATTTCATGCGAACAGCAAAACCCCTTTTGCCGATGTCGAGAACCCCATTCAGGAACAGTGTTGGGGCACTTACTGTTGGCATCCGAAGCGCCAGAGTCGAAGAAGACCGAGAGACCCGATGGACAGGCATAGTGACGTTCCGGCCCGGCTTAGGCTTGGCCTGGGGGGGCTTAGGCTTGCCATATTTCAAGCCTAGGCCGTGAGCCCAAGCCAGCCCAAAGCCGTGGCTTGAGCCGCACTAGGCCGCGGCTTCGTGGTATGCAAAACTGTAGATTCGTAGTTTAGTAGCACAAGAAAATACATGAAGTAACTAGTCAGAAAACTCGTCATCATCTAAAATCAAAGCATCCCAAGCATCCTCCTCATCTGCGACATCAGTCCTCTCCTCACTGTCAGCTTCCAATTCAGAGTCATCAAATGCCTCCGACTCCACGAGAGAGGATGGTCCAGGTTCGCGAAAGAGAAGGTCGTGTCGTATCGCACATTTGACACATTGGAGAGCTTCCACAATGTCTCCTTTAAGCCGGTTCCGTCGTTTGCTGATCGTGATGCCACCTTGCGAAAATGCGCGCTCGCTTGATACTGATGACGACATGATGGATAGGTAATCTCGTGCGAGCGAGGCCCATACTGGATATCTTGGTGCATTTATCTTGAGCAAAATTGACATCAGTGCGAATTTTCCAAGTAGCGCAAGCCATAGTACGTACCCCCCACCATTGTATGGTAGATACACCTGGTGGTAGAGCTGCCTCAACAGTCTCCAGGTAGCTCATAAATTCGGCCCTCCATGGCCGTGATGGATCGCCAATCGAAGTAGGGGTAATCGAAGTAGGGGTGGGGTTCATAAGTGAGTCGTCCTCCGAATCACTGATGACTTCGCAGATGAGTGACTTGAGACCACCTGCCTTGCTTTTATTCGACGTGGGCTGGGATGACGACAAAAACGTAGCTTCTTCATTCAGCTCACGATAACGAGCTTTGAACTGGCGGCAAAATCAGACTATCGTGCAAAGGCAAAAAAAAGCTCGACTCACCACTTCCTCCGCAGTGCTTACCACGTCATCATGCAAATTTTCTGGCCAGTGGTGCTTGAAATAAGTCATTTTCCCTACTGGATCAAGCACTACATTTGCAAGCATTAGAGTATTTATTGAATTATAATAAACAACTTACACGTTGCCATTATATATGCAGGGGACTGCGTTGTCCTCTCATAATACTCGTCTACCTTGGCAGCGGCTGCTTGAAGCGATGGAGCGAACCATGCATACTTAGACCTTTCGGCACGCGAAGACCAAGCCCTGTAGAGGGTTTCAAGCGCTGGGATTGTGAGGTGCAGAGTCGAGCCACGTTCAGATGAGAATGCTTGCTGTGCGACATCGGCATACTAAAGAATTAACATGAGAAGTTAGTATAAATAAATTAGAAACTCTCGTACTGAAAGAAGATCAGCAAATTGGCCGACACGTGTCCATTCACCAGCCGAGAGTTGAAGAAAGTCGATCTTGGCACGTTTTGCCAAGTCACGCTCTTGACGACCTATCTCGTATACAAAAGTATCAATGTGCTAGAGCCGATAATAAGCTTGAACGAGTAGAATTATGACAATAAGAAATAACGTACCTCCCTGTTTGTCTTGGCACAATTAAGCATTATATATGTCGAGGACCACCGAACTTTCATGTCAATCAACAGTTGAGTTGGTTGAGACACTCCCGCTTTGGTCTGCACACTCCGGTACATTTCCTTTTGCTTCGCAGATGACCGTTCCTGCAGGACATCAATATATCTTCGTAGTGTCATATGATTCTAACAAAAACGAACGTACCTTGACACAAATACTTCGAACAAGGGCTATTTCATCCCGAGTGGCCAGTTCATGACTTTTTGGTTCGTGCGGGTTGTAATACAGCGCTTTGCTGTACGTGCTGATTAGACTCTGCGTTGCAAGATTAATAACGTGAGCCAAGCAGCTGCACAAATAATGAGTGTCATAGCAAGTTCGGACAATGACAGGACTTACTTGATTTTGCGCTGGCGCCAGGGAAACACTTTGTTATATTTAGCCTTGTATATGCGCGCGAATTCATGCAGTGTCGTCCCATTGTTTGCAGCGTTGTCACAGGTGACATGCCCTAGCTAAGTTATATGAGCGCTGTAAGACGTCGTAGTCAAATAAACTGATTTACCTTCTGTGCAATCCCAACACGATCGAGAATTTTGAATAAGGCCCCGCCCAGCCGCTTGCCACTATGTGCATTGTTGACTTTTGTGAAACTGAGGAGTGAGCTTTCAATTTCCCATTGCATGGGTACCTTCTCTTCAATCCAATGCCCCGTGACCGCAAAATAACCGTCGACGTTCTCCGCTTGCCATGCGTTGCACGTGGTATTAATGTTTCCCTTGACAGCAGCGCTCTATAAAGCCCAATGAGACAAAATACAAACAGACAACAGACATCACTCATGTTCAGCATGTTCCTTAGCCTCGTAAGGTGGTTTTTAAACATTCTCATGATTTCGGCACGAGTGCCCTTCCTACCCGGAATCCTGACTCTGTTGGTTGCGCGAGAAGCAACATGAATCAGCTCTTGAAATTTAGGGTGTTCAAGCGCTTGTATAGGCTAAAAAAATAAGCTGTCAGTCATGGTTTTGAATTGAGGAAGGCAGATGTACCTGATCAGTCGTGACAAGCCATTCAATGGCAGTTTGTCTGAACAACTTGTCAGAATATGGTACAACTCGTTCGGCCTTGTGTTCAGTGAGATGGGCATTGATCCTTTGCTGTGCAGCGTTCTCCTTTCGAGCCTTCACGTCGCCAGGTAACATTGATTCGAATGCATGTTGGTTTGCCCATTTTAGTGATGTGGAGGTTCGGTTCTGAACCACAGTTCGAACCAGACTTTTCGTGGACTGGGCCACGGTCCAGTTCAACATTCAGAGTATAGGCTGAACTGGACCGATGGTCCAGTCCAGCGTTCAGCATTCCTTGAACACGTTGAACGCGTCCGAACCTTTTTGAACTGCTTCCATTTTAGGCTACTCACACATACGAGATGACATCACCCACACACACAATACACTGAACATGACATGATTACTCGCGACTTTTTCGCTTGGAATCCGATTCACAAGGACCATGCCACACTGGCAAGGTCCGTGAAGGTTTGTTTGCCTACCACTAACCCAAACATTACAAAGGAAGAACCTGATAAGGTATGGAGACTTTGGTTAATTTGGTTTAGTGCTAATGTATTTGTTAATGGGTCGTTTTTTTTCTAGGGTAGCTACATGAATTGTTCGGCACTCATGAACTTGATGGAAGTTAAAATGGATCAAATTCAAGGTAAGCTCAACTCTCTTCAAGCTTTCCCCCTCACAACATGGCTGACCAGTGTGGTCTGGGTGCAGATGGAACTCTCCTCGACACCAGTCAAATCCGATGGTACAACAATCCCAACGACGATACTCCACTGCCTGTGCTTCCCGCTCAGGCACGTCGCTCGACTCATATCCCACGCCCTGCACCCAAGCTTGTTGACCCCAACAACGCTGTCTTGCGCAAACGCAAGGCTAGCAGGTCAGTGGTCACGAGTGAGGGCTCTGAGGGGGAAAGTGACTGTGAAGGAGACCAGGATAACAGGGTAACTACGGATGCAGCTACTGACATGGATCATGAGACAGATATCGACGGCATCACCCCCTCTGAGTCTGCTTCACAGTAGTGTACCAGTACTCCTTACTACTAGCTATAGTACAATCGAGTATATTTACAATGCGTTCGATGTTCGAACGCTGAACCGGACATGAACCGGACGCCATGAATGCGTTCATGGCGTCCGGTTCAGCGTTCAGCAAAACGATTGAACCGGACATGAGGTCCGGTTCAGCGTTCGCAAAATTTGTTGCTGAACCGGACCAAACCGGACTTCCGCAACACTAGCCCATTTGCGATACTTGCCAGAAAAATGGGCCTCAGCATGGCGACGAAGGGTGGTGATTTCATTGACGAGGACACATTTTTTCCTATGAACGAGTGAGTGAACGAGTAGTATGAGAGTACAAAGGTAGACTTACGGACAAACACTACACTTTCAGTGTTTCTTCACTTTGCCATTGGCCCCGGTTTGCTCAAACGTCACTCCAAAGAATGCGTCGATATCGGCAGTTTTGCCTTCCTGAGACGATCCTGGGTCCGCGATCGAGACATCGATGTAGATGAAAACCCCATCTCCGTCAACCAACTCGGGAGACTTCTCTGGGGCCTTCTGTTTCTTTCTATGAGGCTTAGGGTTTGTACGAGCATCCTCACGGACCGAGTCGTGGTCTTCGTCGACAGATTCGTTGTCTTCGATGTCGACGAAGGTATCATCAGGATGCGAGCGCTTGTTGGATGAGGGAATAACTGAGGGTGGGGGAGGCACATTGGACGAGGGAATAGCTGTGGGTGGGGGAGGTACAGGCTTGGGTTGGGCAGAAACCTCCGAAGCACGCTTGGCTGCCTCCGCGGCACGGAATTCATTGATAGCTTTAGTTTGGGATGGAAGGCTGGCCTTCTCCAAGTGTTGGAGGAGGGCAGCAGTGGGTTTGATCTTGCGTATGGGACGAGGATGCACGATAGGTTCGTCTTCGTTATCTGTGTGGACTGTACCGGTCATTGTGGGCTGCTAGGTAGATACAACACATATACACATACCACATATATAAAAAAGAACGTGATTCGAAAACAGATTAAGTTTGCAAAGGCAGCGAAGTTGAAGCGCCAGGCAAGACTGTAGAGGTGCATGGATTGCTGAATGTTTTCTTTTCAAGACCGGGGCAAATATCAGCGAGCTTTCAAAGATAAATAACATGACAACGGCGACTCACTGTGATCTCATTCTGACATACCTCATGGTATGATTGATGATCGATTGACTGAGAAGCTGATACCGATCATCAGAAAACAACATTAACATAAACAGAAACTTACATACCGAAACAGATTGCTTGCTAAGCCACGGCTTGGGCCGGCGGCTTAGGCTTCGCAAAATTGAAGCCTGGGCCAAAGCCCTGGTCAGGCCGTGTCCTAGGCCTGGGCTGGGCCTGGCTGAATCAGGCCCGGCTTGGCCTGGCCCAGGGCTTGAAGCCGAGCTGGAACATCACTAGACAGGCATGAGATGACGAGTAGGAAATGACAAGGAGCAGGTACGAGCACAAGTCATTGGTCGAGGGAGGTCGGGAACGGAAGGAACAGGGAGTACCTGTTGACGTCGGGACCGAAATGGTCCAAAGTAAATTTTCACCTTCAAAATAATCGAGAGCGCTTACCGTATTAATACCAGCGCCCAAATGTTACGAGCATCTCAGTTCTTTCCAGAAACTGAGACGTGAGTCTATACCTTTATCGTTATTGTTACACCTAACTGACTCAGCGTAGTTATTCTTACCTGTTAGGTACACGCTTCGTCAATAAGAGTTCTTTCCAGAAACTGAGACTTATTCTTACCTGTTAGATCATTTCTATCCCGCTCTACCTCTAATCTCTAGACTTACCAGTCCAAGAGACGAGCCTTTTCGTTAACTACAAACTTAACATTACCCAAATGGGCATCCCTGGAAGGCGATGGGCGTCAAGGCACAAGATAAAGTTCTCAGCTCACCGATGTTCGACACCATACTCCTTTACAGCCCACTCCAATCTATCCACCACGAGATGGAAAGCACATCTGACATAGACTTGGAAAGGAACGGTGAAAGTGAAGTGCTTGTACCCCGGGGTCTCCCAAATCGGCGTGCCGTGAATGTACTTTGATTGGAACCACCCACAAAAGCGGTCCAACTCTGGAGCCCTCAATTCGCCTACAAGTTTGAGGTTCCGAAACTCTATCGCAATCATAAAGAGGAACTGTTCGTCCTCTTGGTTGGGTTTGTTTTTGGGTTCAAATGGACGGCCAGACTCGATCACTTTGTAGATCTCCACAAAGCGCGTTTGAAAACATGATCTCCAATACCTGAGCTTCTTAATAACAGACTCGGGGTCATGCTTGGCTCGGTAAGCTTCTGCAAATTTTCCTGCGCCTAGGCGAGCACCGAGTGAAGGCATGCCAGTATCTGGCTACACATTAGAAGTGCACTGTAAAAAGTTAAAACGAGACTTTCATACAAACTGCAAGCTTTCCCACAGATTGTTTGTGATTGTGTCCATGAGAGCCGTTGGTGCTTTGCAATGCATCTTGATACTCCTTCCATGTAATGCCAGTTTGCTTGTCGACCACTTTGAGCTGCACACCTAGCGGACACTCTTAGGACGTGATAGAGCCTTGAATGAAGCTCAACATTACCGTGATCTGCATTAACCTTTCGACTTTCATTGGAATCCAAGTCAAAGAAGACCTGAAGAATAATTAGCGTGCAGTTAGTTGTGTGCGCAGGTGAAGAGCCACCATCTCGGAGTAGTCGAACCCGCTCCATTCCTTGATATGTTTGAACATGTCCGACTTCAATTCTGCATCAATATCAGAAGAAGTTCTCCTTTGACTTCGTTACATACCGCTGCTGTTCTCGTTGTATTTAATAAATCTGGGGTTGATGGGCTGCATTGCAGCATTTATGTCTGGCGCGTTAAACAGATAAAGTGCGCGATCACACCTGGACAACATTAGCTGAGAGGCACTCATTCTGGAGCTAGCTTACAGGGCCTTGTTTCCGTTGTTCGAAACGATTGCTATCTGTAAGTTGTTCTTATTCATGTCATGAAAGATGCGAGTGATGTCCGAGAACAGATCGATGTGGTTGTCTGAATTGCTGCATAATATGCTGAATTAGGAGCATCTCACTACTCCAGCTACGACAAACCTTGAATCTTCGACGATGTGGTTCATGCCAAACCTGAGTCAAAGTTTGTCTGGTGAGCCTTTGCCAAATTTTGCGTTGAGCTTCTGGTTCCAAAAGACGTAACTAGGGCGCTAAGGAAGTAACATTCTTCAGAGAAAGCCTGCAGCTTACTCTAGTTCAAATGCACACAGTTTGACCACCATCTTGGTTAAACACGACGGGAGCTAAGCAGTTGCAAGGAAGAGGTCACAGAGAAGGTCTAAACCTGGATTGGATCTGGTTGCATCCACCTTGGTGTTTAAACATTTAAACATTGAGGCGGAGGCTGGATATTACTCTGCGTGCTACTGAGTCATACGCTGAAATGCCCAATGGTGGGGAAGGACTTACTCGGAGCTTGTCCAATTGTAGTGGCACGCATGCAGCAAGTTCCCAAATATTAATTTAAATTCTGGGAAAGTTGGATTGAGATTAATATTAATATTAGTAGGCGGTGTAGAGTAATATTACTGTACAGGATGGCCAACTATTTTGATTCGACATCATCGCCTCACTGACTCGGACCTGTCTCTACTCCTGAGGCACTATGGCCATCTCTAGACAGGTTTCTCGCTGAGAAAATTCTTCCTCTATGGAAGTTGGAAGCATGATACAGATATTGTGCCAAGTCCCCCCCCCCCCAAAACACGTGCGATTGCATACAATTTTAACAATCTGTGTTATCAATGTCGATAAACATACATCGTATGTATGTTACAAGAACATCTAGACGCTTGGGCCCCTACTATTTTTCTCCTAATCATCCTCGTATCAGCCCTCGCATCATACCCTTACCCCGACCTTACCCTTGTCATCCTCGTCATCCTCGCATTCCCTTTCGCCCTCTACCTGTCGCTTCAGCAAAGCCAGTACATTTGGCCGGATCCTTTCGCTGACGAAGCATACCCATGCTCCGTTTCACCACCTGACTGATCCTGCGGACAGTCCCTTGCCCTTACCGTCTGGACGGTAACCTATGACACGATGCACGACGCATCCCCTTTGCCCTGTTCCCTTTTACGATCTCTGACTCAGTGCGCAGTTGCACATGTGACGTATACTTAGATCCGCAGTTGCACGATCGTGCCCCTGCGCGTTTCACTTCTTATTTCGATCTTTTGACTCACTCTCTTATCTAGCACGTTCTACCTAGACCGAACGTGCCTTCCTGTTATGGTCTTACCCTCTACCGATTGCCTCTCCCGGTAGTACGAGTTATCATCCACTAATACGTTTCCTGTCCTCTATATAAACTCGCTACCATGTACTATATTCCTTAACTTGAATCTACTTGGTTCTTGACCTCCTACTCTCACCAGAGTGATCCTTCTGCCTCGCCAGCAGTCTATATTCTATCTTCTTATCTGCGCCTCAGCGGATAAGCCTATAGTCTCGACCTTTACTCATCGACTTCGTCGACGAGCAAAGCCCCTGTTAACTAGTCGGACTTCTGTCCTTCTAATTAACGACGATCCTTACAATTAACCTTCGGGTGTCGTAAGCCTAGGCCGATATAGCTTATCGTCTCGCAACTGCGTGACATAAGCTACCCGATTTGGACATAGGCGTCAAATCGTACTTGCCGAAGACACGCCAAGTACGACCCCTAACCTTGGGCTAGCCCAAGGACGTCCACAGACCGTTGACGACACAAGCTCTGTTTGAGCGTCGCCAACAGATACCATCCAAGTCGTAACAATGTATGGAATTTCAAAACCTGGTCACACGGAGATGGGTAATTTTACACTGGTGAGATGTCATGATCCTACCGAGATATAACCAGTCTTTACTTACATCCCCCACTAGGAAGTTCAGGCTCAATACCAGGGCCATGGTACATGCAACGAGGCGATACTAGAGGACGTCGAGACAACATCATCAGAAATCTGAAGAGAAATGAATGCAAATGGAATACAAATACATCGTGTCACTTAACATTGCCAGTTTGTGCTAACGCTCATCCCCCACTAGTCTGGGAAATTCAGGCTGACACGGTAAGTACATGCAACGAGGCAATATGTAAAAGGGCTCATCAGTACTAAGTAGGGAACATCAACAGAACTTATCTGACAGAAGTCCAAACCGAGAAATGGATGCAAATGGAATACATGTACATGTCACTCACATTAATTGGTGCGGTGTCTGGGAACCACCCTGCTCTCGACGCAGAATACTTATTTGCCAGTTCTGTGGACTTCCTTTTATGCTACCTGCGTGTTTTGCAAGTTATTCAGATTATATGCAAGGTCTGTCACTACAACCTGCTAGCAGATATACGAGCTGTGTCCGTAAATAACATGACTGCTGGCATGCAGAAACCTTAGGTTCAATCTCCAAGATGTAATTACAAGTTTACAACTATGTGACTATGCACCACTAAATGAAATCAATGACAGAAATTCTCCCCATACTTCTTAAAGTCAGCCCAGGTTACGTCTGGCACCTTGATGTTCCAATTCGAAATCTGCTCCTCAAATTTGACGAACTGCCCTCCAAGCGCAATCTTCTCATCGACTTGCTGGTCAGTGAGAGGAATAGTGAGCATCAAGGCATCTTGCACGGGGGTATAGACAACCATCTCATTCCACCTAGTCGGGGCGATAGGCATGCCACCCATGTGAAAATGATGCGAGAACAAGATGTAGGGCATCTTGACACCCCATTCTGCTACTTTTGCGTCGCGGTTCTCTTGATCCCATGCAATCTTGAACTTGTTGTCCCCCTGGATGTTGGTCATTATTGAGCTATCTTCTGGCGCCCAGATCTGGTGTGGCATATCAGCAGAGCTGTCAAGTGACACCATTTTTGAACCTTGTTTGTAGCTAGGAATTTCTTTCTATCTCTAGCCCAGAGCTCGCATACATGGGTTCTGGCAGTTGCACCGAAAGCGTTAGACTTGATCCAGTTGGCGAAGTACCTCACTCTGAGTAGTGATATTCTGGCCCGGCTTAGGTTCGGCTTCGAAGGGCTTAGGCTCACAAAAATTCAGAGCCTAGGCCGTGAGCCCAAGCCAGCCCAAAGCCGGGGCTTAAGCCCAACCAGGCCGCGGCTTTTCACAGCCAACAGACAGCTCAAGACCACTGTGGCATTAGGCAGCATAATTACAATATATCTAGTAAATGGCAGTGCTGCCTTCTCCACATGTTGAAGAAGGGCCACCAGTAGGTTTGGTTTTGCGTACAGGACGCGCAACACGGTGCTCGGTTTCTGTGCTCATCATAGGTAGGTAGCAGGTAGTTAAGATATTAGAGGGACACGTACCAACATAAATCAATTGAAAGATATTGGGTGGACAATCACACTTGCGAAGGTGAAGCACATAAGGCTTCAAAATTACCAAAAATATTGGCTTGTGCAGTTGAGATCTAGTTTGCCGACAGCAGAGTGAGTTATGTCAAGCTCACAAAGCACAAGACATAGCACTGGCAGCTCACCATGGCTTTTGCGTAGCAACACACAAGAGAAAAGGCGTCAAAGGAGGGTAAATTGCTGGATATGTTGGACAGAGTAGGCTTTTCGACTGCAATGTGAGTAACGTCGACCAACCGAAGCACAAATAAGACATGGCAACTCACTGCGACATATGGACCGTCAAAGCTGATAAGAGTGATGGAAGTCAGAAGGTCGAAAAGACAAAAATAGAGTCAGAAAATGTACCTCCGGTGAGGCTTCTATGGCAGTGCCACTGAACATGCCTAAGCCATGGCTTAGGCCACCGGCTCAGGCTTTTCAAAATTCAAGCCCAGGCCCAAGCCTTTCTCAGGCCGTGACTTAGGCCTAGGCTGGGCCCGGCTTATTTGGGCCCGGCTTGGGCCGGCCTAGGGCCTCAAGCCGAGCCGTGCACATCACTAGCTCTGAGGTACCAGTAAGAGACAGCGAAGAAAAAGGCAGAGTTTGCTTACATTCGGGCATCATCGGTGATATACATTGCATATCCCCAATGAGCAGCCTCCTTCAAGTCCACGCGGTTTTTTCCCTGCATTAACAGGTTGACCATACCTTCGTCCATGCCAGTGAATCCAATAAACATTGGATCGGAATAGCTCTTGAGGTTTTGTCCTATGTAAGGACTTCTTATAGTGTGAAGACAACGCCATTGGTCGAGGCCTTGCTGGTAATTTCCCCATGTCAAGCCCTTTTGATCACGAGACACCTGGAAAACAATGCCTGGTTGGGAAATAACCAGTGAGTAATTTGGGTAATATGCTCGCTTAAAGCTCACCTTGCTCCACTCGAACTAGGTTATTGGTAGCCTCTTCATTGAACAGAATCTACATCCAGAATCACGATGTGGACAAAGGGAGGGTAAACCACTTACCATATCTGTGTATTTATAAGGAGTCCATCCTTGTATTTTTTCATGTGTACAGTTTTATCTTCTGCTCGCGAAGGGTCAGGTATCCAGCACTCATGCATGGATGAACTTACCATCGTACACCTCATTGAACTTGACCATATGAATGATAGATTTCTTTTTGTTGTCTTTTGGGTCCATGACATTCCACCACCACAGAGCTCGGTTGCAGCTGTTATCATGAGTGAATGTAGGTAATTTAATGATGTTCAAGACTCATGCAGCTTTACTCTTATTCCTGGACATGATTGCCAGCTTTGTGTTGTGCTTGAGAATATTGTAAATGATTTTGGGAACGTCTCCATACATGCCCCAGCGCTCATTGTGATTCCTGGAAAAATGTGAGGAAGATTTGAGTCTCATATCCTGAAGAACTTACGTTCAATCCCTGAGCACCCATTCTGAGTTATCCTCTCACTCAATATTATCCTCGGCGGGTTTGTGTGCATTGGGTCCCTTGCCAATTTTTTAAATATCCAGCCAACCCCAGAATATCGTCCAGCTATAAATTTTCGTTGTCATTTGACGAAGACAAAGATGAAAATGACGCACTCTGTATCAAGTGCAGCCAACTTTGGGTAAGGGGACATAGTAGGGGTTGTCAAGAACAAGGGCTTGAGGCATGGCAGTTATAGCACTGTGTACCTGTTTGAATATAGCAATGACCACATGTCTGAACACCCATGCAGTTTTCCATAGCGCAACTCAAGCCCCCAGATAGGAATGATAAAAGATCGGTGATCATAACACAATGGCCGTACAATCAGATGTCTGACATGCAGAATGGACAGCTTCCAACAGTCCAATTTTCCTTTTTGTGGGGAACAAAGTTCGACTAAGCGCTGACACCACCAATAGCTACATGAGCAAGCCGGTCAAAACGGAGACTGCTTCATTCATCCGCGGCATGGAAATGGGGATAGCTTTCCAAAAAATGACTTCCATAGCTATGGCTTAATCCAATCCTCTTTCGCATTTTGGAAATTGGCCCAAGTATCCGGCGGAACAGTAATATTCCATGCCTTGATCTGGCTCTTGTACGTCACAAAGTTGCATTGAATTCTCTCCTCCAGTTGCTTGAGGGTAAGTGGTATAGTGAGCAGCAAAGCATCTTGCGTCTGGCGGTAGATGGCCATCTTGTTCCATCACTTGCCCTGGGGAATTGGCATGCCCTTCATCCAATGATGTCTCAAGAAGAGAATATAAGGCACATCGACCCCCCATCTCAAAACGAGTTGGTCGCGGTCTTCTTGACTCCATGCTGTATGTTGGTGGATCCAGTTCTTGTTGTTCATCATGATGAACCTGAGCTCTGGGACCCAGATCTACAGCACGCTGAGCTGAGCTGACGACAGTGCAACCCATACCACCTACCTTTCCGAGACTGTCAAATATGTCTTTGTCTCTGATCCACATCTCACAAATGCAAGTGTTTGTATCAGCACTAAATGTGTCAGCCTTAATCCAGTCGCTGAAATATTTGGCTCTTGCACGAGAGATGAGCACAAGGAAACAACTTGTGAGATAGGCGCTCACATTGTTGGGTTATCAGTTATATATGTTGCATAACCCCACCTCGCAGATTCCTTGAGGTCAACCCGACTCTTTCCTTGCATGAGGAGGTTGACTGTGCCCTTGTCCATGCATGAATAGCCGAGGAATACTCACCTAGGATATCTGGATGGATTTTGGCCAAGATAAGGACTTCTGATCCTCTTGCATTGCCTTCATAGTTCAATGCCCTTGTTGTAGGTATCCCAAGTCAGGCCGTGTTAATTGTGAGTCACTTGAAAAGTCACTCCTGCGAGCAAAATCAGTGCTGAGGGCATGTGTATGGCGGAACACTGACCTAACTTGAGCCTTACGATGTTGTGCCAAGCTGAGTCGTCAAATAGGATCTGGTGAATCAAGTCAATCCAGGTTCTAGCGAAACCCGATAAGTGCACCATTTTGGAATAGTCATACCCCGACCATCCCTGTATCCTCTCAAAGTGAGCCGTGCGTTCCTCTTGGAAACCAAAGTCAGGCGATGAAGAATATGTCGACTCTTTATAATTACCGTTGACAACCTCGTCATATTTTACCATATGAATGATTGACTTTTTTTCACAGGTCTTTGGATCAATGGCTTTGAAGTACCACAATGCTCTGTCACACCTGAGCGATCGTCAAAAAAAGGTCCTTAGATGTTCTGGTATCACTTACAGGGCTTTACTCCTGTTGCAAGAAATGATTGCCAACTGGGCTCCATTCTTCAAAATGTCAGTGATGATTCGAGGCACATTGTCATACAAACAAATAAAATTGTCGTGATTGCTGAGGGAGTTCTTGTCAGGCCACACTGTAAGAATAATACATCAAGTACTTACAATTAGAGGGCAATACTGATACATGTATACCTAAGACCCACAGCTGTCTATAATCTATAAGAGCTAATGTATCAGTGGAGGATCCTGGTCTGGTACTCAATCCACGGTTCTCTGGACCTGGTACCTGGCCTTCGTTTGATGGCATCGTGGTTCTTCAGTCTATCTATAGGTAACATTACTTCCATGTGATGACTGGGCCTGGATCATGAGATGCACATCCGATGGATGAGTCTGATCGGTAGGTTGATTATCAAAAATAGCACCAAGGTCCAAGTGACAAGTCCCCTGCTGGAGATTCCCGCTTGAATGCGAGGCTACACCATGTTCTGTGTGCGTTGTGACCCTCCAGGATCACCAGGTTTCCTACTCCTTCTGGTGCTGATGGTGTGTTAGTGAGTGTCATTTCTCAGTAAAATTATATTCGAGACTAAATAACGATGTAGAGCGACCATATATTAACGGATTGCACCCGTGGCGTTCATATTGTCAATGCTGCTTGGACGGCGTGATGTGTCCTACATGTCCTACTCCTCAGCTGGTGAGTGATCAAACACATGACACAAAAATTTGGTCAACTATCACATGACCCAGGATGTGGCACTTTTTCCTCGAGTTATGTCACCACTCGAGGAAAAAGTGCCATATTTTCTGGGTCATGTGACATGCAACAGCCCAGGACATGGCATGGGCTGCCTGTACCTGTAGGACTGATGTATCACTACTCTGCATTAGCCGAATTCCACACAATTCAAACTGAAATTTCTCCAAGTCCCGCAAATGCATAGCTGCCTAGAAACAGGTTTGAAAATTGTTTGAAAGCCAAATACCTATCTGTGTCACCCAATTCCACAAGTTCCAATATGTCAAGAACTAACAAATATTATTGCATTAACAAACACACGACACATGCAAGCAACTATGTATATGCAACAATGGTATAAATGACACAATGGTCGGAGACACGCATACGCACTCATTTGCATCCAGTCTTCCGAGTCGCAGATGAGCCACCAATATTGTTGGCTTCTGCAGCACGCCTGGATTGGAACCATTGACGTTTGCCTCGGCCATCCTGCTGATCCATTGATTCCGTCACTCTCTCATCAACCATGGTGGAGGCGCTGGAACCAGCCCTGTGAGCATTACCTTTATTCAACTGCTCTCCTTCAGATTCACATGCGCGCTTCTTGCCTGTATCAGAAGGGGGTCCTCTTGGGGCGGCATCAGACAGAGTTGTCAGAGTTTGGGTGGGGGGTGCACTGACAGGTGGCGTTGATAGAGTGCGGGTTGTCAATGAAGGCGCCTGGGAGGGTGGTGGAGTGGAGATAGGGAAGGTGAAGGTGGAATTTGTAGTGTGATAAGGCTGCAGTCCAGCTTCATTTGGGGTAGTAGCAGGTTCGTCTGTGGGGGTCCATGTGTTTTGTGTTTGATGAATTTGTGGTGGTGACGCAATAATCAGTAGTGAGTGTTGTGGGGCAAGGTATTGTTTGAGAATAGGTGGGTCGTGTTCGAGAATGGATGGGTCCTGCAGAAACAGATTCAAACTGTGCATCATCTCCGAGTCTTGAGGAGGTTGCGGAGGCATTGGAAGAATGGGAAGTGATGGCTGCGATGTGTTGTCCATGTCCATTTGTGGCGGAGATGCGTAAGGCTGGGAGAAGAATGGAATGTCGATGGTGTCCATGAGAGAAGAAAACTGTGAGTCAAACAACGCATCAGACATGGCAGTTGTGGTATTGAGAGTGGTATGTGGTGATATATCAGAGGGTAATTGGAGAGTAGATGAAGATTCAGAAGCAATGACCGGAGTGGATGGTGTATTGACCAGATGCAGCAAGCTTTGTCCCTTCGACAGTGCAGCTGCGTCAGCTGTTTAGAAAGAGGCATTAGTCTGATATCTTGTACTGAGTAAGGGTGACTGATGAAAAACATGTTCTACAAACTGCGTGTAAGGCACCATAATGTTCTGTGAGAATTGGGGATAGGCCTGACTGAACCGGTTGCCCAGTTTTGTTGTACCAACATGGAAACTACTGACATCAAGTGTCCCACCTGCAGCAGGATGTGGCCCACCCATGAGTACCGTGAATACCCAATCAGTCATTTCATGCAACTCCTCGAAGAACTGGGTCAAAATCGCAGCGATTTTGAATATGTAGCTGCACATGCTGTAAGAAAACATTGTTCATAGAAAGCAAGGAATGTAACTTACACATCCTTATTGTGATCCTGCTTCTTTGCTTCCTCTATTTCCGCACTTTTCGCCTCCTTCATTGCCTTGATAGCAGCAAGGACCTCTGCCTTCACTTCCTCGGATTCATTGTCAAAAGCGGCTTTGACATGCCGCTTAACAATACCCAGGGTAGTCTTCTTAGCCGGCCCAGCAAAGGGCACTTTTTTTAGCTCTTCCTGCTCAGTCTTTACCGCATCTTTGACTTTCGTATAGTGAGTTTTTGAGTACATTTCCCATGGTTGCAAGACACGATCAGGTTTGTCTGTCGAGCCCTTCATGATATTTTTCATCATTTTATTGACTGTGGCAGTGTGCTGCCCATTCGCCCGCCGACCCGCTTTTGATGTGCCCAAATCATTATGGAATTTCTCCATGAGGCGCTGTTAACATGATGAGGAACACATTATTGAAATTAATATTTGGACAGCATATACGTACCCGTTGACACAATGCCCAGGCTTCTGCCAGCACAGTAGACTGTTCCTTGGTTAAGTCCACATTGAGCGGAATGTCTTTAAAGACAACAGCATGCTCTGGAAATCTTGCTCCCCATGCCTCAAAAAAGGGATTCCAGAAAGGTTCGTAATTTCTGTTGGCCTTACATTCAAGGAATTGATTGTGGAATGTCGCCATAAACTCAATCTGCTCGGTAGAATATTTGGTGGGTGGCGCCATTGGTAAGATTAGATGTATGTTGCAGGTAATAGCTATTAGTTAGTGTGGCAATGAGATGAAAAATTCACTTCGAGTGTACGATTGTGAACCACGTGTGTTTTTGTCCGACTGCTAGAGATGGACCCATTCAGTGCAATGGTAGTATGTACATAGAGCTTTTATTTATGTTGAAGATTATGAGACAGGCCTTAATTCATGCTTGACTGGCCTCGTGGCGCTAGCGCAATGATCCTGCCTGCGTTTGAAATATGATATTGGTTGGATGAGTTTTCGTCCTACCAAGACTTGGTGTCCAACTTCGACTCGCTGCGAAGGTGAAGGGCTGATCGAAGGCGAAGGAAAAATGGTGTTGCGAAAGGTTGGGCTGTGTCTGAGCATTAGCTCGTGCTGGACGCTGAATGGGTGAGCCGCCGGGTGGGCGGGCACAATCAGACAGCGAATTTTGACGGACACCGTGTAGACAAGGTAATATTATTAGATGTATGCTTCTGTAACTGACAAATAAAGGAAAAGGCAGTGGGCGGGTGGGAGCAAAGAACGACTAGCAATGAAAAATGCCAACAAGATGATAAACTAAATGAGTGTAGCAGTTCTAATGATAATTTGATGACACTTGGAATGATGAGTACGGAGGCACTCTCTCAGTTGGACGTATGGTGCTGATTCTCTGGCAGGCTCCGAATCGGTACCTCACTCATTCCAACTTCGACTCGCTGCAAAGGTGAAGGGCTGATCGAAGGCGAAGGAAAAATGGCATCACGAAAGGTTGGGCTGTGTCCGAGCGTTAGCTCGGGCTGGATGCTGAATGGGTGAGCCGCTTACCCAAAGGCTGACAAGCTCCATCCGCGGCTGATATTCAGCGGCTGGACCCAACCGAGCGAGCGAGCCTAAACCTGAGATGGTGAGTTGTTGGCTAGGTTGCCTAGGTGTCGCAACACGACCTGCTCAAATGCCCTAATGTATGTTTCGTATGCTAGGGATTTCCAATGACCGGCGATGCGCACTACTTCCAGGTCGACTTTGCTGGCGAGGTGAAAGGAGGCTCCCCCGATGCGAAACAAGTGTCCGAATGTTGTGCCCCAGCCCCAAGCTAACATAATGCGGTTTATGGTTTCTATAGCTTGTGTTTTGACCATAGGGCGGATAAAACCTTTGTTGTCCCTCCATGAGAACAGCGGGTCGTCGGGCAATGCTGGTACTACTCTTGCGAGATTCTGAAGCGCCTCTAGTGGACATAGATTTCCTTGCTCTACCAAAAATACCAATTGAGTTTCTCCTGGTCTCGCTGTTTTAGCGCTTGGGAGGTCAAGTCTTGCATATGATTTTCCTGCTAAGTCGATGCCAAAAAGAATGTCTTTCCATGTGATATGTTTCGAAATGTCGAAGGCTGCGCAAGACTTTACTGAGACCTTGCCAAAGCACATCATGCCGAAAAATGAGCAGCTTGCCATTGCCCATATGCAGGCATCGAACGGTTGGTCAATCTAAAGGGTTGCTTTGATCGCGGTTAGCATGTGAAGCGTTATTGGAGGTCTGAGTGGCTTGCGGCATGATCCTTGCAGATTTTTGAGTCCTCATAGCGACCAGTTTATGCATGTTAGATCTTCGGATGATAGTGGCGGAGACCAACCCTGCGCCAAATGCCAAGCACGTATTGCAGAAAGGTATTTTCAGACGACTGTGACCAATACAGGTTCAAATGGAATTGACTCAGGTGTCGGAGGTTTGGCGATTGATTCTATTGCGGAAGGGTCTGAAGCAGCCCAGAGGGCGAATGAATGTAACACTTCGAATGAGGCTGGGAGTCTGTTTGATTCAGGAATGGAGAAAATGTCACGGAATAAATGAAACTTGCGAAGGCCAGATCCATAGCTAGCAGACTCTCGCAGTGAGGCACGGCATGCAATCTCAGCGAGGAAATTGATTATTGGATGGTTGATGGTGGCTGGGGGTGGAACATTGACCCCACGCCATAAGAAAATATGATCTTCCGCTGGGCAAGCAGGGCGCAATGGTGATGGGCGGAGGCTCAAAGATTCGTGCAGTGCTTCATGAGGTTCGATCGAAATGGATGTTAAGTTGTAACACACAATAACTTGTCGACAAGGTGCAATGGGAGCGGGAAATAAACCTTGTGCGAAGGGCCAGGCCGGCTGCTTATAAAGGCATGAAGTTCGCCACGCGAGAGTGGGTCTGAAATGTTGACCAACCCAGGAATATGTTCGACTTTGAGTTGAAAACCATGGTAAGCCTAAATTATTAAGGTGTGTATAAATTGTTTAATTCTTTAGATCGTGTAAATTCGTAGGCGCTGAGTAGGACTCACTTGGAGCAAGTAGATCTCTTTCAAGACAGTGTTTGTAGGATGATTGCGTGAGTGGCCCTTGTTTATCGCTGCTACTACTCCAGCGTTGTCTGATCGAACCAGAACTGAACTGCCTCTGATCTCTGGCTGCTCATTTAACCCAAGGTGAAGAACCATCCTCAAACCTAGCTCCACTGCGACAGCCTCGGCCCAACTGATGTCGTGCTCGAAGCCTGGGCCTACTTTGAAACCTTCTTTCCACTTCCATGCTGCCCAGTGTTGGCCTACTACCACGCCTACTCCAAATGATGTACTCGCATCCCCCCACCACTGTAGATCGATTGGTTGCTGTTTTTGCAGAGGCTTCTCGCAGGGAGAGATTGCTAGAATTTGTGTGATCCATTGAAGATCGGCCACTAACGTGCGTGGGACATGTAATTGAGCTTGAAGAGATTTGAAGTTGCTGGTGAATCTGGATATTGAACACAAGAAAGGCCGAATGAGAGGAAAAATTGATGAAACATGTACTAGTTTGCCATGCAGACTTGCTGCTTCGTTTGCTGAAAAACGCGATCCTTCTTTGAGCCATTCTTGCAATAGTTCCTGAGTCTTCTTGATTTTCTCTTGTGGTAATGACACGACTTTCCGAGCTAGGTCCCAATTGAAGCCAATGTAACGCTGCTGCATTGCGAAAGCTCTTAACTTTTCTAAGCTCCATGGTACTCCAAAGAAGGCTGATAACTTTATGAATTCCTCCTCTGTCCAGTTCTGGTGCGGTAGACAGATTACGAAAAAGTCATCGACCCACTTTTGGATGGGACCAAAGCCAGCCTTCATGTAGATGGCAACTAGCATGTCCGCTACTGAGCCGAACACTCAAGCACTGGAGCTTAGTCCAAACATTAGAGCTCGATCAACGTATATGCAACCGTGCCAGAATATACAGAGGGCCCACTGTTAGGTTGGGGTGAACAGGTATTATTCGGTATGCTGATGCGATATCGAATGTGGCTGTGACACAACCATCTGGTAATGAGAGGATCAGATCTACCATGTCATCGAATGTGCCCCACTCTGTTGGAAAGTGATCTGAATTTATTCCTGTGTTGACGGAAGGAGTATCCAGAGTGTTGCGAGGGAAGGACATGTCCTGAACAAGTCTGAATTTTGCAGAGTGCGGTTTTGGCATGAGGCCAAGTGGTGACGTTCAAAAATGGCCAATTACAGATTCCAGCTCTGAAGGGGAGTATGCGCGAGAGTAACGCCCTGTGTCCTGCTCGCTGATTATGTATTGATCTATAAAATTGGTATTGATGCAAGATGATGTGTGGTTTTCGAAAAATTAAGGTGGAGGTAGGTGCTCCAAGAACTCCTACATTAAAACCATTCCTGATGTTGGAAATCATATGTGCCCATTCCTCATATATACCATATTTATGCAGAATTTCTTCCAGCTTTGTCGCATCAAGTGGGGCGACAACCTGTCTAGGGTCTATATTGGGCTGATTTACATGAGCCAGCACCATGGGAGGTGTCTCCACAAATGCTGCATCCATGGTAGTTGACACAGGCATTTGCAAAGCGGCAGTTGGAGAATTGTGCCCAGCCGATGCAGAAGATTTTTTCTCCTAGGGCTGCAAGGGCGTGGGCACTCTTGGCTGATGCTGCAATCTGCGCCACTGGTTGACCTGTGATGGTGGACTCAGCTGTGCAGTCTCCTGACAAGTGATCTGCTCCTCCGCACCGAAAGCACTGGAGCCTACTCTTTTTCTTGGGGGGTTGATGTGATGACGACAATGACGATGATGCGCTGGCCTCTTGAGATGTGAGGAGCTGATTTGAGCTGCCGCAACAGGCTGTCTGGTTAACATATGTATTGCAATAATTGTCAAGGCTTTGTCATCAAGTTGGGATAGGTCATGCTGGGGGTGTTGTGCTGATACTTCGCGCTGCTGGATATCGTACTCTACAGCTACTTCCCAGGAATGAGAGCGACTAAGCCCTAAAACCGTGCTGTGGTGCGCCTTCAGTGCTGCTGCTCGTGCGATTCCATGGTAGAACCCAGTGTGTTCCTCTGCTGCCTCTGCTGCTCCAATCCAATCCAACAAGGTGATGTTCCTTTCGTTCCGGCAGTCGAGGCCTTTGGCTGCTATTGAGCCAGTCGTTGTGATGGTAAAGGCTTCATCGCCAGTTCTGATCACTTGCCAGTGAGCTGATGAGGTCAGCATGCTGTAGGGCACATACTTGAAGGCTTTGAATGTGTCGTCCACTTTGGGTGGGATGCCTGTGGGGGGACAGTCATCAGCCCTCAGTGTTGCATCCAGCGAGATATGTCGAGTAAAGGTTTGGTTGCCCAAGTGATAGACGATTGTCGTCACATATAGCTTTCCTTGCCACTTTATGGCTCTGGCGACTTTGGCCAGGCCTATTGCCTGACGCTGGAGCTGTGTTGCCTTTAGCAACTGAGCCTATTGCTCTGCGGCCGTGGTTGCCAAAAATTTGCATCGAAAACATAAAATGAATAAACTAAGTGCTTCTGCGAACACTGTGACGCATCCGCATGGAGCACAGAGAAGGAACAACCAATGGAGGTATGAGAAGGAACAGACACTCACCAGCATCCAAGGGATTGGCTCTGAATCCAGGTATTATGTCCAGCAGGGTGATTTTAGATTCGTCTCTCTTCGCTGCGGTGATGGCTGCTCTCACTCTCTCTATTTCCTCTGGCGATACAAATAGTGCAGGTGCTGGTGTCGCAGGGTTTAGTCCTGGTGTGTTGCTACCCTTGCTTGCTTGCTCCTGCTCGAGCTGTAAAATATGTGCATGCAGCACCTCTATCTCTGATCCTTAGTGTGCCGATGGCTGAGTGGGTGTCGCTCCAGGACTTGGTTCTGGTCCTGTGTTAGTTGTGGTCCGCTGTTTTGATGCAGGTTGCTTAGCTGCCTGCTTCGGCGCTTGTTTGGATGCTTGCTTAGCAGCCGGGGCGCCTGGGAGAGGTGTGAGTTGAATTGTCCCAGGTGTAGATGGGTCTGTGCCCTTGTTGGCGCCTATGCATGCGATCCTGGCAGATTGTCTTGTCGCTGCCACTTTGGCTTGGACCCCACTCTGGGTCATGTCTAACGATCCATTGGAGGACTTGGGTGGGTCCTGAGTACCCGAAGGAACTGGTGAGAATTGGGCTTGGCCGTGGAGGGCTGAAGGGCCTGGCAATTGAAGGTTCAGATGTTGATGTGTCATACTGAGAGATGTGTGATATGTAATGCTAAGATTATAGCAAAGAACGACTAGCAATAAAAAATGCCAATGAGATGATAAACTAAACGAGTGTAGCGGTTCTAATGATAATTCGATGACACTTGGAATGATGAGTACGGAGGCACTCTCTCAGTTGGACATATGGTGCTGATTCTCCAGCAGGCTCCAAATTGGCACCTCACTCATTAATCCTACCAAGACTCAATGTAATTAGGGACCAATTCAGTGCAATGGCAGTCGGACTTTATCTCTGTTGATGACTTCAAGTTACATTTACAATGCTATAACACATGCTGACACGAGATGGGCCTTGATTCAATGCTTGCAACTGCCCTAGCTTAGCACTGTGATAAGTTTGACCCATTGAAATATGATATTGAGCGAATGAGTTTTCGTCCTACCAAGACTCAGTGTCGCAATGGAGGATCCTTGGTTCTTTTTCTTGAAGACTACCACCACTCTCTACTACGGCTAGTCAAAATGGCCCGTCCAGTTGTTCATAAAACAGCCGAGGCGAAGCTACAAGCTTCGCGTGAAAGGCACCGCTGTCATTATGCAAAGTATGTCGTACATTCATTAATTATTTACATCCGTTCCTGACCAATTACATTAAAGACATAGAGATGATATTTTGAAGAGGCGGAGAGTGCTTCGTAGCTCGAAGACAAAGGAATCGAAAGAAGCGAAGAAATTATCCAAAGAGCTCTTGAAGGCTGTCGCAAAAGCCTTGCGTCGTAGGGATGATGATGAATCTGAGTCGGAGTCTGAGTCCGATTCAGATGATAACTCGGAGTCAGAAGATGACGAAAATATCAAGCTGTATGTGCATATGTTCAATTTTATAAATAGAAATGAAATGAAACATTAAACTCAATTTCAACAGTGATGGTCTTCCAGAATGCTTACGCGTTATCAAGGACATCAAGGACAAAATGCCGGCAATGATCGGTGATAACCCCTGCAAATTTGTTGAGGGAGTCTTTTGCGACTACGTGAAGAGTTTCCCCGAAGACTCTTCCCCTGGTGATATTTCTATCATTGAATCCTCGATTGCAAAGGTCCAAAAAATACTCAACCAGGCCATTCCTGCACAAGATCAAATCTTGAATTTTTGCGGAGTCTCACCTGGCTCTGAGTGGCATGCTGCTGACTTGGTCACCCGTTTCTTAAGGACCATGCTCGCATATCTAGAGGACATCGAGGGTCTGATTTTTCTTGGAGGAGTTTGCGAGCTCACACTTGCTCACTCGATGGGGGAGATGATGTATCAGAAAGGCCTCAGAATTTGATTTCTTCCATGTACTCATGTAACATAGATTTTGCACACGTAGCGTGTAGTCCATACAAGTTTTTCTTGCGCTGTGTCTAATATACTAGTACTAAGGTCCAGAACGCGAGGCACCATGTGTTGATAAACAAAGTCATGTGAGGTCATTTTGGTCATGTGTTGTACGTGTCTATGGTTAGTATCGTGTACACCTCATATGAATATACTGAAACTTACACCATACCATCAGGCCAGAACAATACCTGCTGTTTAATCAATCTACTGGTGAAGCCCTTCAACGTGGTCCTGGCAATAATGTAGTACAAGGTAAGTGTAGATATATTTGAAGTCACAGAAGCCTAACATGTAAATTTTCAGAATGATCTGCCATGTCGACAATCCGCATGCTTGGCCACCATTCTAGTATCCTGCCATGATGCGGGCTGCAAAGAAACCGAAGCTGCAAGTTGAGCGTTTCATTCAGCCAAGCTCTACACCAGCAGTTAAGTTGATATGGGAATATGTGTTTTCTAATGGACGCACTACTCTACAAACAGGGCATGTTTCACTTGGTGAGGCCGCACTTGAGAGTGAACAAGATGGTTCACTATGCGAACCTCACACCGTCCAGGATTGGCCGGACTACAATGATTGGGACAAAGTCTCTCCATTTTGTGATTCTCCGATCATCACAGGTGATGTTCTGCAGGATAAGCGCAAAGAATATGCTGCAGTAAGTGAAAACATCAATGATATTTACTACACTCATGATTATTTTAGGACAATCTGCTTCTTGTTTGGCTCCTCGACCACCAATTTTTCCTTGACGAGACCATATTTCTGGAGGGTCGTGGTCACAAAGGCCAGCGCACAGTCTGCCGCTGTGGCAGTGAAATTGAAGAACCCAAGTACCGTTGCAGGGACTGTTTCGGCATGGAAATGTACTGTCAACATTGCACTGTTGAGTGCCATCAATCCAGCCCACTGCATGTTATTGAAGTAAGTGTTTCCTACTAGATACATGGTCTACAGTACTAACCTACAAACACAGGAGTGGAATGGCTCTTTTTTCCAGTGCACACACCTCAAGTCCCTTGGTTTATGTGTGCAACTGGGTCATCCTCCCAGTGACCACTGTTACAATCCGCGTCCCTCAACAGGCAATGACTTCATTGTTGTTGACATCAATGGGATCCATGATGTCGCATTAGATTTTTGCGGCTGTCACACTGCCCAACTGCGCTACAAGCAACTATTACAAGTCTGATGGTATCCAGCAACAACAACGGATCCGCAAACAGCTGCAACATTCAACGTACTTGAGCACTATCAACTGCTGTCATTCGAGTCTAAGATTTCAGCCTACGAATTTTATCACAGCCTAGCCAGGCACTCCGACAATACTGGATTGTCATCCATCAAGGTAAGTCATAAAATTTCAATTTAATGTATAATATTGATCCTTCTCAACTTGCAGGACCATTATTCAGCATTCATGAGGATAGTACATGAGTGGCGTCACCTTCAACAACTCAGGTGTAGTGGCCGAGGTCATGACCCTGGTGGCGTCGCAGAAACAAAAGCTGGCGAACTTGTGGTAGTTTGTCCAGCATGCCCCCATGCAGGCAAGAATTTACCCCAAGGTTGGGGGAATTCACCTCCAGCAACGAGGCAAGCTTAAAGTTGATTGTTTGATGAGAATGTCTTGCTCACCCTGGTTGACAGATGGTTGTACGCACTCTTCGTCGCTATAGATGCGAATTTCCATCTCAAGCGGAAGGCTGTCTCCTCCGACCGAGTGGATCCTGGTTTAAATACAGGATGGGCCTATTTTGTGGAGGAGCATGCATACAAGAGCTACCTATCTGAGCGAACCAATGAACAACAAGAGGTGCATTGACCTGCACCAAACTGGTCCAGGTGCATGACCGTGCAGTGTTAGTGAATATTTTTCAGGAATTTTGCATGGAATGAATTTTGTGTTATTTGGCTCAAAGATGACTCAGCTAGATTCTCATGCATCTGAAGCTTCCATGAAAAATACTTTCCATGTATGTTTGTTTGTGGGAACTTCCAGGAAACTTTAAATACATGTGTTAGCCGGTTTTGCTTTATGACATATGCTATGTCTCTAAATAACACCAAATACAAACAAGTTTCAACATATTATGTAAACCATGTTCTCTTACCACAGTCAGCTGATCTATGACTAAGCCTGACAAATCATGTAGTATATCTAGATATGTGAGAAAACGAAAATTGAATATACCTAGGTATGTGGGAGTAAATTAGCACAGCCACATAGATTTGTCTATATAAGGACCTCCGTTTTGGCCTGAAATGCAATCAATCAGACTCCCAGAGTCACCCTTAATAAAATTGCGAGTGAGGTTTGTGTGTGATCAGCATCAGCAACAACCATGAAGAGTTGTTTGACATTGTCAGGTACATTGATGAGACAGTAGGAGCCATTGAGCTCACTGTGCTCAACAACCTGCAAGGCCTAGTTATTTGTTTTGAGAAGTCTCTTGTTTTTCTGAGTGTTTGTGTTTGTGTGCACGTGTCTCTGTTTCTCTAGGATTGGGATCTATTTCATTTTGTCTGGGATCTATTTCTTTTAGTTTGGGATCTATTTCCTTATCTCTGTTTCACTAGTCTGGGTTCTGTTTCACTCTATCTATTTCTTCAGCTTGGGATCTGTTTCACTCTATCTGTTTCACTCTCTCTACCCATTGAAAGCTAACAGTCTGAGTGCTTGTTTATTGTCGTGTCACTAATGTGTTATAGATTTTAGCGAATATATTCTGAGTGTTTGTTTCTTGCTGCTGATACTAACGTACTTTTGATTGTAGCGAATACATTCGAGCCTTATCTTTGGATTCTTCATGTTGTCTCTACGTCCGCTAAAGGCTCAGAGCAGCTTAGTGGGGAGACTTCAGAAGTTGATTATTGTCCGCTTGACCTCACACATCTGAGTAGTATACTGAGCCAGGATTGTTATTTGTCAGATAGGCTTTAGCTATTGAATAGGGGACTTGGTATTGAAATCCAAGGACGTCCGTTTCTGACTCTGTTTAATACTCATCGTGAGTTCCTTGGCAGCAGACTCAATATCAGGCTAAGAGTTCTATGGAAGCTTTTGACAAGTCTTGACCTTTGATCCTACCTGTTTGCGCTGTGGGAGTGACCAATACAGCTTCGCACAATTGTTTCATAGTAAGTTTAGAATATAGCACCATTGATTGTGCCTAGTCTTAGTTCTCATTTCTGTTTAGCACCAGTGATTGTGCTTAGTCTTGGTTCTTTTTTTCTGTTTCTTTGTTTCTTTTAGTCAACACCATACCGCTGGGTTGACTAGTGTTTCTATACTGATATCGTAGAGTACCTTTGTCTGACTGTAGTTTGGATATACTGACAGGCCACCCACGAACGACCATGTTATCAGTCATTGGTATTTGTCTGAATCGCTGACCGTGGAGATATTTGATTTTGTAGGTGTTCATCTATAGATCATCTATCTAAGAAGACAGCATATGTAGTCTGGACTGTTGAGGGCCGACATACTTAATGTTTCCTTACTAGCGCAGTACCTGTGTTAGTCATAATGCAGTTAATATGGCTGACACAAAATCTTCACAAGGCTTGGCAGCTACTGGTATAGGTACCATCAATTGCGCTCGACATGAATTCAAATTGCCAAATGGGGTAGGTGATCTACAAAAAGGCGAAAGGTATGTTTTCTGCTACTTTTTTCACATTCAGCCAGCTGACGGTGTTACAAGGTATTTAAATATGGATTATATCGTTTTTTCGGCCCTTGTCGGATTCACAGTGACCATGCTAAATATCTCATACAATATAGCCTGTCAATGGTCAAAAAACTTATGGAACAGAATGGAACACATGCCGGCTCGGCTCCATATACCTCATGATGATGTGCTGGTTCGATATTTCATACCAAAGTTTCATATTGCAGCCCATATTGCAGCCTGTCAGCTCACATTTTCCTGGAACTTTACCAAGTGGGTAGGTAGGACTGACGGTGAAGCACCAGAACGAGGTTGGGCAAGTGCCAACCGTGTCACATCTAGCACGAAGGAAATGGGGCCAGGAACTCGACGTGACACCTTAGACAATCACTTCGGTGATTGGAATTGGAAAAAGACAACGACACTTGGTGGGTTTTCATTGTCAAGTATTATGTTTCCCTCACTGATACTTCAGACTCTCAAGGCCATACATTGAAGCGCAAGATGGAAAACACCATAAAGTGGGAATGGGAACATCGTGTTGCCTTGTACGATTTGGAAGGAACAATTCAGCCTGCGCTTCTGGACGAGTGGGGAACAGAAGTCGAGATGTGGGAGGAGGACAACACTCGCCCAAATCCATTCAAAAGCAAGCTTGCTCGTATGTCACTGCCCACACATTCTATGAATTTGCACTGATCATCTGCTGTATGTGTAGCTATTACGCAGGCCACAGTAAGGTCACAGCTCGCAGAATTGGAAGCACAAGAGCTGCGGGAAGGGATCAACCACTCTCTTGACAACAATGTCTCACCTAGTGTCCTCATTAGTGGTGGGATTGAATTAGAAGACTTGCAGTATGTGATGTCTCTCTTTCAACATGTGTCAAGTCATTGCTCAAATCTTATGACAGACAACGGCTCAAATGCGACATTTCAGACCTCTGTTACAAGAACATCTAGATGCTTGGGCCCCTACCATTTTTCTCCTAATCCTCCTCGTATCAGCCCTTGCATCATACCCTCACCACGACCTTACCCTGGTCATTCTTGTCATCCTCGCATTCCCTTTCGCTCTCTATCTGTCGCTTCAGCAAAGCCAGTACATCTGCACTTCTTATTCTGACTGTTGACTTACTTTCTTATCTGCACGTTCAGGATTCACTCGTGTCTCACCTCGAACGTGCTTTCCTTTTATGGTTATGCCCTTTACCGTTTGCCTCTCTTGGTAGTACGAGTTATCACCCACTAATATGTCTCCTGTCCTCTATATAAACTCGCTACCATGTACTATATTCCCTAACTTGAATCTACTTGGTTCTTGACCTCCTACTCTCACCAGAGTGATCCTTTCTGCCTTGCCAGCAGTCTATATTCTATCTTCTTATCTGCTCTTCATGGATAAGCCTATAGTCTCGATCTTTACTCATCAACTTCGTCGACGAGCAAAGCCCCTGTTAACTAGTCGGACTTCTGTCCTTCTAATTAACGACGATCTTACGATTAACCTTCGGGTGTCGTAAGCCTTGGCCGATATAGCTTATCATCTCGCACCCGCTTGACATAAGCTACCCGATTTGGACATAGGCATCAAATCTTACTTGCCGAAGCCTCGCCAAGACCCCTAACCTTGGGCTAGCCCAAGGACGTCCTCGACCGTTGACGACATATGCTCTGTTTGAGCGTCGCCAACAGATACAATCCAAGTCGTAACAACCTCTCACTTCATCCCACAGAAAATCAAAGAGAGGCCATCATTCATAGAACTAATGCACTAAAGAGACGCATCAATTCCTGGACCCACTATCAACAACTCTATATGCCTATTGTCTCCACGCTGCGCTCATCAACGAATCCAAGTCCAGGTTCCCCCCAAACACTTAAGCTGCAGGATTTTCCACTCTATCTACCATCAGCTCTCCTCAATCATCTCGACTGCAATCACCGTTTAATGAAGCACGAATGGAAACTTCGGCAGGCACAAGCTCATGATGCCCTCAACGAGCTCTGCTCCCACCTTTGTCTATGTTCGCATATTTACAAATTCAAAGACAAGAACTTACGGGGCCAAGCAGCTTCTACCCATGCACAAAATCTGATTGCACACGTTGAAGCAAAGAAAGATGCGGCAGTAGCGAGATACAGGTGCACTCGTCAAGCGATAGAATCATTAAGCTGTTGGTTGGATGAGATGGGCTGGGAGGCAACACTTCGACCCCTCAGACACGAGGACATTCAGCCTATGGGCGATTTCACAGGTGATCGCACTCAAGGCACCAGGACAATCTCGTGGATCTGGCTGATGACAGATGTTGACACCAGTCCATCCGAGAATGAAAGTGTTCAAGATTGTGAGTGTTTCTGGTTGATGCTATCGACAGCTGACTCAGATTGCTTTATGTAGGTGTTCGTATTGAATGGTGCAAGGCACGCGCATGTGCAGCTTGATGGTCCGAGGAAGTAGAGTTGCTGGCCAAAGAAATGAGATGAGTACTGGCCTTTCTGGAATGGCAAGGTTCCTGGTGGCATCAGCACACAATGCTGCGCTCATCGGAGAAGACTACCGAGCAAGAGGGCTTGCAGGCATATGCCTACCGTCAAGCCGCACTCCATTCTGCGATGCGGACCTCATTCCAAGCTTGTTGGAGCTTTGTTTCTCATCTCAGTTCTATGAGTTCTACACTGGCTTCTGAGGATGACAGTGGTCCTTCAATTGATGCACCTCCTGCGGTCATGGAGTTTTGATTTGAACAATACATAGTGTTTGTAGTGTAGCGGCACTCTCAGGCACCACAATACACATATTTTTACATCCAGGCTTGATCGCAGATTGATCACAGATGCTCGATCTCAGCAAGAGAAGCAAGGCTTAATCTTAGATGGCTTGATCATAGATTGCTCAATCAAATCTCAGGGCACAACATGAGCACAACTTGAGTAGAACACAGTACTATACTCGGACATGGCCAATGGATTGCACTAGGGCCATTGGGAACCTATAGTCTACTGTACAGTGATGTATCACACCACTTGTAGCTCTCCATAATACATGTATCACAAATGTCTTATGGTTGTAGGTAGTGATACATTAATCCTACAGGTACAGGTGTTCTCGTGGAATTATTGAACATGAGTAGCGGGGTGAGGATGAGTACCTCTTGTCACGCACTTTCCATTCGCTGTCAGGATCGAGCTGGAGGTTATCCTCGATTTTGGGCGTAGCAGGGCCACGGCACTGTCTGAATTTATCTTTGTTGAGGTGCCCCCAGAAAATTGTGAAGCTAGGTATTACAGGGAGATTCAAGTTAGAACTAGATGGACAGAAAGCAAGATGAACTCAGTGTCGAGTGCAACAATCTTTGGATACATATCTGAACGTTTAGAGATCTCATCCTAACCTGTAGCAGCCTGAGCTACTTAATACTAGTAGTCCCTCCGGGATTTTCAATATTAATAATTACATAAGGGCCTCGAAATATGTCTCAAAAGAAATTGGATTATCAAATGCTATCATATTTTGACTATGTACTGAACTAGAATACTTCTTAGGCAAAATCGGGAGAAATCGAGAACACGATAAAAGAACTCGAACACGAGACAATTTGGTGTTGATTTGGTGGCTTACAATTACTGGAACGGTCGATGAAACACTTCTGATATGTACTACAAGTCAGGCATGGACGAGGGCAGCGTCAATCTGCTGACCTAGGAGAAACGCCGAGTCCCGCGTGATGGATATGAAATTACCAGTGTAATCAAGATGTCTTTCATCATCCATGGCGTATACTGTTAATGTCATTTGTCCAATTTTTGGTAGGCTGAAATCCGTGTCGCCATTCCCATATTCAATCCACCAGTGTTCCCAATTCCATGGACATTCTAGTCAGATAATCAGCTTAGATCGCTAAAAGCCGATCATCTTACCTTGATAACCCGTCCGGATTCCAACTTGTTATGGAGTTTTGGCGGGACGTTCTCCCATGCAACGTGTGTTATTCCGAACGTCATAGCCCACGCATTATTGACACCTATGGACACCGTCCAAATGTAGTTGGCACCGACTTTCTCGACCGTCTCCTTCAGGGAATTGGGGATGTTGTTGAAGACATAGCGAGAAGGTGTTAGGATTGATAGCCATTCACTTTTGCCAGCACCAAAGGCATGCCAACGAATCTCCTGCAAATAGAGACCACTACAAAGGTCGCTGGCACCTGCACGATATTCTAAGAGCCCAATTCGCCAAGCTTGAGATCGGTGACAACGCTCATGATTTGAATTTTGTGCCTGGCCTTCTACGACAAACCTTCCGCAAGTACCGCCAAACAATTGTTGGATTTGACTCGCGCTCATAGAGTTCAGGACGGTAATCAGTTCTTTCGGCGCATTACACCTGCACACAATAACATCTGTTGGATCGTTGTCGATGCCGTTATTGCACACTCACCACCGAGAGGTTCTCCCATTGTTGATATAATATCCCTCCCTGTCTTGACCCACAAAGGCGAAGATGACAGCAGGCATACTTGCGTGCGGATACAGGCCTCCATCCAGGCTTTTGTACATCCTTGGAGTTTCAAGATGTTCTCAGAGCCTTCTAATAATAGGTTGTAAATGGCAAATATGGAAGTGGCCTAAGCATTTTTGCGGCGCCGGCGTCGTCCTTTTCGGTTCATTCGAGCGCAACGCACCGTGATTGGGCTGTCATGTCACCGTCATCTTCGAAATGTTTCAGCATCGCCTCGTGTTGTGGGGTTTTCCTTGCCTTAAGCACAATGGTTGCGTCGTTGTGTCGCATTGGTGTCAAGTTGCATCGAATCGTCCTGTGAGCAATGAACCGTGCATGTGCATTGTCCTCACTCTGGGACTGATCACCTAGCGATGTAGGTACGGCGGATAGGTGCGAGTGACGATGCGGCAACGGGCGCGTGCGCGGTACGGTTCGACCGGTTCCATAATCAAGGAATGGAGCCCATGGGCCGCAGCCCCCTGCTCCAGATCTAGAGTTCTCGACGACAGTTCAAATGAGCCCGCTGCCACACCGACTAAACAGATTGGCCAAATCTTGTCTGGTTCTGGGTCTTGCGAAGGAAGAGTCTGTGAGCTTGTGCCTGTTCGATTTCAATTACATAGCGAGGAGTGCTGCAGGCAAGCGAAATTCGTTCCGAGATTGTCTACAAGAATGGTTCGTGAAAGGACGAATCTTAATTTGACTGGAAGGACATAACAGGACGGGACTAGGGAATCAATACTCACATTTGCAGGTCTTAACGAAATCGAGCAGGTCAGAGGCGAGCAACGCTGTTTCCAAGGACAGTTGTGTATATGTCAGAGGGCGTCTGACGGCGCTTAGTACCTGCCTCCTGTTCTATCTAGTGACACATCGAGTATTAGTATGCGGGTATAATACATATAATAAGATGGGTAATACACAAGGAGATACGATAAAAGTGGTGCGGGTGGTCACAGGGGGGAAAGAACCTAAAATATAGTAAAAACACCATACACGCATATATCCAAATCATTCCATACCCCATATCATCATCCGTCTCCTCAAACAATGCTCTGAAACTTTGATAGCGATCTCTCTCTCCATGCGCCATTTATCTTTTTGAGAAGATAAAACACAGGCCATCCAACGCGCTCCACCAGAGTACTATCCTCGGAGACAAAGGGGCCGTGCGAATGAAGGGCCACCATGAGCCAGGAAGTGAAGCACGTGAGAGCTAGTGCCACAGCAACGTAGCGGGCGAGCGTCTCCTGTCCTTGCTGTCCCGTGATTTCATCGACATTCATCCCAAAAACGCCCTAGCAAAGCACAATGATCATTAGCATTTCGAGATCACTCTTGCATACTTTGTACATACCGCAGTGAAAGAAGCGGGAAGGAATATCATCGTAAGGTAGGAAATCTGAACACGCAATTCTTGAGATCTATGATATTACGATGAATACGATGATGAGACACAAACCTGCTTCATTGCACTTGAGTCTCGGACGGTGACCTCTGTCAGGTGCCTCATATGCTTACTGTCCTCCATGTTGACAGTCGCAAACGCAAGATCCATCACGTTTTTCAGCCTACTGATCTGCATCAATCGCCTGTTCTCCAATCTCCCGATTTCTGAGAGTAGATTCGCACACTCCCTTTTCATGAGATCCATGGATTCCCCGCGCTCCTTGGACCTATGGTTATCGAATCCCATAGCAGGATTCGGGGTCTTGTGGAGGAACTCGACGGACTTTTGGAAGTCTTGGAGAAGCGACTGATAGTGCAAGAGGTGTGCTTGTATGATGTGAAGTTCACGAGTCGTATTGATTTTATTGGTCAACAGCACTTGAGATTCCTGAAATAGCATCGGACAATCAACCAAAAGAACAAGCGCTGATCATTCTGCGACGCACCAGCCAATTGATATGAATGTAAAGCGACTCAAACGCCTCGTCCCATGCATAGAGAGCATACCACATAATGGCTAGGAACAAAAATGTCGGGTCCTTGGATTTGGCGAAGATTTTCTGCCAGTATACACTCTGTCCTGCACGATATAGAAGCGAGTGGAGCCGCTTTGCAGAAGGGCGGCGCAAACTAGAGCTCGGATGGTATGATATGATCGTGCTCGAGTCCTCTGAGCGTACCATATGTATCGCGAGGAGATCGAGGAGGAGAATCTTGCCGCCTACGTAACTTAGCTACAGATCTAGACAAATATGAGAATTTTAATCAGGACTTACAGCTGAGAGCGAGCGCTGCTTGTGTATCAATGATTTGAGGTTCATCTTGAAGAAGTGCTATAGCTGGGAGTGATCGCAAAAAGAGCGGAAACGACTTACCAGTGGATAGGTATTGTAAGGGTATAGATCTCACTGAACCTGGTGTTTCGGCTATTGGTGATGGCGGTCGAGTGACTGGATTTTGCATCGTTCGCATGAATGGGAGTGTAATCGTAATATCTGCATCGGAAGGTAAAAACTCGTTCAACCATCAACTGCAAAGACAAATACGCACGATCACCCTTTCCCGGCCGAATATCCTCTTGGTAATGCGAGGGTATCCAATTTAGGGATGATGAAAAGAAAAATGGTTCAATATTGAACCTACAATTCTTGTCAGTAACATAAGCGATCAAGCAAAAAAACTACTCACCTCGTTCCAAGCATCTGCAGCGCAGACGAGGAAAGATTATCTACGAACAATGCGCGAACACGGATGTTCGCAGGTCGCTATAGAAGAGGCGTCAATTATCATATACACCTCCAAAAAGATGAGCAACTCACAGGCTCCTGCAACAGCGTCCAAAACTCATTTATACATTCAGGTGTTATCGAACTCGTTTGGTCTTGTCCATTCTCGTCCAAAATCTTGAAAGTCCCGTCTTTGAGAGCATCCAGCCAGTGCACCGAGCACACGCCAAGCTCAGGACAGTTAGTGAGCATCTTACTCCGCCTTACTTGATCCGGCTTCCAATTCTCAAAGAGAGCCTCAGGATATCCGCGCCATGGCTGGTTCGCTGTGCCAGGTGAGACTGGTGTGTTGTCACAGTTGAGGGTAATTTCTGAATCGGTGTCAAAGTCCATCCATGGCCAAGGGCCCGATGGTGCTGCATGACGGTACCTAAAAACAATTGAAGGAGGTGGATCTGTAGGTATGGAGGTCACTCACATAGGTGTAGGAATGGCAGGAGGCATAGTCCTGTCGTTCGAGCTGCCGTGCGGGGCACTACGTCGACCAGTAGAAAATGTCACGGAAGCTCTGTGATTATTAGTCCCTGACATCTTTACCTCGTATTAAATGTGCTGCAAGAGTAAGAAAATCGTGGATCCATTCCATACTAGCAGACTAGATATACTGATACTAGTGGCGACCAGGGACCCGTCCGAACGCACAGGCTCAGCGCAGCATGTCACACTTGTGTTCTCCAAGATCTTCCAGAATCCAGTTACACAGACTCCTCGGACCTAGTAGTCACATCAAAGTCATATTAAGTCATTGATAGAACCTGTGGAGATCCTTGTTCAGCTGCAATGCGGCTGTACCGCAGATGTGACCTGAGCGGTGATAAAAACAACATTTGCATTCGGAATGATCTTAGTCACCATACAATAATTTATTACACACGCACTAGATATGCTTCAAATACTTATTCCCCTCACAGAAGCACTCTCTGGACAAGCATCAGAGTTCAACGTTCAAACGTTCATCTAGCAGACCGATTTCCCATATCTCAAAATTTGAGATATTGTTAAATTTCCTCTAAGAATTGGCCAGGCGGCGTGGGAACTAATAAGAAAACCGAGATGGCGGTGGCTTTGCTGCATGACACAGCAACCGGAAGACAGCTCTAGTATAAAACGGCCATTTCTGCACAAACGACTGAAAGCCCAACAAACGTCATCACCGCCAACGGAAGCGTCGTCTGCCAGACGATGATGCCCTTTTGTTTGAGGATGCCTCTCCACAGGAGCCCCACGAGGCTTGCACTGAAGGTGAACGACACGGCACCGATATTACTGGCCGGGCAAGTGGCAGCTGCGCGGAAGGTCTTATCGGTCATCATAGGAGATGCCGCATTCACGACCTTGGTAAGTAGAATCGTTGCACCAATGTTTTTTCCCGGAGACGTCGCACAGGATTACTCCAAGAACACTGATCAACCAGATGGTGCGGTACATGTCTCCGTGAGTGGCTCTTATGAGCCACATGCCACATACGTCTATCCAACCCTGGTGCGACAGGGCTCCGATCAAGATAAACTGCGAGAATGCAAATGGGACGAGGGCGAAGGGAAGCCTCGGGAGCGCAGTGAAAAAGGTAGGGAAGTGGGTGTGCAGCCGTTTGTGTAGGGCAATGCCCTTGGAGCGCCACAAGGCGGCAGAGGTTTTGGATAGAGGTGGAGGAGACCTATTGTTCAAGGCGCGATTGGAATCGGGATCGGAAATCACCTTGTCTGCCGTGGGTAGTTGGCGATGCCGGCTCGTGGTATGTGATATTGTCTGCACGTCTTCCAGCATGACATCGTCTAGCTACACTTCATTTGCATCTAGGCCCTTTCTGCCCGCGCCCGAGCATGGGTATCTGCCGGACAAAGCGGTAGTGATCCCAGGCAACATCATAGATAAACTTGGCCACAGCAAAAGGCAAGCTGATCTTCCACACGTCAATTCCGAAGAAGCTGACAACTAAGCACAGAATGAGGGCCGTATCGATCAAGGAATGTCAAATCTAAATTCGAGTTCAAGAATACGAAATCAAGACCTACATTGGTAGGATTCCCCACAAACAACACCATACTCGCTGTGTTCGCTGGATTAACCTCGGCGGCTTTTGTGTAATAAATCAGGAAGGTTGTTCCAGATAGGATGACCGAGTCATTTCCGATGTTAAATTTATTGGGATGCGGGGTATTCTTCGAGGGGTGGGTATAGAGATTGGGTATATGACGAAGGTAATCGATATGATGAAGATAACCAAGGTGGCCACAGAATAACCAGTAATCATAGTGGACGTTGACCGGGGGGTTGACTGTCAGACGTCAAAGTATATAAGTTGTCACGCAGGATATGAGACCACATGATGTCCGAATTCGAAGATATTCGCCTCCCAAGTGATAGGGTTCACAGTCGATGCACCGGTTTGTTTTGTTTATAACTGAATAAGTAAGTACATAGCATTGTACTGGCCCCCAGAGTAGTAATTACGTACGGTCAACGCAGTCTAAGCCAAGTCTCTTGCCGTGGTAGGAATAGCTGCTTGACGTACTAAAAAACAGTAGTGGATGGTCGCAGAGTTGCTTCAGTTTACATGATATATAGATATCGTAACATAGTATTGTTCGCTGGGATTGGTACTTATAAATTTCTAGATGTCATCAGCGGGGTGCTAACCTGTGCGAACATTCCGAAACAGAACGCATCAACCAGTGTGTTCTGCAGGAACAAGACCTGCCAGACTCCGACTGCTCCTCGGACCTAGTATGTAGTTACAGCAGAGTATGGAGTCATCGATAGAATATGTGCAGATTCTTGACAGGCTTTACGTTCGCATTCGCAATGCTGTACTGCAGAATCCAGATGACCTGTCATGGATGAAAACGATTGGGTCAACTACATTCGCTAGAAGGATCATGGATGGAGTCATCAACATACATTGTTTCATCATGGATCAACGACAGATTGTTTCAAATATATCTCTGTGGCGCGGTTTGGAGTGATATCGACAAGTATGCATAAAGCTATGCCAGTCAACGTGCGTTCCATCAGAAAGACAAGACGCTAAATAAGAAAATTTATAAAAGCAAATACCAGCATACATTCTAGATGGCGGCATACATGTAACTATCTATAATCCTGTTGTAAAAAGTTACCCATTCCGCGTTCAAGGGGCGTGCAGCGTGCCCACATATTCCTGCACAGGTCGTCCTCCATCCACGCGGAGCGCAGTCGCAGGACTCAGGGGGCTTTGCTGTACGGCACAGCGTCCAGTCCATCCAGAATGATGGCTCTAGTATAAAATAGCCATCTCTGCACAAACTACTGAAAGCCCAACAACCGTCATCACCACCAACGGAAGCGCATTCCAGTATGCAAACGTCGTCTGCTTTACGATGATGCCTTTTTGTTTGAGGATGCCTCTCCACAGGAGCCCCGCCAGGCTTGCACTGAAGGTGAACGACACGGCACCAATATTACTGGCTACAGCAAGGGCGATAGCAGCTGCGCGGAAGGTTTGATCGCTTAACATAGGAGATGCCGCATTCACGACCTTGGTAAGTAGAATCGTTGCACCAATGTTTGTCCCGGAGACGTTGCACAGGAACACTCCTAGAACACCGATCAACCAGATGACGCGGTACATGTCTCCGTGAGTGGCTCGTATGAGCCACGTGCCAAAGACGTCTATCCAACCCTGGTGCGACAGGGCTTCAATCAAGATAAACTGCGAGAACGCAAATGGGACGAGGGCGAAGGGAAGCCTCGGGAGCGCAGTGAAAAAGGTAGGGAAGTGGGCGTGCAGCCGTTTGTGTAGGGCAATGCCCTTGGAGCGCCACAAGGCGGCAGAGGTCTTGGATAGAGGTGGAGGAGACCTATTGTTTGAGGTGCGACTGTAATCGGAATCGGAAATTACCTTGTCTGCTGTGGGTATTTGGATGACGGACTGGCGATGCCGACTCGTGTTATCTGATGTTGTCTGCGCGCCTTCCAGCATGACATCGTCAAGCTGCACTTCATTTGCATCTGGCCCTTTCTGCCCGCGCCCGAGCATGGGTATCTGCCGGACAAAGCGGTAGTGATCCCAGGCAACATCATAGATAAACTTGGCCACAGCAAAAGGCAAGCTGATCTTCCACACGTCAATTCCGAAGAAGCTGACAACCAAGCACAGAATGAGGGCGGAGGCAAGCATGAAACTACCGACGCAGGCACCGATCGGATCCAGGAGGACCGAACGGGCGTCAAGGTCGGCAACATGGTCCAACTTGCGAGGGACGTATTTTCTACTGTGATATTGACCACCGAGAGCCAAGAAGCAGAAAATGCTGCATGCAATAAATGGGAGAATTGTGTACGCTGTGAAAGCGGCATTGTTGACGTTGAAACCTTCGCAGATCACTACCTAAGATTATCGATCAAATTTAAATTCGAGTTCAAGAATACGAAATCAAGACGTACATTGGTAGGATTCCCGACAAACAACACCATGCTCGCCGTGTTCGCTGCCGCAAACTCGGACATGAGCCATGAGATATGATTGAGTTCTGCGACTTTTGTATAGTAAATGAGGAAGGCTGTTCCAGAGAGAATGACAGGGTCGTTTCCCAGCAAGATGGAGAGGATGGTAAGCATGATGTAGAAGTAGGTGTATAGTTTCCAGCCGTTTGAACCACCCTTGTTGCTAACCCAGAATGCTGCAGCCTGGAGGATACCGGTGATATCGAGGGTGATAGCCATGTAGGCAAGAGAGAAAAAAAGGATGAGGATGTTGTAAGGTTTAACACCGTCTGTACCGACGATGCCTCCGCGAATGACTGCTGGGTCGAGACATTGTGCTGCCCACAAGATCGCAATTGCGAGGATGGGTGCGGTTGTTAAATTTATTGGGATGCGGGGTATTCGTCGAGGGGTGGGTATAGAGACTGGGTATATGACGAAGGCAATCGATATGATGAAGATGACCAAGGTGGCCACAGAATAACCAGTAATCATGTCGACGTTGACTGGGGGGTTGACCGTCAGACGCAAAAGTATATAAGGATATGGGCCCCATTAATTGCTAAATCTATACGCGAAGTTTCCACGACTCCCGTAAGGGCAACTTGGAGATCTTTCTGTCTTCCAGAAACACGATACGTCGCCCTGACTCCATTCGCCTTCCGGGTTCTTCACAGTTGATTGGCACTGGTTTGTTTATAATTAAGTAAGTACGTGGCATTGTACTGTGGCCCCCAGAGTAATTACCGTCTACGCAGGAAGTCCAAGCCAGCGGTAGAACAATCTTGCTCTACCCACAAGCAGTAGTGGTTGCTTGCAGAGTTGCCTCAGTTTACATGATAGGTAAAGATGTCTCGTCACCTGTGCATAAACCTTCCAGTTCGAACATTCCAAAGCAGAACGTTTACCAATCGAACTAGGAACTCCTTCCACGTTTCGGTTCTTCTTACACATGAATGACGCCATTACGTTCACATGAAACACTGCATTTGACCCTACTATCACCTGATTCGGAATGCACAATCGATGGATAATGCACAATGCACTCCAGAGCTCACCACTCTACATATATTTCATTCGGAACAGCTGGTGGACAATTATTAGCATACATTCAATAATACTACCAATTCAAAATTTTAAAATCGGTGCTGTGAAGCCTTCCCGAGATGAAACATTGTGCGAGTGTGCCCAAAATGAGTGATTTTTGGACACTAAATCCAAGATCCACCCAGATCCCATTAACCTATCAACACAGAAAGTTCAAAATATGTGAAATGCACCATCCTGAATCTACTCCAGGTGTTTCTATGTCAATAGGACACCACCACAGCATGCTATTCGCGATTCATGAGCAAAGCGTGACGGTCAGGCTAGATTGGGAAATCACACTCTCGGCTTGGTTGAGTCTCCGCTTTCTTTGCATTCGGCAGAATCGGCACATACCAGCATCTGTTCCTTTGAAGACACCAGAGGACATTGTTACATTACAAGGACAGTCGACCAATGTCAAGGACAGCTCGAGTTTTTCGCAACCGCCCTTCACCACATTCACAACCTCCTCTCACACGCGAGGATCGTGAAAAACGTATCAAGGATGCAATCGATACATGGCGTGGGGGTGAAACTAAAAGCCTCCTACAAGCAGCCAAGATGCATGGTGTCGAGCACATATATTCCACAGTGCGTAGGAGATGTGAAGGGTTGACTCTGCCACGAGACGAGGCGCATGCAAAACAACGCCAAGTCAAAATCAGAACTGGAGGATATTGCTACTGCTCTTTCGCTGTCAACCGAGGGCACGAAGTCTGAAATTTTAGAACGCATCAAAGGACACTTGGAGAATACTCCCGACCTACGCCAGGACCACCGCTTTTCTGGTCTTTACACATCTCGTGGAAATCGGGCACCCCATGAGTCAAACGGTCATGCTGGATCTTCAAGAATTGACCATACTGCTCCCATTCAAGCTACACCATCTCAGCAGCTCGTTCCAAGCATCAGTCATGGTTGTATTTCACTTACTTCCATGTTTATTTTGTTGCTGATAATGTCTGAATAGCTATGCATAGTAACGGCGCTCCCTTCTCGAGTCAAGCGGCACAGCAAATGAACGGTCCTTTACCCTTCCCCTCATTTAATCCACCACCTGCATACCCACTCCATTATCCAGGTCGCGAGACACGATTCATGCAGCCAGTGCCAGCCCCAGAAGGGGCTCGTCCTCTTCGAACTTCACAAGACCTCCCACCACAGCTACATGCTGGGCCGTCCACTGGCAGATACATGCCTTACCCCCTGCATGGCCTTCCTGCACCATTAAATAGAGTTTCAGCAAATAATGATCACTCAGCACATCCTAGTGTTTATTACTAGATATTATTCCCTCAATGAAATTTGATTTGGAGCTCGTTATTGAAGCTTGAAGTTATGAACGGTGCGGAACACTGGACTTTCATTCGCTTTGCACGCTGTCGGACTGTGAATATCATTGTGTATTGGCCGAGGTGCCGCGCGTGACATAGTGTGACGAAATTGTGCATTTCTATTGTGTTTTCGACACCTCAACTTCCAGTGCTGCCGCTGCAACAAGCTCGCAACAAAATTAAAAAATTCTTGTTGGGCCTAATGCACAGAGACCTAAAGTATACACTACAGTAGATCCGATACGAATATGTGTTGTTGTTGTGTTGCTATTCAGCAATAAGTGTAAATTGTGCATTTCCCGTCGAATGATAGTAACATCTTTTAGCGGAGCTATTGGCGTCACAGCGTCTCTGGAATTACATAAGTGAAATATACAGGCTGCACCTCGGTGCTAGCAACTCATAGAAATATCAACTTGCCCATGCGTAAATTGAATCAGCGTGAATTGCAATCTTGTTTTGACTTTGTTCCAAATTTCAAGGTGGACTTTGAAACCCGGTCGCCCCTACAGCTCCTCTTTACGAGTGCTTTCTGATAGATGACCGATGCTGTTCTTATCATTGAAATGTCTCTGCTGCGTCCGCGGCCTCCCGCTACAATAATTCAGACCACTATTTTCACACCTGATTTTTTGGTAGGCACTACGAACACCAATACAAAGCTCCCAGTTTCACGTGTTTTCTAGAACAATGATTTGTGCTTGGCAATGTAAAACAGGTTGCGAACGTGATTGGTCAATTACCCATCAGCGTGCGCTATTGCTCTTGAAAGGAGCCTAAAGAAAATTGACCCGTGTATGTCGGTCATCATGGTTATCTATAATCCGTGAGCGTGAACTGCACAGCAAACTCTATCGGAAGCTAACAAAGCGCCCCCATACCCCGGTATTTTATTTCTCATATATATCTGGATGGTACGACTCGGAGAGACGGGCTCGCCGTGAGAGCAGCTCCCGTGTCTTGTGGAAGTTTGCTCAGCTTTGGTTCCAGAGGCTGAGCGCTGAACGTTGAACTGCCAAGGTACCCGTAAAAAAAACTCGGCTAACTTGCATGGAGGCGAGAACTTGAAAAAAATCTCCCCGTTATTAACCAAAGCCGGACGATCGGCAGGCGGTTATTTTACATCAGTTTGCGTGATGTTCATACCCCCAGATTTACCTCACAATACCAGATGGCTCTCTCCGGCGGAAGTAGTGCTTGCCAGTAGTAGGGTTGAGCTTGAGGAAAAGTCAAGGACTGTGGGATACTATGTTTGACTGGATGATGTGGCCGCATTCATCGTTTAGTTCGTAACGCAGCCACTCCACATGATCTCCACTCGGCGCAACTGGAGGTACGGTGTGACGGTATCATGCTCCTCCACGGGTGTTCTGGCTGATAGCTTTTCGAAGTGGACGAACCAGTTCTATCGGAGAGCCGTGTCTCATGGACAATCCAGTAGGAATTCTGATAAGAAGTGTGGATATTTTGTTGCCTCGGAGGCAGCATGCTATATTGAGTTGACGTTGCAAGTGAGCGCTCAAGCCTCAAGTCAGGTTCCTGAAAGTTAGGCTGATCACCACAAATGTAGCTCCAGTAACACGATTACGACGGATACATCGTTTTTTCTAGAAAAAATCATACCTGATGGGTGTCATCGGTTCATCTGCTGATATTCTGGAACACGCCATGGTCCATGTGCGACGGGCCAGGGAAGGGAGTGCGCTGTCAGCCATTGGCAACTTTAAACTCCGCCACCCGTGCCAAGGGTACGCCAGACTTGGTTGCGGACGAGGATCTAATGAGTGCGAATCAAGAATCTAGGAAATGGCTGACTCTGGGGCTTCAGTGATTGATCATCGGCTTTCACACCCTTTGCGTTCATTCAACGAATACTACGGGTCAGTGACTGGCAGAACACTGCTCCCGAACACAGACCTGAATACTAGCAGACCTACCCAATGGATCGGCTATTTCAGACTCGCCCTCGCTACTCCACCCCTCACCTACACTACTGACTTCTCGTCCTCCTTCGATATGCATGATTCTCCCAGGGCTCCTCTCAGGCTAGGCTCGGACATATGATTCACGCCAAGCTCGGGTCTACATCAGCTATATAAATACGCGCCATTCCGCTGATTACCATCACAATTTCCTCGGAACGATCGCTCCAATGAAACCATAGGTCACGAGAGTCGTTCGCGTTATGCGACAAAAAAAGCTCAACAGTCGCTTTGGTCGCTGGTTAAATTTAGCTAGTGGGGTACCAAAAACTTGCCGCGGCATCCGTGATAATCGCGATGTTGCGGACCTCCAAAATTCAAGTGTCCCTGGAGCGGAGTCAGCATCGCCCTACATCGTACTGCGTACTAGTAGTACTTACTACTTACCAATTGCAGCACCTCGTCATCAGAAACGTTTCGACTGAAATGCAGTGGGTTTGCTCCCTAGTACAAGCTTGATCCTCGTGCTATACTGATTATGGGCTGCATAGTACACCTTGGATATTTTTTCTACGCAAAAGCACGCCTCACAAGAGGACGGTCAACAGCCGAGTTCTTGTGCATTTTCATAATAAAGAAAATATCTTCCTTCTATCTGCATCGTGGTTCCAAGTCATGTTGCAGTGATTTGTCTACGTTCAATGGCGCGTCGCTCGCAAAGCCTCCGATCAACGTCAACATTCCATCGAAGGCTTGCACTGATTCATTGTGCTCCACTGAGATTAGACTGTTTCATATAAAGGCTCCGCTGGTCCTACCACTCCCGACTTGGACTCGGAGCATCTATACATTCTACTTGATGGGAATAGATTCGTGACCATCAATTATACGACACGATACATTTTTTGGATATGTAGGTTAAGCCTGAACATTAGTGCTCATGCAGAAACCTTGAAAACGACACAACTTGAGCTCTTTTGAACTTGAACTGGAATGGGCCGTGTGCGAGGGATGTCACGGTAAATACGTTCCAATGTTTCCTTTATAATGGTTCACTGACTTGAGTCTTGCTCTGCAGAACGATGAAGTTGAATTTTCGTGTTTGACATTTGTATCGTCATGTGTTGCACTCAATCAATACCTAGCCAGTCATTTCAAACGCTAAGATTGCCCTGGACTGTCTTATACACGAGTATGTGCTTGATGCACGGCTCATGCGTCTAACTCGTTCTTCAGCGTTATCGTTGTCAATGATGATTACCCTGGACCGATCCTCACAGTCGTGAAGGTAAGAAATTTGTTTTATGTGGCTATTCATACCAACAAAATTAACTGTCTTCAGGGCGAGCGCTTTCAAATCAACGTCACGAATATATTGGTGGATCGATGAAGAGGAGTACAACCGTCGTTCGTCTTGCGTCTTTACTCTGGGATCATGCTGACGTAGCTCCAAGCACTGGCATGGAATCAAGCAACGCTTGTCGAACGAGGTGTACGGAACTGCTATGGTAACCCAATGTCCCATGACGTCTGGGCATTATTTCATGTACGACTTCATGCCGACCAACCAGAGCGTAACATTTTGGTGCGAAATGACTTCGTACTACCTAAATGAAGTTGATGACAGTCAGGCATTAGCGTTCAACTATGCGTGTAGTTTTTGTATACTCACCACATGCAGCATCGATTGCTCTTACTGTCTTAGATCGGTAAGATGCAGTTTCACTCGTTTACATGACTGAACCATCTCATTAGAGGTATCACATGAATGCCTACGATGTCACTGGATATGACAGTCCCGATGCAACACTCATTAATGGCTGCGGCCGTTATGAGAGCGGGCCACTGGAACCTCTTTCTGTTCTCAATGTTATGCAGGAAAAACGCTACCGCGTTCGATTAATAAATATGCCATGCGAACCAAGTTTCGTGTTCTCCATCGATGGCCACACGTTTACTGTCACCGAGGCGGACAGTAAAACCACGTGGCCTCTAGCCATTGACTCAGTCCCAATCTTGGTTGAGCAACTGCACTCTTTTCAATTTTCAATCAGACGGCCGACAACTACTGGATTTCCGAACCGGGACCCCATACGCAGAGATTGTACTCCAAGTGACCCTTCGCATGAACCGAACTTGTATGCTGTAGAAAGCCCTGCGGCCGAGGTCTTCCAGGGGCCGATGGCACAGACGTTTCGTTGATCTTGCTTGCCGTGTGAGACGACAATATCGCGAGATTTCTCATCGATGGGTATAGTTATACCCCGCCAACCACTCCTGTTTTATTGCAAATTTTAACTGGACAATGGACTGCCTCTCAGCTGCAGCCCTACGGGCCAGTTTACTTCTTGCCACCTAACATAATGGTCGAGCTGTCTGTGCAGGGGGCAGCCCGAGAGACGTGTAAAGAATCTATATTTTTCCCTTCACTTTTCTCATATACCACTCTAGCATCCTTTCCGCTTGTATGGTGTGGGTACCACCTATTATATCCGGTTCGTTCTATTCTCATGGTTTGCACTCCTTCCCCGTTATAAGAAGCGCTGGAGGCGATACCTACAACTACTACAATCCTGTGCGGCAAGATACAACGAGCAATGATCTTTCAGGCCACAATGTAACATTCTGCTTTAGAACCGATAGCCTCGGACCACGGTTGTTCCACTGATATGATCAATATAGCTGTTATCGTGTATGGCTTGGTGATTGGCACCTTGACCTGTTAGTGTTATTTTCCAGTTTGCAAATCGAATTATCTGATTATGTAGGGGTATAGCTATGGTGTTCGCACAGGACACCGATGATACTTTTTTGAGCATAACAAGTAAATTCCTCGCTGATTCTCAATACCCTGACCTCGTTATCAAATATTGCTGTGCACGTGGGTGCATGGAAGCAACTGTGTTCGATCTATGATGGCTTATCATCAACATTCCAGAACGCATCGTGAGCACTGATCGATGTCAAGGTGAGATGAAACACACGAAATTCCGGGTAAATCAGTAGGTATCTAGCGTCCTATTTTTACATTGTATCATTGTCAATACTGTCTGTTTAAGACTGTTGCTAGCATGTTGTGTGCACTACGTCCTCGCATTCTTCTGATCTTTACACTAGCGAGAAAACGTTTCTTCTTCTTCTTTCATTGTATCCTATAATAGTCAAACCCTGCAGTAACAAGCTCGCCTGCATCTACTTGTGGCATAAACGATGTCCTTCGGCTTGCTCTTCTGACAGTAGATGTTTGAAAGCCGGCCAGTCAGTTATTTGCATTTACGGGGAGCAGGGTTACGTGCGGTTGCACCGTCAGAAAGCATCATAATTAATCGATCACTCACAATTCTAACACAGGGATTTGAGACATATCCGAAAAAAACCTGTGGTCCCCTACTCGGCGCCCGAACAGTCAGTTGAATGAAGGCTGCCTCGAGACCAGAATGCACCGCTGCACGGAAATTACTAAGGTATGGTAGGGAAGAAGTACCAGTTATATGCACAGTGTCAGGAGTGGGCAGAATTCGTGGATACATGGTCCAGTGCCACCGTCAGTCACAAAGGCTCCCGAGTGTCGTTCAGTGATCGGACGCGAGGTAGCCACAGCTGCACGCGGGATACGGGAAATGACATGGTTGCCATCGAGGCTTATATTAAAGGCGCTCAGTGACCCATTGTCTCCGTAGTCGGAACTAGAGCAACTCGACGAGGGAACGTGTTTAGATTCGGAGTCGTAGAAATCCGAGGTAATGATATAACTGATCGCCACAGACGAAGATCTGTGATTTGTGCTGAGATATGATGTTTCGTAGTTAATCAAGCACAGTTCTTCTTGGTACAGAGAACTTTCAAATTGAATAGGTTAATAACAGTAATAGCCGATACACATCGAGAGCAGACGCGAATAGGAAGATTTTGATGGGTCCCGTGCGGGAAGTGCTCTTGAGCCTTATATACTGTGAAGCTGACTCGTTGAGTCTCGTTCGGTTACTAGCACCATCGAATGATCAAGAGCTGGTGGATTGCGGGAAGGGATCTGCCACTGGCCAGTGATCAAAAATTTGGTATCTCTGCAGGTCAGCCTGAAAATACGACTGCTCCGAGTTCAATATTAAATACCTTGTCCCATGTGTAGCTGGCAGATTAGTCGAGAAGTCCAAAAGTGAACTACTCTCGTGAAGAAGAGACGCTTGCAAAGATATTCAAGATTCGGACAAACACAGGTCGGAGCGGAAGCAATAACTTATAACCAAACACGCTTACCACAGGTCCCTCTCGACATCGTCGTCCACGACGACCAGCACACTTTCCACGACTTCCAACACATTCACTACATATCTATGAGCAGCCGCCAGTCACGCAGCACTCCATCTTCGTCCTCTTCCTCATCACCACATGGCTCAAAGTTGTCCAAATTCCTGGCAAAGCAGAGTCGGGATAGGTCAAAATCTATGACAGATCCAATCGCAGCTGCCAGCACCGCATCCATCGCTAGCTCAAGCTCATCTAACTGTACGTCTGTTAGTAGCCCACCACTTTCACAGTACAGCTCGCGAAAGAGCGGGAGGTTTGGTGGTGGGAACGCTAGTAACACTCTCAGAAACGACAAGCCAAATAGCCCGCAGCCTGACCCTGATAGTGAACAGGAGGACTCATTTGAAGAAACACCAGTTATTATTGAGCCTGTTGATATTTTACGCTCACGGAATCGCTCAGAACGCCCTCTCAGCACCATTTCTGACTTGCCTTCCTCTTCATCCATGTACGCTTCAACATCATCCACACGTATATCGGATTTTCCTACACGACTATCTGGATGGCTATCGCATACTTTTACAAACTCATCAACAGACCTATCTCTTCCGTCAATACTCTCACAGTCCAATTTTACTCCCCAGGCGTCCCCTAAGACCAAGAGTTCAGCCTTACTCACAGCCGCGAAGCACGGCAAAGGACATCTCGATCGCGCAATGCGCTTTTTGCTGGATAGTGACTCCACCCCTAATAAATCTACAGAGCCTATCTGGCTCCTCGGTGTACAACATACAGGATATGAACCTCCACCTCATCCTACCCCCAGTCGACGCCCTTCTGTCGAATCTCGTCGCTCTCCATCGTTCCGTTCTACCACATCATCATCAGCTACAGTTTTACCTGACCCCTCTCTGTCTCTATCATCATCCTCTTCCAAAAACCCTGCCAACAATTGGCCGCCTATTTTCTACGCTGATTTTACGTCACGAATATGGCTAACATACCGTAATCAGTTCGCTCCCATACGCGACTCTACACTCTCAGCCCTAGAGTCGGATGTAGCTTGCTGCGATCCTCAGCCTGTGTCTTCGAGTCCGCGCCCTAAGAAGTGGCATTGGCCAGGCGGGGGTGAGAAGGGCTGGACGAGTGATGCGGGGTGGGGTTGTATGCTTCGGACAGGTCAATCACTATTAGCAAACACGCTCTTGCATTTGCATTTAGGTCGAGGTGATCTTTTCCCTAATAGCCCAAGAAACTCGTCTTGATTGCTCATTATTCAGAATGGCGCCGTCCTCCAAACCCAGTACACACCAACGATTATGCCACATATGTCCAGATAATTACGTGGTTCCTTGACTCGCCTCTACCTCAAGCACCTTTCAGTGTACACCGCATGGCCCTTGCTGGAAAGGAATTGGGCAAAGACGTTGGGCAATGGTTCGGGCCTAGCACTGCTGCAGGCGCTATAAAGTACTCATTTTCCTCACATTCTACCTGTAATCAATCAATTAATCTGTGCACGCAGAACGCTTGTACATGCCTTCCCAGAAGCTGGCCTTGGTGTCTCTGTTGCGACTGATGGTGTTATTTATCAGTCCGACGTATACGCCGCATCAAATGTACATATTGGTTCACCACGACGACATACGAAGGCCACGTGGGGCGAACGCGCAGTCCTTGTACTTATCGGTATCCGTCTTGGTATTGACGGTGTTAATCCTATCTACTATGAGACTATCAAGGTCAGAGCACTCACTTGAGATCTCATCAAACATCTGACATTTATCCAAGGCGCTCTTTACCTTTCCACAAAGCGTGGGAATTGCCGGCGGGCGCCCCTCTTCCTCATACTATTTTATGGGTTCACAAGCTGATAATCTATTCTATCTCGATCCGCATCATGCTCGAACCGCTGTACCCCTCCGCCCAGCACCTCCGCATGACTTCAAACGCGAGCTGACCCCAGATTCGGGCCGCCCACGCACCTCCCACCACCGCGCGCCTACCTCACCTTCAAGCGTGCGTACGGGGAGCTCAACATTCTCATATCACGCACCACTTTCCCCTTCACCGCTGCAGCATCAACTTAGCGCGAGCTCGAACACATCAGGTTCATCTAGCTCGCATCCGCCACGCTGGGCAAACGCGAGCTTGTCGGCACCACTTGGGACGTCAGAGCTTGACGCGCGAGAAATGAACACGGAGAACATCAGCGAACTGGACCCAGTTGCAGAGCACTATGTGACACAGTACTCCGCTTCTGAGCTGCGGACGTTCCATTGCGACCGCGTGCGGAAGATTCCCCTCAGCGGGCTGGACCCAAGTATGTTACTTGGGTTCCTTTGCAAGGACGAGACAGACTGGATTGATCTCAGGAAACGTGTGAATGAGGTGGGCGTCCTTTTGATACCGATGTGTATTTAGTATTGATTTTTCCCCTCGTGGGGTGCGTTGGTAGTTGATGCACAAGCACAAACCAATATTCACGATCCAGGACGAGCCACCCTCGTGGCCATCTGA